AATAATACTTCATTTACACATTAATATTCTATTTTGTTTCATCACCCACAACTTCAATGGTGATTCCATTTTCTTTTAGACTCTCATACACTTCCGTTGTCTCCCCAAACAGAGCACCTGGAAGTACGACACCTCCCGAAAATGCCAATTTGTCACGATGGTTCAATACCGTGAGTCCCAGAGCGACCAACATGCGGGGGGTTGCTACATATCCTGGTTCAGGGCCCTTGCAGGTCACCTTGACCATTTCTTCTTTTGAGCCACTACCGTATCCAGTCGTATGGGTACAAAACGAGACCCCTTCCAAGTCCGCATCGGAAGGACCTTCTCCTTCCACAAATAGACCATTGCTAAAGAGACCAGGATTGGAATGAAGCATGTTGCATCCAAACGAAGTGGAGGCTAATCCCGAAAAGATGGCTCCCATTCCAATTACCTTGTAACCAGTCATTTGACTTTGAACACCAAAGCATACGGACAATCGCGGATTTGGTCGATCTTTGTAGGTATCTGGCTGTTGGAGTCGAAGATATCTCCAAGACGCCATGATGGCTGAATACAAAAGAGAAAAATAATAATGGATGGTGCAAGTGTTAGAAACAAATGTGGCATCCATCCAAATGAAAACTGGCGAGTACCTAGAAGAATCCTTGTGCACAATAACTTACCAGCGGCATCTGCTCCAGGGAACTTGAGAATGTAGGTATCCGTAGCCTTGTGATAGGTTGGTAGATTTCCTGGCTGTTCTGGGACCTTGGGCCAATCGTCAGGCCGCTTGGGTGGCTTGGTAATTCCAAACTTCTCCGTCACCTTTTTTCGTGACGACTTGAGATCACCCTTGGAAGCTGCATGAAATCCATCCACGGCCGCATGAAAGGTGGTAGCATTGGCCTTTGACAAGCCTTCAAAGGTATGGCAGACTTCTACTCCTGCCACTTGAGTGCCGGGATACTTTTTTAGTAGTTCCTTGGACACCAAGCAGGTCGACAATTCAGCTGGAACGCAATCAAAGGCACAGGCCGAGACCACCAAGACTTTTTGGGTCTTGGCAGCCTCATCGCATTCCAAAAGAGTATCGTCAAAGAATTGAGGTTCTCCACAAAGATCCAAGTAATCTGTCTTGGCTTCTACTGCCGCCTGGACTAACGGCATCCCACATTGACGGTAGGGTCCCGCACATGCCAGAACAATCTTGGCTTGAGACAGGACCTGGACCAGTTGATCTTTGGTTTTCTCATTATCATCAGCAGTAGTAGTAATAGTATCAGAGGATGGCAACGATGCCACCAAGACACTGGATTCGGGCAATCCCAATTCTTGTGCCACGGCCAATAACTTGTCTTTCGATCGACCCGCAATGGCTATTGACAAGGAGGCATGTTGTTGGACAACATACTGGGCCACTTTCTTGCCAGTGTATCCTGTTGCACCATAGACAATAAAGTCAAAGGGACGATCTGAAGCTGATGGAGCCATTATTGTACAATCAGCAATCTGTTCGTCGAGGAAATGGAAGGGGATGAAGCGCAACAACCAAGTGGATGACGATGATATGAGATGATGAGCGTTCAGTGAGTGTGCGTTCTTTTACATCGGGACAATCGATTAACTCGAATGTAAGAGACAACTTCAGGTCGAATCTTAAGATACCGGTAGGAGGGAAGACTGCGTATTGCTACTGTATGCTGTATTTGTATGCTAATGCCAGATACTACCAGGTACCTGGTACTAACTAGTATGCACCCAACACAATCAGAAACACATCATGAGTAGTGACTTATGAGACATTTTCAAAAAAGGTATGTATAGATGATTATCTCATTAGATTTGCCGCTCCAAAAATACCGACATTTTCACATGTAGAGTTGATCGTCACTCCTTCCATTATTATCCTCCTCCAAAACCCAACCAATAACTTCCTTCCGTTCTATGATTTGCAAATAAATTGAAAACCATCCATCTTGTGAGTTTACCCCAATTATTGCATCGGTGATATGATGTTTTTTCAATTAATCAGTGGCAACAGCCCCAACTTTGGGAGGTCGTGGATCATTCCCGACCAACTGGGCAATTAATGATAGAAAATCTTGCAACTTGGGACTCAAGTTATCCTTCTCCATGGGTGTCTTTGCAAAGTACTCCCAAAGCTTGGCCAAATCTTCTTCCTCTTTGCCGCAGGTCTCCTTGTAGAACAAAGCCAAAAAGCCATGAACGCTCATGCGGACGCCAAAATCCAAGGATTGAATATTTACCAAGGCCCTGGATTCATCACGAAGCCAATCGTATCCACATTCCAATCGGGCCTCTGTATTTTTTCAAAAGGGTATTTTGTATTTATAATATAGAGTCAAGCACATGACAAAAGGTGGTACCAGAAAACAATAAGATGAAACGTAGAAAAGAATGTGTGAGAGACTTCAAAAGGTTTCAGGAATTTCATATACCGTCTAATTCTTCTTCACAATAAATCACACATGCCATGCCAGGACATTACAATTGGCATTTCACAATTGCATGCGCAAGAGAGCAGTGATGCTAGCATGAAGAAAAAATGGGGCAATCACAACTTGTTGTCAACAGAAGCAAGAGCGTAACGCACCTTTCAACATTTCATCATTCTCCTTTTGAAACTTGATCCCGCGCTAAAAGTCGTAGAAGGAAAGAAAATATTGTCAGGTGTTTGTGTACCGTAACAGGATGATATGAATGGCCACAATACGCTTTCTTTGAGCTCCAGCATGCTCTGAAGCAAGCCATTGTTATATAGCCGATGTCAGCAAAATAAAAGTCTCTTACCACCAAGTCCTTGCGATGTTCGTAACCACGGTTGGTACGGTCTTCTTCCTCTTCAGGGTCAATCTTATCAAATGTTACTGTCATCTTGCTTGTATGTGTGGTGTGGTGTTGTACTGTAGCTGTCTGTTATGCACGTATGATACTATATACTACTGTAGATACAAGTATATTGCTGATGTGTGTGTTGTCAGCCTTCAGCGTTCTTTCGCAAGATTCAAGCATCAATCACGCAGCAGGTAGATTACGTACATGGCATAGAGTTCGTATTGAGCGGGGCTGAGTACCGCGGAAATGTTCTTTCTCCGGGTTTCTTTCGCCACCACTATGGTTCCGCTCTTCGGGTCATTTTGGGGGTAGTAGCGCTTCCATATGTACCACAATTGGGACAATTCGATTGTAACCCCCCAAAAAGCTTCCCTATGTCTAAGGTATCCGGCCACATCTTGTTCCATTGCGAACTTCAAAGCGCAACCACATACTCCAGAACCAGAAAGTATACCGGTAGTCTACTTCACCCACAGTATTATACCGGCAGTATACATGAAGACAGTAGTGGCGGACAACAATGGACGTAGTTGCACAATGCAAATCCCCATGATGAAAGAGTATACACCACCCCCGAAACCGCCGCCACCTGTTCAGGTAGATCAGGAGATATCCATTCCTTCAGATCATCATGCTGGAGCCCCGTCAGTATTTGGTGATGAGGATGCCTTGCTCAGTGTCACCTCTGAGGCGTATGAAGTCAGCACGAAACACACCGACCGATCTGGGAGTAATCGTACGAGGTACTCACAAGGATCCTACTACACGATGGATAGTAAAGAGCTGAAAGCGTCCGAACTACGGCCCAAAAGCAAGGAAGACCCAGCCATGATTTTGGGCGACCCAAATAAGGACTCCCACTCTGGGTCACGGTACGGTCAAGACAAACCACTGAACATTGCTTCGAATCGACTGGTTGCTCGAGATAAGGAAATAGCAACTTTGAAAGCCTGTTTTCAACGTCTCATGTCGAACGATGATGATGACGAAGAAGAAGCCAAACAACAAATCAAGAATAAGGAATTGGTGTTGATAAGCGGACAATCTGGAGTGGGCAAAACAAGCGTCGTCCAAACACTCGAGGACGATGATATTGCCAAGTCTGGTATTTGTATCACAGGAAAGTTTACCATGACGTCCAGCAACCGACCGTACTTGGGAATATCGGATGCTCTCAACAAGGCTTTTCAGACAGTTATTGGTCAGTCGAAAAATGAATCGGTATCCAAGGCCATACAAGACGAGCTCAACCAAGAAGTACCCTTGCTGAGGGCGTTGGTACCCTGTCTGAGAGAAATTTTAGGAAATACGGAATCCAAAGCACCAGCGGATTTGGACTATGAAGAATTGGAAAATGGATTAGAGCGATTGAAGTATGCCTTTCGATTTCTGATACGAGTCTTGTGCCAAGAGTTTACACCCTTTCTTCTTGTGCTAGACGACTTGCAATGGGCGGATATTCAATCACTCCAAGTTCTGGATTCTCTCATTTCGGATATTAATAATGAAAACAAGCTCATGATTGTGGGTACCTATCGATCTGATGAAGTGGACGAAAACTCCCTCTTGTATAATAAGATCATGGCACTTCACGAAAAGGAGGAGGACTTTCAGTTTCGCATCACCACAATTAAGCTTAATCCATTCAGCGTCGATGACATTGATCGACTCATTCAAACAGCGATATCATCGACGGAAGAAAGTAGTCAAATCAAAGATCTGTCAGAGCTATGTCTGAAGCGGACACATGGTAATCCATTCTTTGTGATTGAGTTTCTCAAAATGCTACATACAGAACGACTGCTGGTGTATGATTCATCAAAGGAACAATGGGATTGGACGCTTTCAACAATCGAAGATTCGACAATGTCCACGGCCAATGTGGTGGTCTTGCTTCACGAACGAATGGCAAAGATGCCCAAGCAAGTTCAAATCATATTGCAATATGCAGCATACCTCGGATCCAGCTTTAGGGAAGCAACGTTGGAACTAATTTGGTCAACCTATGGTACCATGAGGGCACTTGGAAACAAGGAACCGCTATCAAATCTGCTGGCAATTATCATCCGCGAGAGCTTCTTTGAGAAAATTAGAGGCGGATACCGATGGGTTCATGATAAAGTGCAAGAAGCAGCCTTGTACTTTACAGGTGATGTTCGCCCGACGGTGCAACTGGACATTGGGACGACTCTGTATTATTGCCTGAAAGCAGAACAACTGGAAGACGATATCTTCAATGTAGTGGACTTGATCAACAATGGAAATGCCAAGAAACGACCAGAATTTGCAAACGTCAACCTAAGAGCAGCCGAGAAAGCTCGAGGTATTAGTGCGTTCCAAGCTGCAGCCAAATATGCATCTCATGGCATGGAGCTTTTGACGGACACCCGTTGGTCAGATAATCGGTCGTTGACCCTAAAGCTTTACACCATGGCAGTCGAAATGGAAATGATTCTTGGACACACAGACGTTGCGGAGAAGTATCGCGAGGAAATTTTGAAAAATGGCAACTATACCGTTACTGAGACGCTTCCATTGAAGCTGTCCAAGGCGCAGTCATTAGCTGTTGTGGCCTTGCACTTTGACGAGGCAGTGGGCTACTGTCTTTCGGTTTTGAAGGAACTTGACTGCAGACTAATTGTGGCTAGGGCGCTGGTTCCAGTGCAAATGCCCATCAAGCTTCTGTCGACAATGTCAAAAGTAAAGAAATTGGATGTGGACTTCTTTAAGGGTATGGGGACAATGTCAGATCCAAAGTTGCGAGCAATCGCTTCGATTACAAACTACGTCAAGTATGCTGCTTTCGTCGGAGGAGATTTGTTTCTGAGTTTGATTTGTATTTGCAAGCTCACAGAAATGACTTTGAAGCATGGTCTGAACGAGTTCTCTGGTATCACTGTAGCATCTCTTGGGATGACAGCTCTACTTGTCCAACAGGATTGTGAATTGGCAGACAAAATAATGCAAATGGCGTTGTCAATCCAAGAGCAGCTTGGAAAGACGCGTGCCACCGAAGTGCTGTACACTTCGTATGCGTTTGGGTGGCCATGGTTGAAACCACTGAGAGATAGTCTCGATCCTATGAGGAGGGCCTACACTGTCGGTGTCCAAACTGGCGAAATGGTCCATGCTATGTGGGGGCTAATGGCAAATGTGATTATGATTCCTTATGCACTGGGAACTCCGATTGAAACGATTGTAGCAGAGTGCGCTGGAGTGGTCGCGCAGGCAGATGAAGCAAAGCAGATGGGACAAGCTCTCGACGCAAAGGTGTTCTGGCAGATGTTGCTGAATCTTAACCTTAGCACCAAAGACGGTGGAGCGAAATTAGAGGGGAAGATGTACAGCAAAGCAAACGATAACAATGATTTCACGATCCACTTATCGACGGTGCATTTGTGTGAGGGAGAGCTATTGATCTTTCACGGGGAATATGAAGCTGCAGCAGAAAGAGCCATCAGTAAAGGTGATCTATTTGCAAAGCAATCACCGCTGATGTTCTTCAATATGAGCGAGACGTTCAATCGGGGAGTAGCGTTGTATGTCATGGCTCAGAAAACCAATAAGCGGGTGTATAAAAAGGAGGCAAAAAGTATACGGAAACAAGTCGATAAATGGGCAAAGTCTGGGAACCCAAACGTTGGGCACTTTAGCCTTCTTTTGCAAGCAGAACAAGAAGCTTTGGAAAAGAAGCACGATGCCGCCGATGAAAGCTACAGAAAAGCTATCACGGCCGCAACGAAGGGTAACTACCTTCAATATATGGCCCTCTTCCACGAGCGATACTCGGATTTCTTATTGAATGTTCAATCTTCCAAGGAAGATTCCGCACATCATTTGAACGAGGCAGCTCGATACTTTGAAGAGTGGGGTGCGACGACAAGAGCTCAATCCCTAAGGGATAGCTTGAAGTGAATTTTTCAAGACCAGAGTCGTTTACACTACTTGTTTAGTCGATCCCAATTGTGGAAGTTGAATCCCAGAGTTTCACTGCATTTGAATAATGACAATCATTGACAATGATTGATGGATATGTTGAGGTAACAGCTACCAGGACGATTAGTCATCAAGGTGCCCCGGCAATATACGGACTTTCCCAACGGTTTCCCAGTGTTCATACAGCCGAATCACTTTTTTCACTTGGTTTGTTGGTGTCATCAAAGATTCTTTCAAGTTGCATGGAAGCATCCCATCTTCTCTGTTTCTAGCGATGCGAGACGTCATGCTTGTGATGAATACGGATGCCACCCTTTTGAATCTTCTGCCGGCCGTAGTTGAAGTTTATCCCAAAAAATCCAAGAATTGCACCCTCGAAGGCCTTAGTCGTCCTCATTGTTCATGCAGTTGTTTCTTGAGCATTTCAACCTTTCCCAAGGCTCCCAATTCCGTATAAAAGTATTCAATAGCCTTTTCGATTCGGATCATGACAGCCTCGCCGTTCATATCAATATATTATCATTAGTCAAAAAGTCCGCATAACGTTCATTCAGGATTGATTCCAGCGTGGTACAAATTGCTAGTACGAGCTGCGAGTGTAGTAGACTAAAAATATACTTTTTCTGCTCCTTTCTCAAAGCAGCATGTTCAGTAGTTCGATACTATGAACTATGACTGATGTGAAAATGTTCGGGATGTTTCATTTCCCCCCCCCCCCCAAGACCCCCCTATTGTGTGACAGACGGACGTTGACACCACACACACCACGTCGCGCGGGCCATTCCACTATGAGAAGGGTACAGGTGCGGCGACAATTTCGTCGCAAAGAACACAAGGACATATCAGTACCGAACTCGTCCAATGAACTCGTCTGACTTCGGATGAACGCGCGGAACCTGATCCTTTGGAAAGTTTACATAGGAGTCTTGCTTTAATTTCACATTCTAGACATAAAGATGTTAGATGATCGCGGAGAATTGTCAATTAGGTATCTTAAGACTTGAGATTTATCTCCTCCTCTACTCCAATTCGAATGTGGTTCCGCGCTTTCTCCCTCTCTATATAATTGAGTCTTGGTCTTGTAGCGGCCATATGCATTGTCCGTTGCGGAGTATTTTAGCTTTCCCGGTCGCCAGAAAGGTCGTTCGATTTTCGCATCAAGACTCGATGTCTTGCTTTAGCTGTCACACAATAAAGTAAGAATCAAGACAAAACAAGAACGTCCTATAGTATCTTCCATAAAAATAAAATACAACAAGGAAACTCTCCATTCAACACCTCTACAACAACAGACAAACAGACATCATGAAGCAATCATTGGAAAGAGAAAGCAGCTGGGCTAAATTGGACGTGAATGACAGCCCCATTAACAAAAGAGGTGCCATGAAGGCTTTGCCCACATTGGACGAGAACCGATCCAACAAATCTATTGGAAGAATGGACGAAGCTGCAGGATTTCAATCAACGTCACAAGTCACTCCTACTCCACAAGATTCTGAATCAAAGAAAGGACGAAGGGAACATATGAAAAAGATGTCCAGTTGGGCATGTTTGGGGTTCGATGATCTTGATCTTGATGGCCTTTGTGCGTAATGCTTTTGTGCGTGCATATAGACTATGTGTGATGAACGTGGCTGGTGATTTGCTAGATTTAAAATACCAACGACAGCGTTGTCAATACATAGAATACCTTTTTTGAATTACTACAGTATACTTTGGAAAAATACTTCTAGTTTCCCTTGGCTATTGTCACCACTGCATGGTATCATACTACGATGCCGCTGAAAGGGGATAAGAAGAAACCCTAGATTTTCTTTCAGAGCTATCACGAGTGCATTGCTAATGGATATATTGATTCAAAAACAACGATCTAGGACTTTCATAATTGCATTCGAAAGATGGCAGTGTGGTTTTTATTTGAAACAAATCGAACCGTTGGTGCATTTTCTCAAATAGAGGGAATTGTTACGGGTATTCCAAATGGGGGCACAAATTTGGCACGATAGCATCATCCACAACAACATCAACAAGGCAATGCAAATGTCACTAAAGCATGATCGGCATAGCCAAGTCATAGAGAGCCCACTCTGTATCATTCAAGGCATTGTACAAGGGAAGCAATAACAGCCCTGCAGATCGATTGGCTGATTGGTCTTGTTCTTCAGTCATTTTGCCAGCATCAACACTACAAGAAGAAGGCAGGAGACTTCTCTCACATGCTTTCCAACTGAGACTTCCAGAGCACTGATGATTGTCTGCTGTCGCATCCATAACAGTGTACCTAACCTAGCTAGGTAGTTCGGTTTCATCATGATGGTTGAATTAGGATCAAGGAGTACTGCACTGTACCAGACACGTACGTGTACCTCCTGGTCACGTACTGTATGTGCGTGACCCTTTCCCTGATGGGCCGGCTGCGAAACGTGCAGTATTTTTGTCGCATGTGACGTCATAGACTTTTTGCCATCCTCGCTAAAAGAAAAGGTGACCACGCAATTCAAAAAGTCAATTCCATTCAAAACCATATGAGTGCATGTTGCGTTGGAGACAATGGGAGAGGGAACAATACAAACAATAACTTTATGACTAATACCAACCGACCACACACGGAACCCCTCCATATGATAGGGAGGGAGAAGGAAGCATCATTATTACGGTCCTGTGTGGAAGGTTTACTGTCAGGGAACGCACGATGGAAACTGAAGAGCACCAGTTCGAGAGACCTGAATGGTACACTCTCAGATTTTGAGGTTAATAAGGAATTGGTGATGATTCAAGGCGATAGTGGTGTGGGGAAGACATTTCTTGCCAGAAGGCTTGGAAAGGAAGTGGACGATCTGGAGAATGGAGTGTTTGTTGAGGGAAAATCAAGCATAGGCGGAACCCACAAACCATACAGCACCATTGGCGCAGCTATCAATGAGATATGTCGGAGACTGAAAAGCAATGCTCCAAACGTTGCAAGCATATCAGAGGCTATATCAAAGAGACTAGGAAAAGAAGTGGAAGTCCTATTCCCCATCATTCCGCAGCTGAAAAGTTTCGTTTCATATTCACCTGAAGCTGATGATGTATCATTATCTGAATCATCAGCCATGATGAGTCAAAGCGGCAACGATGGTATCGACTTTTTGCATATCAAAAGGAGGATAAAATATGCTCTCCGGGTTGTTATTCGTGCACTAAATGCGTGCTGTGAGCCCTTGGTAATTCTCTTGGATGACCTGCAATGGGCAGATATTGCATCTTTGGAAACTGCTGCAAACATTCTGACGGATATCGAAAATACACACCCAATGGTGGTGGTTGCATGCTATCGTTCCAATGAAGTTATTGAGAAAAGCAAGCGATGGGAGAAGGTTGATTCAATAATACGGAGAGCCAGTTCGGCGGCGACATGTCACTTGTCGGCGATTCACTTGGCAGATTTCCGGATTAACGAAGCAAGAGCAATGCTAGCTGTTCATGATGATAAAGCAACGGAGGAATTTGCCGAAAAATGTTTCAGTCAGACATCAGGTAATCCTTTATTTCTGAGGGAGTTTATGAATGCGGCCAAGCGAGATGAGCTACTTGAGATGATTGAGCATGCTAACGAGCCGATCAACAGTGTCGTGAAATTGCACAATCTGAAGATGTCGAGGTTGCCTGAGAGCATGCAATTACTTCTTCAGTATTCTGCTGGCATGGGTTCGTCATTTCGTATCGATCATTTAGCCACCATCTGGGAAAAGCACGGCGCGGTTGATTCAGAATCAGGGTCCATGATGGAAATTGTTCGTTTTCTGGAAGACGAACTCTTTATCGAAAGCTGCGGTGTTGATGAATACAAATGGGTCCACGACACAATTCAAGAGGCAGCACTATCAATAGAAGGAGAATCGAATGCTATGTTCCAGTTTGAAATTGGAATGACACTCTATCACGCCATGGAGGCAGACGAGCTTGAATCGAAACTCTTTGATGTGGCAGACCTGATCAATACGGGGCGCAATTCCCACAGAGCCGAATTTGCAGCCTTGAATCTGCGAGCAGCAGAACAGGCGTATAGGTTAGCAGCTTTCTACAGTGCGCACCAATACGCCAAAAATGGAATCGAGCAGCTCCCACATGATTCTTGGACATCGAAACGGGAGTTATCAATGAAATTATTCACAATTGCTGCCAAAATCGACCTCGCCCTCGGTGACGATGAAGGCGCTCAAAGACACAGTGGTAAAGTGCTCAATCAATCCAATCTCTCGATAATACAATCACTGTCACTACGGATTGCAATGATCCGGAAACTCGCTCACACGGATATGAAATACGAGGATGCAATCGGTGTCTGCCTAGTTTTGCTGGACGAGTTTCAATACAAATTTGTACAAAATCAAACACTCGCCCCATTCCAAGCCATCAAAACACTGTACAAAACAATCAAGACGGTAAAGAGCGGAAATTACTTGTCCAACCTTGGAATGATGAAAGATCGAAAGAAGTTGTCAGTGGCCCGAATACTGGCTCAGATCTCATATGTATGCTCGCTATCCGATAATGACAACTTGGAACTGCTGAGCATGTGTCATATTGTGGAGTTGACAACAAAGCATGGTTACTTTGAATACTCGGGGAAGGCATTTGCCGCACTGGGAAATGCATCGGTCGGATTGTTGAATGCGGATACCGACTCCTTGGCTGACGGAGCTTTGTCGATGAGACTCTTGAATTTAGACTACCAAGTGGCGGCAAGATTTTCAGAAATTGCCTTGGAGTTGCAGAAAAAGAGCGGAACATCACTGAAAGCGCAGACTCTCTTTGATACAAATGCCATGTGTCTGACATTTTCGAAGCCAATCCAATTTCTCATCGAACCAATGATGGAAGCCCACGACGCTGCCATGCGCATTGGTGATACGAATGCTGGGCTTTCTTGTTTAAGCTGCTATCATATTTGGATGCCATATATGATGGGGAAACCCCTCCGCCGTATCATTCAACACTTTCCAAAGCTGATACACCAAGCAGAAGAATTGGGTACGAGAATTGCAGTCATGCTGAAGATGCATTGGCAGATGATGGTGAACTTGACAAAGAAATCAGATGGAAAGCTGGAAGGAAGAATGTTCAGCAGCACAAATTTCAAGGGATCGAATTCAGAATATCTTGCAACTATTCACTTTGCCGAGGGCGAACTCTTGGCTTTTTCCAATCTGGATGCTTTGTCGACCGCTCGAGCGCTAGAATCCGAAGACAAGTACACCAAACTATACCCAGCCAACTTTTTGGGAATGATCGAAACCTTTCATAGAGGAGTTGCACTGTACGCCATGGCACGGAAGACCAAGAAGAAACGATTCAAAGCCGCTGGTACGAAAATTCGCAAACAAGTCCAGGCTTGGACGGAGGCAGGTAACGCAAGTATCACGCACTATCAGCTGTTACTGAATGCGGAACATGTCTCCCTAGACGACAGGAATGACGAAGCTCGAAAATTGTATTTGGATGCCATTACATTCGCAGCGCGTACGGGCCAACTTCACCATGCAGCTTTGTGCAATGAACGGTATGCTGATTTCTTGACGCATCATTCGCCCGATGAAGAGGAGGCCAAATACCGACTTTCGGAGGCGATTCGTTACTACAAGGAATGGGGTGCTATGGGAAAGGCTGAACTGTTAGAGAAGATGTTGTAAACGCTATGATAGATACCCAATTTTTACTACCAGTACCTACAAATGAAAACATCCAAAACTTGTACTCGTCTGGTCGTCGTCCGCGTAGTATTTTTGAAAATTTTGAAAATGTCCGTTCGTGCATGTCGCGCGAGATTCGAAAATTCGGGCATCAAAGATGAGAGTCATGAATACGATCAACTTTGAAACTGCCTCGTCATCTGATTACTGTACTGTACCATTGTATACAGTAGTACCAGTATATCTGCCATTGTTTTTGAAAGATCATCAGCTTAAATTATCTGAAGCTAGAGCATTGATCCTACAGAATAGATAAGATGAACAGCGCTAACGGAACCCTGAAGAATTGCGGCGCATGCACAAAAGACATGGAACGATCAGCCTTTTCCAAAAAGCAGTGGGAACGCAAGAAGTTTCGCCGCTGTAAAGCCTGTGTCGAGAACGAAAATGCCTTTCAACGTCCTTCCAAAAAGGACTATCCACGTGAGAAGAAGGAGAATGTGATGGCTCCTCCGCAAGCGCCAAAGGAATTGATCGAAGAGAAGCCTCATGTTACTCCAGAACGTCCACCGTTGGATCCTGTCGTGCTCGCTGATAAGAAGGTCAAAGACGACAAGAGCCTTCTTTCAAATCTGGAAGCGATGGCAACCGTGGCTAATTCCAATGAAATCATTATGAATGCGATTGCTGCCACGGCAGTGACTCCAATACAAACAGACGAAGCAAAACAAGGAACTAAGGACGTGTTGGACTCTGAGATTTTGTCAGAAACTACAAAGTCTAATTCTATCAGTATTTCTGAGAAGGTATTATCCGAATCCTCATCAGTCGCCACTTCTTCAGAAGCTATTACTTCCGGTGATGAAAACACAGTAGCTCAGAACTCTGCACCAGTTGCCAAGGCAGACAAGAATACAGAAGCACCACTGTCTATCCCAGAGGATCAGCAAGCATCGCACAGCGCTGATCTTTCTGAAGACGCCAAGTTATCTGGGCGCAAAAGTAATGGTCCTCTTGCATCAGATTCCCAGCCTTTGGCAGCAGATGCTCCAAAAACGTCATTTTTAGAAATGGAGCCAATTACGCCGTCAAGAGTTGAAGAAATGGTGCAAGAACACGATGCTATCTTCCGAGCAGTCTTTGAGCCAACAAATGACCAAGAAGAACACTATGATGATCCCCGATTAATCCAGAGAGTTTCAACTGAAGACGTCATGGACTACGAGGTGGGACCCATAGTGAATGTGGAACAAGAAATCTATGATTTGCTGAATAATCCATCATCAGAGCAAGGTATTCTTTTTGTGGATGGCTCGGAAATCAAGATGGATGATGCAGAAGACTCACCAAGCGCATCGTATTCAGGCAAAAGGCAATCGAAAGAATCATTCATCTTTTCCAATGTTACAATGAACAACGAGGGACAAACTTCCGATGCCCATTTCGAGGATACTACTCCTGATCATCCCTCTCCTGAATCTCCCCCTCATACTGAAACCGGGCTGACAAGAGAAAGCATCGAGAGGGATGCAGTCGACTGGGACCCTTCCGCCATGGCACAATTGTCACCGACTGCATCCATGCCGTCGTCGTTTCCTCCCGTACCTCCCATTGAAGCGGAAGACGACGAACATGAAGATGAGGACAATGGAGGCAGCTACGAAAAAGTGTTGTGGCAACATTCATCCTCAATAACATACGCCTGTGGGGCGTGTTTAGTGGGAGTCATCATCATCGCTTTGCTACTTCCACAAGACCACACTGTCCTTCTTATATCAACTGGCTTATCGCTATTCCTATTACTAGGGTTGGCAGGAATCATGCGCTTTTCACGGTCATATGATGGGGATAGTTCAATAAATGACCCTGATGGGCTAGGGGATGTGCTAGCAGTCGATTCATTAAGAGAACCATTATTATCTGGAGCAGATGAGGATGGAGAGATTATATCAGATGCAGTATAAAATTATACTTGCAGTTAATCTAGCAATAAGGCTTTACTTTTCCTGTTTTATCAAGCAACAATTCGACATTCTATCCTACAGTAGAACCGAGAGGAGCAGTTCCATCAAGTCGTGTTTCACAGGCTTCATCAAAATGACAAGTGGCAATAAGTTCAGGATTTTCGAAACACGACAGAACCCAAACAAGATCCAAGTTGATGATGATATGTCACAAAATAAACTGACCATTGGTCAATCCTCAGTGGGCACCAACATCAACCAACGAAAGAACCTGCAATGTCTGCGTCTTCGCTTCCTCGATCCCCTTCTCCGGCTTTTTGCGAAACAACCACAGAGAAAGATGATGATCCGCAAGATCCTTCGACTACTGACCAAGTCGTGTCGTCACAGCCATCTCCTCCCTCACCTCCCAGTGAGGAAGCCGAACCTTACGAGGAACTACACTCTTCTATCCATCACGGCAATAACAGCAAGTGTCGTAATTTGACTCGAGCATTGTGGCAGTCTTCTGCCTTGATTGCCTACACTTGGTTCGTGTGCACTGTGGCAGTCGTCATTACGGCTTTGATATCTCCACCTCATCACCTTGCCTTGTTGGTATACTCTGGACTCTCTATGCTCCTGGCAACATTGATGATGGTGGTCGAAGTATATCGCGAAGATTTTTATGGAATTCATCCAGTGTCTCCAAAGATCATTCCAATGCTGTGGAATCCAAGATTTGGAAACTGTTGCAACTTTTGGATCTATTGCAGCATGGTGCCACCCGCATTGACTATGACTGTCATGAAGTTGGAGATTTCTGTTCTCCTCTTTGTTGTTTTGAACCTATTGCGCCTGTGCATCGTGTTCCGAAATCACTGGTGCCACGTGACTGACGTTGATGATGATTCAACTTCGATTCCCGAAACCATACGAATTTCAATTGAGCCAACTGCAGAGGATTCCCTGAGAGAGCCACTATTGGCAAGTGATGATACCAGTGCAGATAATGTATAGTATTATAATTGTCATAATATTGAACTATTATTTTGGATAAATGCTTTTTTAATCATCGTCGGAAAGTCGCAGCAATTGATTGATTCGGTCTTCTTCAAATTCCTTGCGCAGACTGAGAAAGGACTTGACATCCTCCGAGGACAAATCCCACATTCCTTTTCGCTTGGAGGCATTCACCAAGTCCAAGACGTCTTCCAAATCGTCCACATTCACTATTTTGGAGATTTGGACCAATCTAGAGAGCGGAGCGCACGCCTTGTACAAGGCCACATTGGATTGAAATTCGTGCGACGCCAAGCGGTCTTTGGAATAATTGACAAAGTCCCGAATGTCGGAATCCAAGCTCAAGGCTCCCAAGGACGTGTATTGGCATTTTTTCAACGATACTTCCAATCGCTTGCAAACAGTACCCAAAACTTCCAAGAGCAAGACATCCGTCAATCGATCTGCCAAGCGGGAGCAAAGTGGACTAATGAGGTCATCCAAACAAGTGCAGAGTCTGGAAATGTATCCTTCGGAGACTTCCAACAATTCATAGGCTTCTTCATCCAAATCGTAATTCATGCGGACCATGTGACGCTCGGAAGCATTGCCACCTCCCATGACGGTACTGAATCCAGCATTACTGCCATCCCCCACAGCATCGGTGACCAACGCACGGATACGAGGTTTCATGACGGATACCAAGGATTCAATGGCATTGGTTGCCGAAAGCTGAAATACCTCGGTCACTGGCTCCAATTCCTTGACGCACATGCGCAATTGTTCCGTCACAGGAATGTTCGGTGGATAGCCCCTGTCCACGGATTGGAGCAACAACTGTTCCAATTCCTTGGTATGATGGGCCGCCACATCCAAATCATTAAAGGTAGCACAGGCTGCAGCAATGCCTTCTTCAATTTCTCGTCGACGTTGGGCTGGGTCTTTACCCTTGTTGGCACCACCAACTCCCACATTCTGTCCAGTCCGAATCATCAAATTACTGGCCCCGACACCGACATTCTGTCCGGTCCGAATCAAATTACTGGCGTTGAAGATACCCGCCGAACCAGCAATCAATCCTTCTCCTGGCTTTAGGGAAGCAACACCAATGTCTTCGGCACGTCGACTCAAATAATCCACCAAGACGCCCCGCAAGCAGTCCGAACAAAAGTTGGCCATGGCCGACGCCGTCCCCGTGTGTCCCGTTGCAAAGGCTCGTTGGGTACCACGACGGGCCGCATACAAGCTATTTTCGACAATGGAGGTTTGCAAGGCCCGCTTATTATTGCTAGTGGGCAAGCTGAGGGGAGTGTAGTGTCGAATATTCTCCTCGTCCATGGAAGAAAAGGCACGCTGCATACTTGCCAAGAGGAGACAACGTTCAATGACGGAATAGTATCCTCCCACTTCGGCCACTTCTTCGTGCAACTTGGTGTGAGCCGGCAAGATTTCCAACGGGGCATAGAGTTGATCGAAATCTTCTTCCGTATCCAAGTCATCATCTTTGTTGCTTCCAGCGGCCATGCCAGTGGCCCATTCCTTGCGTTCCTTTTCGCGTCTGGCTTGTTCCTGTTGCTGTTGATAGCGCATCCCTCTAGCCTTGTTGACTTCCTTGACCGAGTGTTCAATGAATCTCACATAGGATTCGGCATGTTGCAAACAAAGGGCGGCTTCTTCCATGGCCGCATCGACATCGGCCAGACTGCCCACCAGTGACGAAAAGCCACAATCGTCTTGCAAATCTTCGTCTTCCATGAGACTACTCTTGTATCTGCTTTCCAGTGCTTCGTAAATTCGTTGGGCGCTGTTGGCCGAGACGGCCAATTGTTTGGTTTGGATGTAACGCGCAAAGAGTGGAGACACGGCCTGTTCCACTTGCAAATGCACGAGTTGCACCACGGCGGCATCTCCATCGGCTCGATGCAAACAATGGGAGACCATGGGCAGGTGATGTCTCAAAATAGTCACGGCCGTATTGTAGACCCGGGCCATGCTGACATGGGGCGACGTCTTGTCGGAGGTTTGGGAAGCCTTGGCAAGTTCACTGACCAAGATTTCCTTGAGGAATCGGACATAGAGAGCCACGGCTTCTTGTTCCATTTGGACCATTTGGACCAAGGGTGTGAGCTTTCCCAGTGCCATGACGTCTGATTTTTCAACCGCCTCTTGGTAGTGTTCCAAAATGGTTTGTCTTAGACTGGCATGGGTGGATTCCAATTGCGAGACGGTATATTCGCCTGCATATTGTTTGGCGCGGTCCGTCAATTTGTCTTGTTGTTTCATTTCTAAAAAGGTGGCAATGGCTTGACTGGCCGCTTCATACCGTTCCGCCGACAAGGATTGGGATGCCATGTCACTGGATTTCCTCAAAATAAGTGCCGTTTCCACATCTTGGGCATGTTCTTCCAAATCCCGCTTTTCATCTTCGAGTTGTTTGATTTCTTGAGAGGCCTGCGAACCCCCAGAAGCAATTTTGGAAAGAGACTGCAAGATGGAATCCGTGCACGCAATTCCAGTGGAAACGGGATGAGAATCCACATCTTTCAGGTTGGGCAATCGGTGCAACAATTCGGGCAGTTCAATGGTGAATTGACTGAGTTCGGACTTTAAATTTTCAGCGAGCGTTAGAGCTTTGACATGACTTGCTTCACTCAAAGCCAATAGCGCTTGATAGGGGTCATCGGAGGATTCCAAGGCATCCACCATGCTTTTGGGAGCCTTGATTTTAGGTGTTGTGCTGAGGGGTGGTGGTTTATTATGATTCATTGCATTATTATCAGTTGTTGTGGCGGACGCAGCGGTCATTGTTTCTGCCGAAGGTGGCATGATGCCTGTCGAGGAAGGGATGGTTGGTTTGAACCTTGAAAGACTAGGGTGAGTAGGTGTCTTGTTGTTACGAGTATAATACTATGATATCAATAGTCATTAGTGCATTGGATCGATTGCTTTCACTTGCAGCTCGCAGCCTGACGTTGAATCGAGCTTGTCGTTCATCGCCTGCAAGTGGCATTATATTACATTTCTCTCTACTACCATAATTACGAGAGCCTCAATTTCTCCAAAATGGGTTGCTATTTTTTTCAATTAGTCGACTATAGTGAAAAATTAAGTAGCAAAAACTGGATCTGTTTGCGGAATGGAAAGCGGTACTACTTCTGCCTCTTGTGTTTATGGACAACAACATTGATGGACACACCTCACATACAGTACTATATATATGGGGTACAGTATATTCAATATATGCATGGTACCTGGTACCACTGCACTCCAGCATACCGGTGGGTACTAGCAGTTGAAAAAGTATAATAGTAGTTCTCTACCTACTCGTAGTCACTTTTCTAAAACAGAAATTCCTATCGTCGTCTACTCCAAACAGGACATGATTCATGGTTGTAGCTACGAGTAGTACTAATAGTATTAATAGAAGTAATTGATTCAAAATTGGCAATCTATATGCTAGCTAAATGACACAAAAAATGAAAGTGCCTACCGTTCAAACAAGGCGGGACCATGAAGAAGAGAAAACAAGGCATTCTCGTTTCGTCCACGACTACCAGCAAGGTCATTTTTCCTCATTGACGTTTTTGCTAACAACTCTGGCCAGATGCTCAATGGGATTTCACTGTGCAAGGCCCGTCGTCCGGCTAGATTGAGATCCAAATAGTGTTCAATATCACTGGAACACTTGAAATGTTGTTCCATGATAGGTCCCAAGCTTGCGAGGCTATAATTATGTTGCAGACCATTCAATAAGGATTGGGCACCTTCTTCCGTCAAGTCATTCTCTGACAAATTCAATTCCTGAATTCCCTTGAATTGACCAAGGTTGCGTGCCAAGATTTCAATTCCCTCCTCCTCCACTCCAGCATTACTGATATCTAGATGTCGCAAGGTTTGATTTTTCGAGAGACATTCGCAGAGTCCATGAATGGCAGCATTGGTCAATCGATTTTCCGAAATGTCCAAGGATTCCAACGTGGTGTTATTTTGCAAATTCACAATGGCTTGAAACATGATCGCTGGATCCAGTTCGTCCGAAAATCGTAACGATTGAATGCTGAGATGTTTTAGTTGTTGATTTTGTTGGATTAAACACGCCACCATTTCCAAGGCTTTTGACGAGACGGCATTGTTGGACAGATCGAGCGTCGTCAATGTTTTATGTTGCAATACTGCCTTTACGACAGACGCCACGGCCGAGTCTTCCATATCGCAGCCGTCCAATTTAAGGGTTTGCAATCCAGTATTTTGCATCAACGTTTGGCACAAGCACTCAATGGCAGATGGCCCCAAGTGAGAACCACACAGGTCCAATTCTTGCAGCGTGTTGTTTACTGTAAGGCCATTGAAACAGTCAGTGCCTCCAATTATGGCACTCGAAGATATTCGAAGGGCCTTCAAGGATTGATTGGTTCTGAGACAAGCATTCAAAGTGTTTAAGGTCCATGGTTCACACTTGGAGACCGTCAAGGCTTGTGTGCTGGAATAATCCATTAGGAGCGTCACTATATCGGACATTTTGCCTTTGCAGAACAACACCTTGATGGAAGCAAATCGGCGGCCATCTCGTACAAACAACTTGCGACAATCGTCCAAAATGCGATCCGTGAATTCAACGTGAAAGAAAAACAACTGGTTGATGGAATCGTTTTCTCGCACCGACCTCAAATGATGTCGGACTCGATTCTCTGACACTTTGGATAGGGTGACGCTTCCTATTCTGAATGCTGTCATTGTCCCTAATCTGAATGCTGCCATTGTATTGTTTTCGTTTTCGTTTTCGTTTTGTTTGTATTATTATATCTCGTGTATTATTGTGTTGATGTGATGTGATACTACCAGTATAATACTACTGATGTGGTGCACTAGAGAGGCGAATGGTGCCTGACAAAGATGAGCGATATTGAAAATGGAGAAATTACCGATGAAAATGCTGGAAATTCAAAATGTTTACTATTAAAATAAGAAATGTGTACGTAGTTCACGGTACCACGTGGCATTTCTGTCGCGTGGTTTGGGAGAAGACGTTATTTTCCTAGAGTTCGCGACCAAATGATGGCCAATTAAAACTAACAGCCAGATACGACAGCTTGCAACATCTAACACCTCACAATATTATGATGTCTGAAAATACGTGTCTTCCAAAAATGTCTCACACAAAAGCACAAAAGGCCCGCAAAATTCATGACATCACAGTCTTCATTATGTTCGGGCTCATTCCGATCGTGATACGGTTTGTTAATACATGTACTGAACTATTCTGTGACAACGGACACAATGTGTTGCTATCACGCATACGATACCGCTAACATCAAAAGGCCCTCCGAATCGAATATATATGCATACCGGTATATTAGAATGAACGAATAAATCATTCCGCCAATTCTTGATTGTTGTATGGTACAAATAGTAAAGCAAAATGTCATCCTTCAAACGCCCTCCAGAACCTTTTTCCGACCATGCTACGCCATACATCATCCTCATTCGAAACGCCGCAAAACTCCCACCACGATCGTACAATAATACTACATAGCAGCTAATAGAACCCTAACGCAGGACAATCAACTTTTGAGCCATCCGCCCTTCCTGAAGAACATTCCGCGTCGATGATAGCAATAGCAATGATGATGTCATACGGTACCCACCGCCGCCCAAAGCACCAAAACGCACTCACCATCAAAGCCACCAAGCATTGAGTAGTACTACTGGTACCTGGTGGGACATTCAGAAATGTTCCGCTGTCTAATCCACCATCCAACTAGCCAATGGAGCATGGATACTCGTGGGATCTCGACAACAATACCTGGTCTCCTGTCACCTGTCACATTCTTCTCCTTCTTCTTCTTCTTCAATTTTACTGACGACTGGCCTCTCCATGGTGGCTGGGGAAACAACAACAGCAGCAACAACTTTCTCGCTTCCAACCAAGAACCAACAATCGCTAGCTGGATTTCCAACAAGCAACATCATTCTCATGGCGAGAAAAGAAGGAGAAACAATGGCTGGTGGATGGGCGCAGTTGCAGCCACAGCACAACACAACACAATTCCACAATCTGCTGCTGCTACTGTAGAGAGAATAAGGACAAGAAGTCTTGACTGACTGGGCGGTTTCCTTGGGGGAAATTTTAGGAGCGAGAGTAGTACCGACTCCGAGTATTACTACTAGTAGCAGGCTTGGGCGGTAGCTAGCAGTAGGAAGGAACTGTAGTGCGTGTAGGACGAAAATGAACTTAATATGATACGCCGTTCTATTGATTAAACACATTCGGTATTAGGTACCGGTAGGTAGAATACCTTTTAAAAAAGAAGATAGGCAGAACAACAAAGCAAGTGGCCAAGCAACATTGTGTAGTTGGCGCCAAGTCTGGTATGACTCGACTAATTAATGCGCATGCGGTTTCAAGTTGCCAATATAAAATATATAATATTGAATATCGTACCGGTATTATTACCACAGTCAAAACAATAGAAAACAAATATATGAATTCTTTTGACCGCAAAAACGTGAAATCAACCTCATTGTTCCAGCTTATTCCGAGCATAGTTAGTAGTGTGACAACTGACCATGTCATGGAGAGCATCAAAAGGTCCTAAAAAGGAGGAGAATGGCTCAAAAGCAGCAGGACAATCAACTTTTGAGCCACCCCGCCTCAGTAGCCAAGAACCTTAGAATCATTCCGCCGATGGTAGTCGTAATAGAAATGATGTCATACACACCGTCCAGAGCACCAAAATGCCTCCAAATGAGAATCGACTAACTGTCATCAGGAAGAAAGCGGAACACAAAGTGTCCCGCTGTCTAATCCACCAACCAACCAGCCAACAAGGCACAGATGCTCGTGGGATCTCGACGACATGACCTGGCTAGTCACGACCTGTTGCCACCTGTTACCTTTTATGCACTTTTCACAACCTGTCACGACCTGCTGCTTCTTCTTCCGAGTGGAAGCTAGTGCCACTAGCTAGTAGTCGGCAGAGAAGACGATAACTTGCCACAAAAAGAAGAATGTGATGGAATCAATCGTGCGTTGGGGGTTGTTGCCATTTGATCCACTAACAACAATGTTCTTCTCATAGCTCCTGTGGCTAGTAGCTGGGCGGCCGGTTGGCTAGCAGTAGCTAACCAGAGCCCGCAGCAACAGCAACAACTTACTAGTATTGCTGTTAAAACGGTAGTACTAGCAAGCCTAGTAGTAGATAGTAGTACTAGTAGGAACAAGGATGATGGAATTGCTGTATAATGCGTGTATGATATGACCAAACGGAACATGACACGACCCACTGTTCTACTAGCATTGACAAAAGTCATTAGGTACTGCAGAATACCTAAGAAGACAGACAGAACAACGAAGCAAGCAGCCACCAAGCAACATTCATTGTGTTATTGGGACTGACAACAGTATTCGGACGAGTCAGTCGTTTCGACTCACTCATTTTCTCCAACAAAGTACTAGTTCCAATCGAATGCAGTCCAGGAGACGCCAAAATGCAGTAGATAGAATCTTCTACGTATCTACCGGCATTTTAAAAGTCATGATGGGAAACCAATTTATCAGTTTATCAGTTTGTTTCCATAGTTTCAAAGTGTAAAACACTTCACAGCTACTTTAAGTCTTCAATTTGAATTTTGTGAGAAGAGCAAGTCTTGTTTGAGTGGTATGTTTGAACCAATTCTATGCTATACACATACTAAGAAACATATTCGTCTAAGTACCCATGTTTGAAGTGCGCGTGGCTCGCTCACGCGAACCCTTCGACCAATCGTTTTCGTCCATTTTGAACTCCGGGTAGGCTAAAAAGCCGACCAGTCTTGAGGCAGGATTGAATTTCGGCCCTCCTTGTGTTCCTCCTCGACCGACTGCATCATTACAATAGCAACAATTCAGCATTTGAGGTACCGACATTTGCATCATTGTCTGTGTCAACAAACAATTACATGATGCGAAACCAATATTCCTCTAGAAGCTACGGCTCTATAATATCATGGCTGTTATTCAGTACCTTGCAGCCCCTACTACTTTACAGCAATAGAGTGTCAGCAGCTCCCATTGAACTTCATGGAATCAACTACAACACGCGTCAAGGTCCTGATTTTGCCTGGGACAAGTGCAAATCCATGGAACAAATCAGGACCGACTTAAATATGCTAAGTCGTGTTACTAGTCGCATCCGAATTTTGAGTCTGGCAGACTGTGGACAAGGTGATATGGTACTCACTGCGGCCAAGGAATTGGGCCTTCAAGTCTGGTTGGGTGTTTGGATTTCCGAGTTTGAATACGTCTTCGAAGGCGAAAAGGGAGCCTTATTTAACTTGATTAATAATGGACTTGTCGACGAGAACACAGTTTTGGGTGTCACTGTCGGATCAGAGGCTGTCTACCGGGAAGAAGTCACTGCGGAAACCATTATTGATTACATGAATCAAATCCGAGGAATCCTAGCCGACGGGGGGCTATCAGGATTGCCAGTCACTATTACCGAAATTGCACCAACCTATAGTCAGTACTCCAACTTGAGATCGGCTGTCGATGTCATCTATGCCAATATTTTCCCATTTTGGGAAGGAATCAACATTAATGGAGCCATTGCCGATATGGTGACTGATTTGGACTGGGTCATGAACCTTCCCGAATCTGCCGGCAAAGAGCTCATTATTGGTGAAACTGGATGGCCAGAGTCTGGTTCAGTTTCAGCAGAAGACATTGTTGGAAACATTGGAATTCCTAGCGTGGCAAACCAAGTCCAATTCTTTAGAGACTTTTACTGCGAAATTGGAGTCACGAGAGGCTGGAAGTACTATTGGTTCACTGCCATTGACAACAAGTGGCGCCAAGCACAAGATATCGATAACACCATTGAAGGCACTTTTGGGTTTCTCGATGAAAACTTGCAACTCAAGTCGCACTTTCAGGATTTGTCCTTTACCTGTAACGATGGCGTTACCTACAACTTTGCTGAGACAGATTGGACCGTTCCAAATGCTCCAAATGCTCCGGTTGATACACCAACTGAAACTCTAGCCCCAAATGAAACACCAAGGGAGGCGCAGGAGAATATGGCTTGTTCCGTTCACGCAAAATGCGCTGAATTGGGATTGCTTGGTAGCTGCTGTCCCACCAATGGCCTCAATCCAACATTTTTGAGCTGTTGCGACAACGATAACCTCTTTGCAACCCCAACCACTAGCCCAAGCAAAGCGACGCCTAGTCCAACAAGACTTACTCCTAGTCCTACCGTGACGCCACCCACTCCAGCAGGACAAACACCAAGTCCGACAAGAGTTACTCCCAGTCCTACGAGAATTACTCCATCGCCCACAAGACAAACACCCGGTCCCAGTCCAGCAACCCCAGAACCCACAAGACAAACGCCTAGTCCTACTCTAGCGACACCAGGACCCACAAGACAAACGCCCATTCCTACTCTAGCGACTCCAGAACCAACCAAGTTCCCCACTCTTGCTCCAATCACACCAGCACCATCGATTGCGCCAGTGACACGCGAGCCAAGTACTTCACCAGTGACTCTGGATCCCACCGTGACACCACTCTTTCCAAGCACTGGAACTCCAAGTGCTGCACCAATTACTCAGGATCCAACCTCTGCTCCGGTGACTTCGGAACCAACAGCCGCACCAACGTGGATCCGCACTGGCCCACCAAGTACGGGCGCCCCAACGTCCCCACCTACAAGTTCGGGAGCTCCTTCCATTCTGGTTCCGACCATTGATATCGTGGAAGACTTGGAAGTATATCTATTCGGAATGCTTTCGTGTAGAAACTATTGCTTGAATGCCTTTGAAGCGAAGTTAATCAATCACATCGAAACCTTCTACGCTTCTTCCACTGGTTCCTTTCAAGTGTTGGAGAACATTCCAAGAATTACTGGAGTCGGTCCTATCTTTATGGCCGACGAGGAAGATGATGATGATGGCGATGATGACGATACTATCGTTGATACTGCCGATGGAGACACAAGAAAGCTTCAAGTGGAGGGCAACCAAGTTGGTGTTCGAATCATTTACGATCACACGTTTGAGTGGTTCGCCCGAGGCTCTGGCATTATGGTGGAACAACTTGCCGGCCTTCCCTTTGCATCGGAAGATTCTCGAGACGCTTTTGTGGCATCATTGAAACAGTTCAATGTCTTTGACAATATGACTGAAATTTCTAGTATTGTCTTTCCAGAATTCACTTCAGCACCAACCTCGGAACCTACCGAAGACACATCAACAAGACCGCCATCTAGCACAGCTGGTGCAAACCAAGACGTGGTGCCACAGCCAGGGGAAGTTTACTCGATCGGGGTTATCGTGGGCATTGCGGTGGGGGGTTCTGCTCTACTTTTGCTCTGTCTATTTTGTTTCTGCTATGCGAAAAAGAAAAACAAAGATCAAGGATCGTACGCTCCACCGGGCGACGACTTCAGCTTTGGTTTCTCGACGGTATACACCAAGGAACAGGAGCCCGTTTCTAGAAACTACAATCCTAATCGTTAACAATAATGTATCAGTTTAGTTGCACCATCTATTATTCGGATCCTTGTGAATATCCATACTCATCATTGACAACAAAATGTATTTTAAATTTTTTTAGGCGCACCCTCTACTATTCGGGCCCTTGAAGTCACGTTGATGAATCCATGCATTGGCACCATACTTGACGCCCTTGATGACAGGCAAAGCCTGGTGATCAGTTCGAGAATCCTTCTTGTTTGGATCCTTATCATGTACACTTGGCCACAAGACGGCTCTGCCTCTTTTTGGAGTCACTGTTACATTGTTGACATGTGGAAAGTTTGTACCGCCTCCTTCCTCGACTTCGTTCAGATACATGTAAAACGTCAAAATTCGAACACCGCATGGCCGTTGTAGGTTGTATGGAATGTAGTCGCTGTGGACTTGGTAGAACTGGTCGTGTTCATACCGAAGCAGTTGCAAGTTCTCCGAGTTGGTTTCCGGAATGCCGGTAATGTTTTCTATTCTTCCCATCACGACTTGTGCAATGGGATCTTCGTAGCAGTCTCCGACACACCATGCGTTGGTGGACGTTCTCCCCCCATTGACGTAATTCTCGTGGGTTCCATCCTTCTTTTGCTTTCCAACATCCGAAGATCTTTCGTATCCTTGTTCTCCTCCCAATTCAATGAGTCTTTGGGCTTCAGCTTCCGACAAAATGTTGTCGAATTGCATCATCCATGGCCCTTCTGGTGGTCTCGATACAACCACTGGCTCAAACTGTTTGTACTCAGGCGAGCTGAGAATTCTTTCAAACATTTTGGAAAGGTCTCCTGGATACATGGCATCCACGGCATTGGGATCCAAAGGACATCTTGTTTCGATATGGAGCATCTATATGCGAAAAAGATGAAAATTGGTCAGTCACCTAATGTGATACAAATACTGGATGGATGAATGATGCTTGAGAAACCTTTTCTTAAAACTCACCTCACAAGATTGGCATACAGGAGCACAGTTGACATGCATGTATCCGGGATTGTTTTCGCATTCTCCTAAGACACTCCAGAAAGTACAATCTTTGTGCTGATTCTTGCATAGGTCCCTCGTCTTTGCGTATTTCTCATCGACCATCACCTCGTTGGCAACATATTTTCTTGCACTCTCAATGGTCGCAAGACATTCCTTGGCTCGAATTGCATCAATGGATTGTTCCACGCCCAAATCAGAGCCAAGCTCATCATATTCTTTGGGTGCTGGAGCCGCCACGCCTGAATAGCTGGCTTCTGAAATGACTTCAGAATCATCATCGGCAGTGATGCAGGTATCATTTGTCTGTGTGTCGACGTCGTCGAGAGCATCGTTGCTCTTGAAAACAGCATTCCTCGTGGCCGTGTCGATGGCACCAGCGTGGGCTGTACCAACAAGTAAAGCAGAGGATAGGAGTGGTGCAAACAATTTCATTGCAAGATTTCTTTATTATGAATACAGCACCAGTACAATGTAATAAGGCATCCAACACAACATATTTGTGGGTTCGGATTTGTCCAACGGACTTCGCATCGCACATCATTGGGGGTAAGGGACTTTTTGGTCCCTCATAATGGGGGAACCCGTCATATTCACACAAAAATAGTATCGTGCGACTATGATGGGCGTACACTGCAGTATGTAGCCTTTTCTACTCTCCTATGCACACTGCGGAAGACGGAGCTAATCGGGCACCGATTCCAAGGCTATGATGAGGGACGAGAAGCTCGTTGAAAAGTGGATGGTCTATCCAGCCGTTTAGGTTTTGTGGGAAATACTATAATAGCAAGTACTAAAATAAAATAAAACAAGAAAATACAAGTAGTTACTAGTTACACCCTCTGTTATTCGGTCCCTTGAAGTCACGTTGATGAATCCATGCATTGGCACCATACTTGATGCCCTTGATGACAGGCAAAGCCTGATGATTCGTTCGAGAATCCTGTGCGTTTGGATCCTTATCATGCACACTTGGCCACAAGACGGCTCTGCCTCTCTTTGGGGTCACTGTTACATTTCTGACTCTTGGAAAGTTTGTACCGCCACCTTCCTCCACTTCGTTCAAATACATGTAAAACGTCAAAATTCGAACACCGCAAGGCCGTTCGGTGTGGTATGGAATGTAGTCGCTGTGGACTTGGTAGAACTGGTCGTGTTCATACCGAAGCAGTTGCAAGTTCTCCGAGTTGGTTTCCGGAATGCCGGTAATGTTTTCTATTCTTCCCATCACGACTTGTGCAATGGGATCTTCGTAGCAGTCTCCGACACACCATGCGTTGGTGGACGTTCTCCCCCCATTGACGTAATTCTCGTGGGTTCCATCCTTCTTTTGCTTTCCAACATCCGAAGATCTTTCGTATCCTTGTTCTCCTCCCAATTCAATGAGTCTTTGGGCTTCAGCTTCCGACAAAATGTTGTCGAATTGCATCATCCATGGCCCTTCTGGTGGTCTCGATACAACCACTGGCTCAAACTGTTTGTACTCAGGCGAGCTGAGAATTCTTTCAAACATTTTGGAAAGGTCTCCTGGATACATGGCATCCACGGCATTAGGATCCAAAGGACATCTTGTTTCGATATGGAGCATCTATAGCCGAAAAAGATGAAAATTGGTCAGTCACCTAATGTAATACAAATACTGGATGGATGAATGATGCTTGAGAAACCTTTGAAAACTCACCTCACAAGATTGGCATACAGGAGCACAGTTGACATGCATGTATCCGGGATTGTTTTCGCATTCACCTAGGACACTCCATAAAGTACAATCTTTGTGCTGATTCTTGCATAGGTCCCTCGTCTTTGCATATTTCTCATCGACCATGACCTCGGTGGTGATGTACTCTCGTGCACTCTCAATGGTCGCAAGACATTCCTTGGCTCGAGTTGAATCAATGGACTGTTCCACTCCTAGATCTGAACCAAACTCATCGAATTCTTTGGGTGCTGGAGCCGTCACGCCTGAATAGCTGGCTTCTGAAATGACTTCAGAATCATCATCATCAGCAGTTATTATGCAGGTAGTATCATTTGTTTGAGAGTCTGACGAGGCGTTTTCTTCCAGAGCATCGTTGGTGCTTTTGAGGACACAATTGCCATTCCTCGTGGTTGTGTCAATGGCACCAGCGTGGACTGTACCAACGAGCAAAGTAGAAGATAGGAGTAGTGCAAAAGATTTCATAGCAAGGATTCTTTATTATTACGGTATATTTTTTATATGAAGGCATTCAACAAGAGGAAGCATGTGTTCGGATTTTCGTCGCAACGGACTTCGCGTTGCATTGGGGGCGATTTTTTTATTTTTATGGTCTGTTTCTTGTCCGCAATCTATTTTCTTGATTTCAGGAGTTGTGAAGAAATGGAATAGACTCTAATATACAGAGACACAGTTTACGATTCTGTATCAATACTGTAGCTCTGATTATCATCTCGTCAAACTTCGACCGTTTCACTGAAAATGTTTACAACTTGCCTCACGCCGACCACCGTCGTTCAAATTCTCTCTTTGCTTTGGGCGTCCAGACAATTTCAATGTCATCTTCGTGTGCAGATTCTCGATCATCGGACACGAACGTAAAGTTTAGAGCAAATTCGTCCGAACTTTCGCCGTAGTAGCTATCAAGGTAGGTAGAGTTTCCAAGTTTGCTCACCCGCTGCTGTTTACGTTTGTATTGTGCCACCTCGTATGGGCGTCCTCCCAAGAGGGGCACCTTTCCATTGCATCCCAATACACCTGACATGAGTACCGTGGCAAAGAACGGGTAATACACAAAGATGCTAAGGCCCATTTGCACAAGATACGCAAGCACAAAGTGAAATTCTTCAGTCCCGTTCACGTTCAAGTCCCAGGCCTCTTCGGTAAAGAAGAAGTCGATAGCATTGGAATCTGTAACGTTGCTAGTAGTAGCCACGTCATCAAGCGTATCAGTTTCCGGATTCCCAATGGCGATCCTCATGAGAATGACAAGAATCGTCATGATTACAATCATAAGAACGACACCTCGAATCACATGTTTTCCAAATGACGGGCAACAGGCCCTTGCTTCGCAGCAGCCACCCGCTCTGCAGCAACTGCAAGCGGCAATGTACCACAAGCACAAGTTGAAGGAAGCATGGATCCCACCACCAACAGTCCAAAGTAAAAGCATTCCCGTGGTGAGTGTATATATATCACCCGAGTCGAGCGTGATGCTCATGACAATTTGATCAAAGTCAGGGTTCCACAAGTAGAACAAGTAAAAGATATTCGTCATGACGAGGCCAAACAGGATGGATCCAAAAAGAGCAATCATCCTTGTGCAAGATTTGATTGGATGAAGTTTATGGTGTAAGCAGATTCCAAAGAGAGGATGGTTATTGCGCATGAATTGTCTCCAATCTTGGAACCAGGTGTTTCCAGGAATGTGATAAGCTTGGGCAGCGAGGAGTGGAACCAAGTACGAAGGGTCCGATCGATAGGAGCTACCCATTGTAGTCTTGTACTTTGAGAGTCGGGAATGGGCATCCGAGCAAGTCTCATCACCCATGGATACCTGTCGGGAGGACAGCGTCGAACCCTCGCTGGAAGACTTTTGTCGTTGGATAGAGTCTCGCGAGGACCTCTTCTGAAAGTCTCGCGAGGAACGTGTGAATTTACGAGTCGACTGAGCATGTTCGTGTTGGACTTGTGATTGTTGGAACTCTAACCTTCGATTAGACTTCCCAGCTCGATAGGATTTGGAAACGTTTAAGGAAGGTTTGGATTCGGCGTTACTTTGGTGATGTGTCACCAAGGTCGCACTTCTACTGAGAGGGGCGTGTTTGCTGTAAGTTCGAAGAGGTTGTGATATTGCCGTTCTTGGGTTGCGCTTGGATCGCGTTGGATCCGTTGGTCGATCGTAGGATTGGTTGTAAGTCTCCATTCTTTCTCGTGCTGAAAGGACAGGTGCAGTGTTTCTCTCACGAGCTCTGATTGCTGGCCCTGCCGAAATTGATCGTTCCTTCCGAAATGACTTCATGAATGTAAGGTTGAGCCTGATTTGTTGATAGATGATTCGAATACTACGATGCAGATTCTGCTATCCAATAGCCAACTTTGCCGCGTTCTTATTGTTCGGTTATTTCTTATTCTGTTTGCGGTGGAGTGACGACACTCGTCAGGTTAAGGTGTGGGTCGTGCGTAATTTGAAATTGAAATGGTGCGTGAAGCTGGTCCTTTGAGTCGTATATGACTCAAAGGACCAGTCAAAGATTGCCCGCGTAAACGATCCTCTGCGTATTCGACGATTGATCGCACCAAGACTATGTATAGATCCATGAGTCCTCTTGGGAAAGTACCGTACCCGCATGCATATGCATGTCCCATTTTCTGGATCTGAAAGACGCCAATGGCAAACGACCACTGAATTATTTGGTCTCCAACTGGACTGAGACAGCGGCAGCTTTGCTTCAAACAACACTGCAGCAGAGATGGAGGATGATTGATCGACTTGCTCGTTCTTGTGGTGGTGCTGCATCCTGGAATGAAGCCATGGAGAGTAAGGTACAAGCTGTATAGCTACTTGCTCAAGACGACAAGGAACAATGGGAGCATGTTCTATGTTTTCGCATTACAAGATATGGCGGGCAGGTCGATCTTGGAAATGGCTTTGTGGAAGCGGCAACTCACAGGGTGGACTTATCAATGATTATGCGAAACGACAGGCGCGATACAGACAAGAGTGCCGGTGTGCCTGTGGATCGGATGTTGTGATTCCGAATGTAATGCAGTTCTTGGACATTCGTATGAGTCATCCTCCCTCTCACTGCTACCTTTTGAATTTGATTGATTGGCTGATTGAATTGGGAGGGAAGAAACCGGCCATGCCGCAGATAGAGATACAGCACTTTCATCATTTTCAAAGATTTATAATATGGATATTATAAACCGGTACCGTAATAAGAAACTATGTGACTGTGTCTACGGATATGATTTAGTGACATCCCTTCTTTTGGGCCGCCTGGTAGTCATAGAGGTGAATCCAGCTATTGGCCGCAAACTTCGTTCCTTCTTTCACTGGAAGAGCTTGATGTCTCATTCGAGGATCATCCTTCTTTGGATTCGAGTCATAGACTGATGGCCAAAGCAAGGCTCGTCCCTTCTTTGGTTCAACGGTGATGCCTAGATCTGGAAAGTTGGTACCACCACTGTATTGTTGGAACGAATAAGGTTAGAGGACAAAACGAATGAATGAATGAATGAATCAGCTCTCTGCCCAATTTGTTTGATAACTAACTTACCCTTCTTCGACATCACTCAAATAGAGGCTGAGAAAGGCAGAATTCAAAAATGAGTAAAGTCTGTGAGATTGGAAAACAACAAACTCCTCTAGACATCTCGAAGACTTACAAGAATGTTAGAATCCTCGGTCCACATGGCCGATCCACTTGATGTTCGATGAAATCCTAGTCCAAGGAAGCAAAAAAGAGAAGTGTCAGCTGAAGATAATCATAGATGTGCAAGCAAGCATATTGGTACATACATGATGTGTCCGATAGAATTGACCCTTTTCATACTTCAGAATCTGCATGTCTTCTCCATTATCAGCGGGGATATCAAGTACTTTTGACATTCGATTGTGCAATCTGGTTGGAACGGTTGCGTTTCGGCACCCCAAATGCCCAGAGCACCAAGCATTTTCTGAAGTACGTCGGCTATTCTCGATACTCTCGTGTGTCCCGTCAAATTTGAGCTTGCCAACGTCAGCACTTCGCTTGTATTCATGCTTGTACCCCAATTGGATCATTTCGTCGCACTCTTCGTCCGATATAAAATTTTCAAACACAACCACCCATGGAGGTAGCTTGTCATTCTTGGCACTGACTTCGGTCGAAGGTTCGTCACTTGGACGCGAGATTACTTCGACGGTGTATTCTGTCATTTCATTTTGCTTCAGTTCTTCGCGTTCCTCGTCCGTCAAAGTACGATTTCCCGGTGCGGTTTCCACAATTCGTTCAAACATTTTGTTCAGTGTTCCGGGTTCAAGCCCAGGGACAGCATCGGCATCCACGGGACAACGCGCACTAATACTGCAAGTGCCATATGAAGATCCCAGCAACGTGAGGTGGACTCAATGAAGGGTGCGGCAAAACACAAGCTGGCTCCACATGAACTTACTCGATGAGATGACATGAATAACACGATGGGGCACACTGGATGACCATGTACGCCTCATTTTTTTCGCATTCACCTGTAATGATAGCAATTAGTGGATCTCGGAGAATGGAGCTAGTAATGCACACACAATTCTACCAATGATCCTTACCCAAGATGGCCCAGAACGCACAAAGTTCATTCCGATTCATGCAAGATTCCTTGATTGCGGGCGATAGTTTTGTAAATTTCTCTGACGCCATATAGTCAATGGTTGCCTTGACTCGAGCAATCGTCTGTCGACGTTCCCCGCCATCCGCCACTTGCTTTTCTCCAAAGCTGGCCGATTCCTCCAAAATCACATCGGTATCAACTGCCAACTCCTCTGTTGAGGCAGGGTACTCCTTTGTCTTTCGTTGCTTAATCTTTTCACATGCCGTGCAACTTCTAGCACAATTCTCATTCATCCCTATATATCATCGTAGCGCATGGCAAACAGACTCTGATTAGCAAAGATAGGAACTGACCAATCTCCTTGTCAGGTTGTCACTTACACTACAATAACCATCAAAATTAGATTTCTTCTCGTAGTCACAACATCGACGCTCATCTGAGTCATATCAAGTTGTTTTACTTACTGAAGGATTCGCAACACTAAGGTAGAAGAAAAGCAGCAAGCCAATTAGAACAGGCATTCCGACCAGCAGATTGGTTGTCAATCTTCAATTCTTACCATTCGCCTGAAAATAATGACAAATGACCACGGGCCGGTGATTCATTCGAATTAGTTTGTTTCATGATCATGACTTCAACTCAACACAATTGCGTCTTGACGAACCTTTATCTGCCCAATAGCGACAGTTCGTATGTTCGTCCACACATGGCATCACATCCTCGTCATCCTCATCCGAGCCAGTCGCATTGGCAGCTGCTTGTTCCTCGCAAGCATTGCAGCTCTTTCCACAGTACTTTCGCATATCAGGATTATCGACACAGTTGTCCTTAATCTGGGACCAAGCGGGACATCTCACATGAAGATCCTTGCAGTCATCTTCCTTGCACGAAACGGGGCATTGCTCTTGCATGTAAGCCTGTGAGCAAAAAGAAAATGACAGAAAACATGATGGTTAGACTGCCGAGTGAATCAATCCATGATGCCAATCAAACTCTCCGTATACTATCTAACCCATCATTCTATCGTCTTCAAGAAAACATGACGAGGCTTCGACTTGCCTTGTTGCGCTCACAAGTACCGTTTTCTTTCCATTTGGTGCATTGGGGCAACTTGTCGCATACTCCGTTGGAATCACACTTTTGTCCTTGCACCACAGCTAGGAAAAGAGTCAGAATTGTCGCATAGCACTGAAAGCTTCTCATGTTGTGGACTAAACGAGTTTTGGCTTTGGTATGCACTCGATTTTTGCTCCAATGATTGCAGCTTCTTTTATGACCTGCAAATATTGCCATGGCGGCAGCGCATTGATTGTTTGATTTTTCAAATCTGGAAGAAGACGACTACTACGACTAACACAAATTCGAAACCAAAGATACGAAATATTTTATGATGACGTTTGTCAACAATAATGCCGCAACGATGACTTGTCACTCAACACCTTTCAAAACACTTTTGAGGAAATGCAATTGATTGCTTCTCGGATACTCACAGTTCTTGTGATCTTGATTATCTTTCCAGAGGCAGCATGTTTTTCGGTACCAACAACTTCCCCGGGTAGCTCGAAACCAACAAAATCATCAGACAAGACGAAGAGCGACCAGCATGCTGGTCGTTCGAATTTCTACACGTACAAGTCAATGAAGCGAATGGAAATTCCAGCTCTGCTCTATTCTACTTCTTCCAATGCAGCCTGTAAGCTACTACGCCGTCAACTTCAGACAGTGCCCCCTAGTAGACCCTTATCATCAATGGAGTCATCATCCTGCTCGGCTTCTCGGACAACAAACGACACAACTCAAGAAGAACCTCGCATTGCTATTGTCACTGGCAGCAACACTGGAGTCGGTTACGAAACTGCCAAATGCTTGGTTCTGAATCATGGATATCAGGTCATTATTGCCAGTCGATCTCCTGAAAAAGGAATGCGTGCTTGTGAGACTATCAATGCTTTGGTTGTTGGCGGAGGACGAGGAAAGGCTGTTTGGGAGGGACCCTTGGATTTGTCTGATTTGGACAGCGTCCGGTCCTTTGCAACACAGATTCATGAGAATCCAAAGTACAAGAACATAGATGTCCTCATCAACAATGCGGGTGTTAACTCTGCTGGAGTTACCAATTCTGGTGCCACGACTAGAACAGCAGAATCAGCACTGTCCAAAGAACCGCAATTGGATGCAGTCTTTTCCACCAATTTTCTAGGCCACTTTTTGCTGACCAACATTCTCCTAGATCAATGCGAGCGAGTGGTGAACCTGTCCTCTGTGATGCATCACTTCCCGGTCTATTCCTCATCTGATCAGGAAGTCGACGACATTGAATCCGTAGCCTTTTGGAGGGACAAGGCATTGACACCACCTGTGGAGGCTCCAATAAACAACAAGAAAAAGAAAAAGGCAAAACGAAAAACTTATGGTCCAAGCAAACTAGCGGCATTACTATTTACGTCGGAACTCCAACGACGATACGGTGACAAGATGTTGTCCATTGCAGTCAATCCCGGGGCGGTTTACAGCGACATTTGGCGGAACTATTCCAAAATTCAGCAAAAACTCTTCCGGTTGCTATATCTGACGCCAGAACAAGGCTGTCAGACCTCTGTGGCCGCTGCCGTCTTGGATTGGAACGATGACAGCGAACAAACCTTATACTTGCAACCCTATCGGTTGCCACCACAGCGTACTAGTACGACGAAGAAGGAGGCTCGGCCGCCCTTTCCCATGTTGGAAATGTTAGGGCCTTACGTGGGATACCGTTTAACAACTCCTCGTCTACCAAGGGATGGTGGTGTTCGCGCAAGTCAGTCATTATTTGAAGTCTGTGAAGACTTGACCCAATGCCAGTTTCCACGGTAGTAGATGGTGGCTCATTCTTTAATTAGATTTGTTACTATTAAAGCCTGGCAACCCTTCCCCTCATGTCATGTCATATGACATTTCCCCATTCGAATTGTGCTTAAAGATCGACTCTATAATCAATTCCCTCAGTTAGCCCCGATTTTCCAAAAGACGGTTCAACAACGATCTGTGCGCTTCCATACGCCTTTTCGTGTCAGGATGATCGTCGCCAATTGTTCTTCGACGAATCTTGAGGGCTTCTGCACTCGCAGCAATTCCATCTTGGAGCATTTCTTGTAAGACATATGCATTTGCAAGAGTTTCGTAGGCTTCTGCTGTTGCGGGGTGCATTTCGCCTAGGGATTCCTTTTGTATCCCAACCACTTTGTAAAGAATCTCCGTGGCATCTTCGAACTTGCCTTGCAGTTGCAAAAGTCCTGCTTTGGTGTCAAGCGATTGTGCCAATATTCCTTTAATGCATGGACCCTGCCCTTTTAGTCGATAACAAACTTGGATGCTTTTATCAAGCATCTGAAGAGCATCGTCAAACCTATTCTGGTCTGCCAACATCCCTGCAATGCCAGAGTATGCAACTGCAACTTCAGGGTAATCTTCCCCGTGACTTTGTAGTAGTTTTGAAAGTACAGCTTTTTAGATCTTGATTGCCTCTGAAAACTTGCCTTGAAATTGCAATGCCCCACTTAGATGTTGGCTGACATCCATCAAATCAGACATTTTGCCGGCAGATCGTCCATGATATCAAGAGCTTTACGGAGCGTTTCTTCGGCTTTTTCGTCGTCATTTTGTTTCAGAAGTGCAATACCAATGTACTTGTAGGTATTTGCTGTATCAAGATGTTTTTCTCCCACTTTCTTCAACTGTATGTCAAGAGCTCGTTTGTGTTGCTCCAAGGCTTGATCTCTCCTCCCTTCCCTCTGCAGCACATTTCCAATGTAGTTGAGCGTCAAGGCCACATCAAGACTATCTCCACCAAAATCTTTCATTTGTATCTTCAACGCTCTCTGGAAAATCTCCTTTGCCTTTTTATGGTTTCTTTGACTACGATAGGCATGGCCTTGCTGCAACAGAATCTTGGCCTCCATAGTTTTCCCCCGTTTCTATAGAGCCTCTTCTTCTCTGTTTTGAATTGCTAAAAGGTAAATACGATTTTAGGTTACTAACTGATGTGCATGTGATATTGTGTCGATGCTTTGAACTTTTGTTCATTGTCAATACATAATATATTCTCACTCATACATATATAGTACTTCAGTATTCGTCTGTCATCATCGCATGTCGTGTGGACGTGTGGGGCATCGCTTATTGCATCAAATGCATTACAATAATCATCAGGTGAGATGGACAGACCTTTATTTTTATTGTATGTACAGTGTACGAGTAGAGACGGTGTATTAGACGACTGTCAACTGTGAACAAAAATATTTGTGCTGAAAAACAATGTATTAGTATTAATAGTTCATCCCATCATTCTAGCTATAGGGTACAGTCGTAACGGAACCAGTTGTCTTTGCTTCGCGTAATTTTTGTGAGCACACCTAAGTTTATACTTCTTCTTGTAATCATTCTGCTCATATTGAATAGTACGGTACTGCAGTGCTGTCATGGCGTTCGCAAATCCCCAAGACCAACAAGCCTCTTCTTGAAAACAAAATCATATTTGCCACCCATGCCACCCAAGCAAGAAAGCATATCTTTCCATAAATCCTTGTTATCTTGTCTTCCTTGGCATGGTGTCCCGGCATATCTCAATAGGAGATCCGAGGAAACCGAAGTACGAGATATCCTTTTAGATTTATTGATCCAATTTTCCTTTGATGAACAAAGCATTTCTTGTATCAAATCCATGTATTCGGACTCCTCGTTCATCAGCTTATCCGAACCGCTGATAGAGACTCCACAAGTCTTCGACGTGTCCGAAACATTCGTCTTGGGCGATACAAAGAGGCCAGCTAATGGCAAGTCGCTCTATACGGTGGCTCGTCCAAATTTCCCTGATGAACTCGTCCACGATTCATTCTTCCTCAATATTCCGATCGATTGAGTGACTATGAACGTTACCAAGAAGGGACCGAAATCATCTCCGACTCTCTAAAAGACGTTTTAGAAGAGCTCTATGCGCTTGCATACGCCCCTTCGTGTCAACATGATCGTCCCCGAGTGTTCTACGACGAATCTTGAGGGCCTCTGCACTCGCAGCGATGCCATCTTCTAGCAAACCTTGTTCCACTCTGATATCCGAAATATACTCGTAGATTGTTGCCATATTGGAATGAGGACCACTAAACCTTTCGTTGTAAATATCCAGCGACTCTTGGAAAAGTTGTACCGCATTTTCCGGATCGCCTTGAACGTACATTGCAAGTCCCTGGTCGATCAAGTCGTTCGCATTTTTCTTGAGCAGTAACAATTGGCGGGCAACCATAAGCTGCTCTGTGTGGGGATGGTCATCGCCAGACACCCTTTTGTGAATGTTGATGGCTTTCGCGTACGCCTCAATGGCATCTTCCAGCATATCTTGTCGGTTGTACGCCAGTGCAAGCTTTTCGCAGGTCCCTGCTATTGCAGGGTCCATTTCACCTAACTTTTCCTCTTGCATGCCTAGCAATTTGGTGAGTACCTCTGTGGCACCTTCGAAGTTCCCATGCGCTTCCAGCAAGCTTGCTTTGCTTTCGAGCGTTCCTGCAAACATCCCGAGGTCGTCCCCCCCTGGTAGTCGAGCGCAAATTTCGGCGCTTTTATCAAGTAGCTGACAAGCATCATCAAGTCTATTTTGATCTGCCAGCAGCTGTGCAATACAAATATATGCAAAAACGACTTCGGCATGGTCTTCCCCATGTTGTTCTAGTAGTTTCGCAAGTGATGCTTTTTCTGTCTTGATTGCATCTGAAACCTTGCCTTGCCTTTTCAATGCTAGCACTAGATGTTGGTTCAGCCTTGTCAAGATGAATGGTTCTGGTGACGAAGTTTGGAGATTGATGATATGCAGAGCTTTTCGGAACATTTCCTCGGCTTTTTTACAGTTTTCTTGATGCAGAAAGGCTTCGCCAATATTTTGATAGGTATTGGCTATACGAACATCGTTTTCTCCTAACTTCTTCAACTGCATCTCAAGAGCTCTATTGTAATGCTCTATGGATTCATCTGACTTCCCTTCCTTCAGTAGGATATCTCCAATGTAGTTGAGTGTCAAGGACACAGAAAGATGATCTTCACCTAACTCTCTCGTTTGTATCTCCAGCACTTCCTGAATAATATCCTTTGCCTTTTGATAGTCCCCTTGTTCGTAATAGGCATATGACTTTCCGACGAGTTCCTCAAGAATCAAGTCTTGTTCGCTGGGCTCCATCGTTTCCTACCTACGCAGCTCGAGCGTCTGCGTTTTGCTTCCAGATGATAGCATGCACTCTTCACTATGAATAATAGTGTTAGGACTAGGTCACGACGATGTGGACTGCAAACAAATGACCTTATTCGACAAGAATACTACTATCAACGCCTGTTTCTCACGTCTGGGACTTCTTGAGACGATGAAAGTCTTTTGACAAACAACTTGCGGGTATTCAAATGGACGCGGGATATATATTCAATATGCCGGTATCACAGGAGGTGCCACAAGACTGCTTTGAAATACCTACCGTGATGGCTCGTGTAGACACCCGGGATTTCAAAGTGGATCTGACGTTTCCTACTGCGTGGCTTGATACCAAAATCCCGCGTGAACGCGTGCGTCCGCGACGGTTATCCACTTCCCGAGAAATTCCAGCCCATTTGAACGGGCCAGTGGGAAAACGGTCTCAAAACCCCCCTTTGAGCTCCCTTTAATGCAAGATGTCGTTCGCAAAATTTGCGTGGGATATACGTTCCTAAGTACCAGTCTATCGTTCGTTGCTAATAGGGGGATGTGAAGGTTGAACGGATGTTGTTGCATGTGGATGACATAGAAACGACACTGCCAGTGGACAAAATTTCTGGCTCAGATTTCGCGGGGAAGAGTGCCAGTAAGTTTTGGACTTCAGAGTTCCGTTCGACATCCTCCCTGGATGAGAATTGGGAATTGAACGACATCAGATTTTCAGACATCCGATCTTGTCCCGCAGAACTAATACAATCATCACAATCTCTACTCCGAATAGCTCGTACTGTCGACATTCATTACAGCTACAACAGTGAGTGATGCAGGCACAATCTGATATCATGAGTAATCAGAGTTACAATTTCTTCCAGACAGACACAAATTCTGTGAATGTGAACAATGGTGTCAGCAACAATCCAGGGGCATGCTTGTTTGATGCTGCCGCTTCCAAGAATTATCACACGGTGATTCAGCTATTTGCTTCTAATGCAAGAAATTCAGTCGCTAACTACCTATCGATGAAGAATCGCTGGAAGCAACAGCAGCGTCAACAGGACCTTCATCAACAAGCAGCTTATGCCAAATCAGGTGAGACGGTAGTTCGGTATTTGTGCATGTGAAGGATGAAAAAGAACTATTGCACTTGGTGCGGTTCTCATTACCCTTGATTGTATCATATCAATCGTGTTTGTAATTGTCATCACACTGCTACTTGCTAACCCTCTCCCTTTTGTGCCTTAATTGTTCTTCCATCAACTTTCCGTCTCATGCTGAAACTCTCTGAATTCTGTCAAAATCCATCACCATCACCATCTGACATCAGAGGAAAAATTGGATGAATTCATGCCAAGTCTCTGCGATCCTTACTCTCCCGGTCGGTCATCAGGGGAAGATGAAACATCCTATTATCGGTTGTTGCAAGAATTGGCATATATTGTAGAAGAAGGTGTCAATAATGTTCCACCAGAGTCGCCTCCGTCGTCACCATCAGCCTCACCGCCACCATCAGTGTCTTTGAAAAGACCATCCACGTCGGTAGCCATCTCCAAGGAAGCAGATCGAATTGCATGGGAGGCATCCACGATGCTCAGCGAGTCTAGACCTCCTTCTGGCTTTTGCGTCTACGACCGGTCGGGCACTAGAACTCCGCCTACCACCAGTAGTGAAGATTCATCATCGTCGAACCACCAGCAGGATCCTAATCTACCATCCATCTTTGATGGCTCGGTGGCCAATGCAACTCCTCCTCCATTGGGAGGAACCGGGACAGGGGTATCGGGGGGAGCAGGGACCATTCTACATTTGGCGTGTGCTATGGATCAGCCGTTGATCCTGGCCTTTTTGTTGTGCATGGGAGCGGATGGCAGAGCATCTCATACAGCTTTTCGCAGGCTCATGATTCATGAAGCAGCCTGCAATGGATCCATACAATGCCTTCAACTCTTGTTGGAACTGGGAAAGGAATTTGCGGCAGTTGCTGAGGAACACCACAAAACTGACTTTAGTCCATCCAGTGCTCCGTTTTTTCCTGGGAGTTTTGATATGAAACCGAGGACCACTTCTCGGCTCGCCAGATTTCCACCTCCGATCAATATGCGATACTTTCGTAAGGAAGCTGCCACGCCGTCGCCAGAAACTGAAAAACCCGACTTTATTGTAACACTTCGACGCTTTCAATCCTTTTGTGGAGCTGTCCAACGAGGAGAAATGGATGAATTACAAGCAGCACGATCATTGTTGAAGGGTGCCCAGCTGTCGGACTCAACTCGAGCTTCCTTGGTCCGGTCCTGTGCATTCAAGAGTAGCCGGTTGGCATCGCGCAGCTTTTTGAGGACCAATGGATCTTCCGATGGTCATGGAAATACACCGCTTCATTGGGCTGCCTTTAAGAATGAAACCCACTGCGTGTCTCTCCTGTTGGAATATGATGCCGATCCCAATGCTCGAGCCCACCCCTCGGGATGGACACCATTGCACGATGCTGCCTACAGCAATTCGGGAGAATCCATTGTGCTACTGATCAGCAAAGGAGCCAAGGTTGATGCCAGAGCCAACAGCGGCGCCACCCCGCTTTGCTTTGCTGCTCAAGAGGATGCTTCCAAGGCAGCTCAATTGCTATTGGATCGAGGAGCCGATTTGACCGCTCGCTGTGCAGGTACTCCAAGGGATGGAGCGAACCTTCAAACGGCAGTCACGAGTCATCCGCACTCTCGATTCAGCGGATATACACCTCTTCACTACTGCGCCCACTACAATGCTAGCCAAGCGGCTCGGGTGCTCTTGCAAGACAACAATGCTAAAGGTGGAATGGAGACACCCGACTTGAGCGGACGCCTGCCAATTCATATTGCGGTTGCCCGGGGAAGCAGTGATGTCCTACGAGAGCTGTTGCACGCGGGAGCACGTGTTGACATTCGACCGGTGGTTCCCAATACCAGTCCACCGCCAGCAGCAGTCACGACGTCTACTGCAGTGACTATTACTGTTTCCTCTACTAGTTCCCCACCTCTTCTTGGAGCTCTTCCACAGACGCCCCCAAGACAACTTGCAATTCCCGAGGTATTCGGAACCCCACGTCAATCGGCTGAGTCTACCGGTTCTTCAGGGTCTGCGACATCACCAGTCACCTCCCCTATCCTTCGATCCATGATCCCAGCCCAACCCATCAAATCGTCGAAACCATGGAATTGCTTGACGCAACAAGCAATCGATGAATGTCGCGATTTGATTGCCAAGGCAGAACAAAGTTGGTGCCCTGATCTTCACCTGCTCTTTACTCCACAAGATCGACGTTGTGTAATGGAATTGCTACGAGTTGGAAAGCGACTCGAGCAACAAGAGACTTCTATCTTTGTGGACTTTTGGCCGCTGGTACTGAGCTTTTGCGGTCGTGCCTGGTTCGAACAGGAGAGTCGCAAGCCAGCAGCCATCGAGTACCACCAGGAACCCTCCGATGACGACAGCTGCATGGATGTTCCAGACGATGAAGAGTTTGAGGACTATCTTTCGATACCTTCCTTAGGTCCGTCAACGTTGTCGTAAATAAGGGAGTCCAATGGTTGCGAAATGAAGGTGCTTGAGTAGATAACAAGTAAAGATGGTGCAACGATGAATCATAATTAGAAACATTTTGTGTGGATGCTTCATCAATTATCTAGCTGTAGTCTCTTTAGTAAGACGGGACCAAGAACATCATCCACAACTGGATTTCTCCAGCAATTGCAATAGCTTCCATCCGGATTGGTAAAATCATTTTCCTTGTGTTTCTCATCGGAAAAGTCCACGCTATCATCACAGAGATATCCCAGCATGCACTTGAACTTGGAATGGGCAAAGCATTCAGCACTTCTCCGGCGGGTTTCGTGTGGCAAGATGCTCCGTGCATGAATCAAAGCCCCCTGCGTCAACTCATTGACAAAAACTTCCTTCGATTGGACTTTGAATCTGGGATCCTTTTCTCGAAGGATGAATTCGTCTTGATCATTGGTGCTATCACCGCGATCTTTCTTTTTCTCCACAAAGTCCGAGTAAGTTTCGGCCAAATCCGCAGTCACAGTTGAGTAGTGGACGAAGTGGCTTAAAACATGAGACGGTCGGTAGATTTGTTTCATGGCCCTTTGAAATCGCTCCGGCTTGGGTGGACGAATGTAGTCGCAATTGTAAACTTGTAAGTACGTGGTCTTGTTTGGCGAAATAGCAATGCAAGGCTCCGTCTTGTCTTTGTTCTCTCCCGTCACATCATTTGGGTCTACGCAAGAAGATTGATCTTCCATGATTCTAAAGGGAAGAAATAATGCGAGTAACAAGAAGAGGGTAAGCAAAGTCAACCAACAACACAGCAGTCAAAATTTGGATACTACTACTCACTCCATCAAATCCACTCTTGGGAGCCCTCGACTAGATAGAAACTTCATGATAGAAATTCCATTTGTATCCATCTCTTCCAAGACTGGCTTCCAGTGGTAATCCCCTTGTTCATTGCGTTGCATGGGAACCAGATACTCGTCCGTGTCGATGAATGACATCCATTCTGTTGAATCTCCATATCGTTCTCGGCAGGAAGCTTCGGCGGCATACTGGGAACTTCTTTCACCAGGATTCTTGTGTGCTGGACCTATTTCGTGAAGCATCAGAGGCAGGATGTGTTAGAAAAATGGTTTAGAATTGAAAGTGTGCTCTTGTATTCATGGAGGCACTTACGATTATTGTTGCAAACGCGACAGGGCCACCGATGGTAGGTGACCGAGTCCTTGCCGAATTTGTTTGTGACATCCAAGAGGTCAGTGGAATTGCCATCCGAATTGTCGTATATATACCTACTTATTTGAAGATTGTTTGGAACCAAGGATTAGACTGATTGGATCGACAGTACAATGTACGTTCGCGAGAAGTTTGTGACTTACAAGTGATCAAACCCGACTTGCAAATGAAAGCGAATCCATTCTTCCAAGCGCATGCCGCTGTCCGAAATTGTGAATGTATCTGTTGGTATAATAGAGCGATGGAAATGTTGTGAGAAAGACAAAATCCACGATCAACATGGTGAACGAATGAATGAAATGATTCATCCCGTCTGACTGACTCACCTCCTCGTCTCGTGTACGAGGATGCAGTCCAGGTACATGCCACCAATTGGTGCTTTTGTTGTTGTTGCTCGAAAGGAGTCGAGATGGCAGACCCCGTTGTCTCTCTTGGACACAAGGGAAGATTGGCCCACTGAAATGCATTGGTAAATTGGAATCGAAAGAAGATGAGAATGACGAGAATGAAAATGAAAAATCCTTTCGTTGCATCATTCCACTTCAGCATTCGACCTTACCCTTCCAGCATCTTGAATTCTTGGTAGGAGATGCTTGTCACCAAAAGCCTTCTTTAAATCCAGCATGGGTATTCTATTCAGAACATTGCCCGGTCCTGTACTGTTGGTCGTCAACAATAGCTCCCGTGTTCGCACTGGAGTTCGAATCGGGATCAGGTCCAAATAAACTCTTGGTTCGCTATTACCATCAGCAAGCAATGGCTGTAGTTCTGATGGTACAGGACAGCGAAAGAGTAGCTGTGACAGCCAATAACTTCCCAAGTCTTTGCCCGCCTGCTGTCGATTGAGCATGGTCTTGCGTCCTTTGCGCCAATTCACAAATTCATAGTCAAAGTTGTGTTCCGAAAATGTGATTACGGATGCTGTTGCTGCTGCTGCTGCTGCTGTTGCTCCATTCGCAGTAGTATGAAAGTGACATTGAAACCGAGTCGCCTTGTGCGTGGCAGATTCCATGTTTGAAGATAGAAAGAACTGGTCGTCTTGGGTGTAGGTTGGTGGATCATTCTTATTGTTGTTGTTGTTGGTCGATCCATCACCATTGCCTTTGATAACGACTGTCACTGGAATAGATTGAAAGAGGGCTACTTGTGGCTCCCAAAATTTCATGACTTGTTCCTTTCCCTTTCCAGTCTGACATCGCCGTCGATTCTGTGCTACAAATTGAATGTGTTTGCCATTTGCAGATGGAAAATAGTCATGAATCCATGGCAAGTAGGGGTCCTCCATTGGAAACTCGTCAATGGGAAAGTCTTGCATCAGGCTAGAACAAACATCACTTGGATCCTTCTTTGGAGATCCATTATCGGATGCTTTCGGCCTAGGAAAGACGACCGTGGTGAGTCGTTTGGCCGAAGTCTGACGGATGAAACGAGGCTTATCGCTGGAATCGTCACCTCCACCATCGCCGGAAGCAGAAAGCATAGTAATCGTATCCACTGGCTCCAAATAGGCCATCAAAACTTTGTCGTTGTTTTCGTTGTGACTACCAATAGTGGATGGAGCAGGCTTTGGTTTCCAATCATGATGTTGCTCGTCTCGATGTTCTTGTCGTTGTTTGTAGTAATCGTTCAGTGAATTTTGAATCTTGGTTTCATTCTTATTGGAATGATTGTGATGATGCTTGCTGTCTGATGGCAAAAGAGATTGATGGAGAAATAATAAAGGAAAGACGGCCAAGGAGAATATGACAAAGATAAAGGCTTGGACTTCCCGGTTCTTGATGACCTTCTTTTTCTTCTGATATAACAATGGGTTATTGGGCAGTGAAGACGACGACAAGGATGACCAGGATACCGTTTGCCGAGGACGCTTCTGTCTTGGAAGAGGCATCCTGATGGGTTGTGACCCTTGGTTTGTCTTCAGTTGTTGAATGAAAGACTTTCAGCAGCACTTTGATATCATAGGCAGCTTTGACAAAGATGGTTGTCGTAATATCTAAGGAATCCAGGATCGATTTTCTTCACTTTATACTCTCTCAATCATGTTTAGACGTGGGGAGAAGTGGGAGCGAATCAATTCAATTCGTGCTTTAGAGGAGAGAGTTGTTTTATATTCTTGGTCTCATCATCATTGTCATCGTCATCGTTCCGAAATTTTGGCATGACACCAAAAGTCAACGTCTGTTTCTTGTACGTGTACGTCACCTGTGTGCGAGTATACATCAAGAAATACGTTTATTTCTTTCTTTCAATACTCTCGAATCAAGTTGTTGGCGAAGAGTAGTAGATCTGATCTGCGAAAACTGCCTGTGTTAGCTGTCGAATTTACGCTCTATCACACCTGACCTTTAGTGCTCTTTCATCTTCCCTTCCGCCGCACCATCCCTGCTTGCTGCCTCATCATGAAGTTCTTGACTGATGCTTTCGCGTCGGAACATGGAACCCGCGGCCGTACCTTCTGGGATCAGCTCACTCGTCTGCCCCATAAAGACTTGACCATCCACGATCAACTCATCAATCCTAGGCGAGGAATGAGATTGGACAAAACAATCCATCAATCATTCGGCCACCCTGTCACCAATACCACCACCCCGGTATATCAGGTGACCTGCCCGGAGGATTTGGAGCCCGAGGATCAACGGATGGAAGAGTTGGAGCAACTGTTTGACAAGTGGAACGATCCTCAGTTGACTACAGCCCAGCGGTTGAGAAATGGAGAAACATTGTCTCCTGGTTTTGCCCTTTTGGTCAGGAAAGGTGAAGATGGAGAGCCATGTCACATTATGTTTATTTCCAATCCGGTCTTGACCAAACCGGATATATTGGAACCCAATACGTGTGGAGCTCCGGCTCCCCTTGGGGAAATTGTCACCAATGATCTTGCGCGCCAGTATGTTAGTGATCCCACAAAACAGACCCATTTTCTGTTGGGATCAATGTCCGGACATACTTTTGCGTCCCCTTTGACGGGCAATCGAATTGACTTTGCCAAAGCTCTTCTTCCTGTTTTGATGACAGATGGAGATGCAATTGGTAATAAACCATTCAATCGTGATGCTTGGAAAATTCTTTTCTTTCCAACCATGTCTGCTTGTCCTGTGGGTTTTGTTTGGCCTGCGAGCGGCGGTTTTGATGAATTTCAGAATAGTATTGCTAATCGGAAAAAGGTCTTCTCGGGTCTTCTTCATCTAATGAAGACACGAAAGCCAATTATTGAATCTTGGTTCACGGCCGTTAAAGATAGTCCTGCAAGTTTTGCTGTCCCTGTTGTGGATGCTATGCCACTCTGGTATTCTTTCCCCACCAAGGAAGATCTCGACAACGATCAAGTTTTGGATAAGGCTTTGCTCTCCCCATTCCAAGAACAAATGGATCGTTTCCTCAGAAGCCATCTCATGCAAATCATTTATCGCAGTGCCTCTTTGCCAACGTCGCCTCTTGGATTCAAGATGCGTGCTCGTGTCAAGATGCACAACATGCGTGTGTCGGATTCCTTTCCTGAAGCTTTGGGTACAACTTTACCTGCTGAATGTCAAGCCTTTGTCAACTACCTCTTCCCATATGAAGATGAAGAAAGGTCATGGGATGGTCGTGTATCCAAATGGTACAAGTTGCTGGATTTAGATCCTGGGAGTGAGGTTCCGGAATCGTACTTGCAATATACACCTCGACCACTCCCATCCTCTGCTCAAGATCCTGAAGGATATGTTGCCCAACGGTTGCCGTTGCCTAGTGCAGCACCTGCCGGTCTGCCTGTGGATGATGACATGGCAGAGTTCATTCAGGCGGCTAAGCGCCACAAGCCTAGCTTGCGTCAAGCACCAATTCGTACACCGGTACCAGCTCGTGGAGATTTGATCGTCCTTACTGAGGATGGTCATTTCGAAGATGGGCACGGAACTAATTATGAGCCACCTGAAGATCATGCTGGGACCCAATCTTTTGCGGATAGACAGCTGCCAGCGGTGACGCCATCTCCTTTGCAAAATCGTCACATGGGTGTCAATCATCCCAATTCCAATTGTTTCCACGATGCCACAGGAGGTAATCCGTTTGCTGGTGTTATGAACGGTACAAACATACCACTCCAGTCGCCAGCCCAAGGTATGCCTCCTAATGGAATCCACAATTCAACATGGAATTCTCCATTTCAACAAGGTCCACGAGTCCAAATTGATCCTACCCCTCGGGGCCCGTCCCCGTTTGCTGGACATAACACAGGATTGCCGACGCCTGGGTTGCCAACACCGATGCACCATCAACAGATGTTTCCAGCATCGCCAGGGATACCTTCTCCTCACATGTATACTGCTTCGCATCCAAACCTATCTTATCCCGCAGGGTACGGAAGTGCAATGTATCCGATGGGTTATTATCCGGCCCATCCCGGATTCACCACAAACAAGCCAAATTTGCGGTCCAAATATACCCCTGTGCGGACTGCCAGTATTAACTCGGACATGGAGCGCATTTGTTGCCCCCCGGAATTGAAGGCAATTGGATATTGGTTGTTGCATCCAGTCCCTCCTACGGTGGGGATGGTGCGAACATCTCTCGGTGATCGAATGGCATCTGACGTTCTCCAATTTGGACTACCAACAGAAATTGGGCGTAGATGTCTGGAAGGTTTTGATTACAAAAATGATGGCAGTGTGGCTGCGAATATTGTTTGTACGGCTATAGAGTACCGAACCAAATACCAATTTGGAACATTCTCGCAAGTTGGAGAGCTACAATGTGATTTGCGGTCCGTAATGGACAGCGCCTTCATCAAGCGTAGTTTTGATATTGCTACATGGTGGGTGGATCCTGACAGCGCTCCACCACCAGGAACGTCCAAACGGTTTTCATTGCTAGCATTCCTACCCTGTATTTCGGAAGACTTTTCTTCTGATTACCTACCAAGTGACGGATTAAGTTGGCAGCAGATGAAAGAATTTGCAATGGTGATATACTATCATTTTGCACTCTTGGGCTCTACAAACCCAACTTCGGATAACGGAGATTACAATGATGAACTTTTCTGCAGTTCACTCTTTGGTCATTGTTTGCGACACATATGTCAATATGTCCTGAACACAAATTTGGGTCGTAGATGGGCTCAGACACCTGCACAGTGTACAGCTGCTTACGTTCGCGATTTAAGTGAACTATTTCACATTCTGAAGAAGTTCGTTGACCATCGTATTGGACATGATGTGGAAAATTATGGTATTAGTGATGCGTGGCCCACAAATGACCGTAATGCAGTATTTATGTCGGTGCCGTCAAAAACGAATAGTGCAGGTTTTATGGCTCAGACGGAGAGTGTAGTAAATGTTCTTCATGACTACTATACTCGCATACAGCGCAATTGGGGAGCTGGTCGGTATACTGCTCCAAACGAATGTTCGTGGGCGATGTCTTCTTCACCTTTCTTTGCCCCTGAAAAAGCTGCGCCTTCACGGCTTTTGGACCTACCAAAGCCAAAGACGACGGAGCGTACTCGGGATGATAAAGAGAATGTTCCCTTTCGTAACACCAGTCCACTATTTGTGTGGAATCATACTGTCACTCCTTTGGGAAAGAAATCTCCGTCGGAAATGTTATACCCAGTGGTCCAACGGGGCACCTATCCCTTGATTGTGGATCCTCACGCTAAACGCACTTCTGGTAAGAACACATTGTATCCCATCTGTTTAAATTCCACCTTTGAGGGCCATTGTACTTGTTCCAAACCCGGGACTTGTAAGACCCACAAGGTGGGCCGCTATGCTGGCAAAACTCGTCTTCATATCGATTTGAATGATGCGCGTTGGTCCGCGGCCACCTACAAAGAAGAGGATTGGAAGCCAATTGTCGATTTCATAAAGAAGTATCACGATCATATTTTGCCGAGCAAGGCATTCAAGAAACTGACTCCAAGTACAACTTGGTGATGGGATCCACTGGTACCCGAAGGGGCCCAGCTTGTGGAGCACGACTCCAAGCCAGTGGTATCAGACAGAGTAAAGATCATGGTTCCCCCAAGGCGTCGGTTTCACAAGACACCACCAGCTCGGATCAAAAACAGATGGCCTGGAGATTGGGACTGGCAATATCTTCCGATTCGTGAGTTGCCTCTTAAGACTGTGCCGTGTCTACCATGGGGAAAAGAAAAGAAATTCAACACTCCTACTAAGACGCTACATGAAAATATTCCTGGAAATGGACAAGTTCAGCCGACATTTATGCTGATTGCCCACCTGGTACAGGCAAGCAACTATTTGGATGAAACAGATTATAACGTGCTGACCCTGGTGACTCCGGCTTTGGCGAAAAATTCTCTGCTTTTGGAGTTTCCCTTCTCTCGTCCTTGGAAGACTACTCGCAAAAGACAATGGGGTTTTGGAAAAGTACACAAAGATCGCTACAGCACCCACGCAAAGGTCAACCCTCGATCCATGATTCATTATGCTTGGGGCTTTCTGTCGACAGTGGATAGACACAACGTGATTATTGCGTTGCCTCAGTGGCGTCAATATGCCTCTCTTCGTCGCTTTGCCTCTGTCACTTCGCTGGCTTGTTTGAAAGAACCACGTGTTCTACCAACAACGGGTATTCCGACAAGGTTGGATCCTACACGGGCAAAGCTCAATTCTGCGGGTCTTCTTCGTTTCGATTTTCTACATGGGGATTTCATTCGTTGGTTGGGTGGCGAATACGTCAATTCTGATCGAGATTTCAACGCAGAATGGGATGTCATTGACTCTACTTTGCATAACAAAGAGGTTCCGGCTGAATACCCACCACTCAAACTTGAAATGGCTTATCGCATCCAAACTGAGGGTGTTCCTATCAAAGCCCAATACACAACTCCTATGTCTGCTACTGTCCTTAGAGAAGAATATGATAACCATCCAGCAGTTGCTGCCAATTCTTCCAAAGTTGAGGAGAAGTTTGCAAAAGAAGAATGGAAGGCTTATCATATTCACTATTTACGGTTTGTGTTCCAATTCATCCCAGGTCTGGTTATTAATCCTATCCAGTGGGTTTTTGACAAAGGTAAAGGTCGGATTTGCATTGACTGTTCCAATGGTCCTGACGACTTAGGATCAATCAACACCTATATCCCCAAACCAAAGCAAGATAAGTCCGGTGAGCAGTGCCCTCCAATCCACTACCAGTTTGCGTTCAAGAGGTTTCTACGTCAAGTTCTCCGTATGCGCATCACCAAACCGACAAGTCCTATTTTGGTTCATGCTGACGATATTGAAGCCGCCTTTCGACGTGTGCTTTATCATCCAGATGTAGCTGTGGCATTTGCATATGTATACTCAGACTACTTGATTGTCCCAGTGGGCCAGGTGTTTGGTTCAAGGAATGCTCCATCATTCTACTGTGTTCTTGCCGACCTACGGGAGGTCTTGGCAACTTGTCGTGTTGATGTTCCTTTGGACAAATTACATGCGCTGGTCCGTAAATGTACCATTGCCGTTGATACTTCTACTCCTTTGTGCACGGTCCCTGCTGATTCCCATCACCCACCGTTGTCTGTGACCGAACTTGTTCGAATGTACAATGCTAGCTATGTTGACGACAATGCAGTTGCCGCCTTTGCTGAACATATCAAGCAAGCAATCAATCACAGTGTGATGTCTGCCTTTGAGGTTTTTGGTCATGGTGATAAGCGCCGTGGTGACTGCCTCCAGGACAAAAAGTGGGAACCTGAGGTTACAGAAACCTTTTTGTTTCTAGGATTTCGTATCAATACACACAATATGACGGTTTCTTGGCCACTCTACAAACGGGAAGACTTGCACTCACAGTTGTTGGACATCCTGAAACGTCGTCCACGTTGCGTTTCTCCTCGTGAGATGGCAAAGATTGTTGGTATTGTCCGATCTGCATCTGAAATTGCACCATGGGGCAATTTCTTGAGCTTTAACTTGCAAAATGCACTGACACAGGCTGCCAAGAATGCCTTCTCCGACAAACGAAGCTGGTGGACATGTTCTCGTATCTACCTATCGCGTGTGGCAGTTGCTACAATCCATCAACTGTTGGAGACATTATTGGCGCCTGAGGACAGCCCACTTTGGTCTCGGCCTATCGCTTTGTACCTGGATCGTGACTACACTCATCGTGCATATTCCGACGCAAGCTATGGTGGCTTGGGTGGCTGGAGTGCTGATTTCAGTTTCCTCTGGCGCCTGACCCGTGATACTCTTGTCGAAGCAGGTTTTGAGATGCGTGAAATAAAAATCTCATCTAATGACCCAGCGTTACCTGATGGTTTCTTACACATCAACCCATTGGAATATCTGGGTGCACTCATCAACCTTTGGATCTGCATCAAATGTGTGATACTTCTCGGCCCCATCGATGGGGGCTACATTTTAGCTTTATTGATCGATAATACAACGGCTGTGTCTTGGATGTCGACAGCATCCAGGACAAAAGATCCTCTTCTACAGGGACTGGCTCGAATAGGTTCTGCATTGCTTGTTGAAGCCTCTCAATTACTCATGAAAGTTTGTCCCAAACATCATCCTGGAAATCAGAACGGAGCAGCGGACGCCCTAAGTCGACCACAACTTCAAGGAAAAGATCACGAGAATTCATTGGCCTCCGTTATCGCGGAATGGTCCCAACTACAGACATGTCGCATCTGCCTTCTGCCTTTCGAACTGCTGTCCAAGATTGCATTGACGCTGAAAGAACCGCCGACAGGGGATCAGTACGGGCGCGTAACGACAGATCTTTTGACTCTCGAGCCCAATTTTTTGCCAATTGGTGCATCAGACAAGAACTTTCCGAGCACGATTTACAAAAGTTAGATGATGCCGGTTGCATCCTTGTACTTGGCACTTATCTTCGTGATGTCAAACGAGGTGACAACTCCAAAGAAAAAGAGGATTTGAAAGCGGATACACTTCGTAACTATTTGTCAACAGCTCACAAATACTTGCAATATCGCTTAGGTCGCCCTATCCAAGTTATGGATCCTGCTTATGGCGGCAAGCAAAATCGGTATCACCCATTTCTCTTTCAGCAAATTCATGATCGTCGTTGTTGGCAACAGAAAAATGAACGATACGAACCATTTACCATGGAAATGTTTGTTGCGTTGCAACAATGGCTTGCTAACTCACCAGATCCCACTGCCACATTCCTTGGTAAGGTACACTGTGTATATGATTGGACCCGCTTAGGTATTTTCACTGGTTTTCGGGCCAGTGAATATTCTCAAGGCGATTTAGACCGTGGAAAACTGTTCAATACAATCCCACACAAAAATGATGTTCCCAAAGCGTTCCGGGGAATGCCACTTGCTATGATGGCTATCGATTTTCGTTTCTTTGACAAGGATTATGTGTTGATCCCACACCATCATCTGGTAACACGATACAACCGTGGTGATGTTGTGTGGCTTGAGCTTTGTTGGCGTTATGATAAGAGTGCTTTCAACTTTGTGAAGAAGCGCTTCAAGATCACTGGCCACCAAATTTACTGTCCTGTCGATGCTGCTGTTTGTATCATTCGTCGCAAGACAATGCTTGGTGTGCCTGGCACTTGCCCTATTGGCGTATGGAGTTCTGGCACCATGTCTTCTTATCACTTCTTAAAATCCAGGGAGGTCTCTGAAGTGATGCGCCGTTCCGTTGATTTGGCATATCCCAATCCAAACCACTATATGCGGATTAACCGGCATCTAATTGTTCCTCATTCCAATCGGGTCACCGCAGCAGTGTGCTTACAAAAAGGTGGAGCCAATAATGACGAAATCGCGTTTCGATTACGCTGGCTTCCGAGCTCTGTGCCCACCTACCTCCGCGACTGCTTTCAATCCATTGGTGACACGCTTGAGCGAACAATTCAAGGGGCAATGAAGTTGACATTTTCTTCTTCTTCTTCTCCTTCTTCTTAGATCCATCTTTCCTTCCGATCTTTCTTCTTTCCTATTTCTTCCTGTTTTCTTCCATCTTGTTTCTTCTATGGCGTCTCGTGTGTTGTGGTGGTTGGTTGATTACACCATGATCATCAACTTTTGGTAGGCAAGCAAGTCTCTGATATTCCGCTTTGCGGGATATCAAAGACTGGTCTTCTGGAACCGCACGCTTCGCGCGCAATCCAAAAGACCAGCTTCACACCACAACCCACCAGAGTCACACCAAGAAAGAATCCCTCACGGAAGAAATCCGCAACACCAAGTCCGATCAATATATCGAACTTGTGTGCGAGTATACATCAAGAAATACGTTTATTTCTTTCTTCCCCTCCCTCCACATCCCTGTTAGGCCATGCATTGCTGCAATTTGCATCAATGCATGACCTAGTAGGCAAGCAAGTCTCTGATATTCCGCTTTGCGGGATATCAAAGACTGGTCTTCTGGAACCGCACGCTTCGCGCGCAATCCAAAAGACCAGCTTCACACCACAACCCACCAGAGTCACACCAAGAAAGAATCCCTCACGGAAGAAACCAGGCGGTAGGCGCCAGTTGGCTATCTTCGATAGGTTTTGGGATAAGCGGAGAAAAGGAAATTTCAAAGCACCCGGAGATTGTGTAGACTTCTCCTCAAGCTCCGCGTTTTTTCAAAATTTCAAGAGTGTTCCTTTTGTCATCACCGAACTGCCTGTATTGATTACAGTACTTTGCTGGTCTATATCTTTCATATTGTACCGTCATCTTCAGTCATCTGCATATCTTCTAATCAATATCACAGTGATATCAACCAGCAACGTCTTACATGTCCAAGTCCAGCAATAAGAATACTCCCAAAACACCAAACACAAAAGGCAACGGCAATGGCAGCAGCAATGCTTTCAAGACGCCCGATAGTAAATTCAGTGAAGTTACTAATACTACAATCGAATTCGGACCCAAGCACAAGGTCAACCTTTTTCTCTTGTGCGCCTTAATGTTAGGGATTGGAATAATTGGTGGCTACGTTGTCTTTGTCTTCTTGCACGGCAGCCGGTGTTCCACCCTCATGGACGCCAAGCAACTAACCTACAGCCAATCACAACAACAAATCCAAGAACGATATCTGAAATCAGTCGAACAGTATCAAAAGTGTCTAGTCGATTTGAATGAATCATCGAGTCGTCAAATCACCAGTGACGAGGGCAAACACAAAAACAACGGAGTCCTTTTGGAAAAGCACCAAGATCTCATGGACCGACATCAAGCGACCGTCCATCAACTCATGATGGTCCAATCGGAACATTCCGAAAATTTGGTCCAGCAGCAAACCCTTTCCTTGAATTTGGAACGATGCGAAGATCGGACCAGGAAACTGCAGAACGAGAAGCGCAAGTGTCAGGCCTCCAAGGAACTCATGAAACAATTGGTATCCGAATGCAAAAGCAAAGAAGGGGCAGCAGCAGCGGCAACAGCAACCGATCTGTAGCATTACAATCATGGCAATGGCTAATACTGTATATTTTTTGCTCGTTGTGGTGGGCTTGGAACTATACTACACGTACATACAGTACTCTCAGCTTGTTCATCAGTGTGCTACCGTACTACAATACAATATGTATTTTTCAGGGGGGAATGAATCATGACGATGCATGATGCATACTGTGCGTTTGTGTTATCAGCTCTTGCGATATCACTCAATGGGAGAATGCATGTAGAAAAAAGAAGAAGAGAAGTAGAGGGAAAATCCATTCTTAGATTGTGTGGGTTGTACAATAATAGTCAAGAACATGTCATCTATAGTTCATACATACAAACTACAGGCGTGGTCGATCATGCTTCAGTGTTGTACCTTTATCAAAGCAATATAGTGAAAAATAATAAATAAAAGACAACATAAAGTCTTACGATGATGTTCTCACGGGATGATTCCCAAGTGTACATTATTACGCTAGGAATCTTATTATATTGTTTTGCATTGCTTCAATCCAGGATAATGTTGCACCTCAACAGACGAATAGATCAATCATCCAACGTTGCAGTGTTTTCTGTAACAAAAGGATTCGCTTCTTGAGGTCCAGTTTGCACAACATGCACAAGAGCGGTCGTCTACGGCCATTTATAGGTATCTGCAGTCCAGAATATGGTACGGACCATAGTTTTATTGACTACCGGTAGGAGGACATTGAGCAGATCATGACTGGGTTATTCGGCAGTCGAGAACAGGACTTGAAAAAGGGTCGTCCTCGAGCGGTAAGTCGTCTGGAAAAAACTAAAATAAGGCAATATAAGAATAAATGGAAGCGAATGCTACAAATCAGCTACATGACTGTCGACTCTTTCCTACTGATTAATCGCAAACCCGTTCTGTATGATTGATTGATTTCATCCATTCCTCCATTTTAGAAAGCATTCTAATCTTAGTCCATCACTACTTTTTTGCTGTTGGACTGGTGGATTCTTCAGTCTTCGCCTTTTTGCGAGGAGGTGACGAATCATCAGTCTTGATCTGGAAATCACCAAAGCTCTTTTTCCAATTCTCATGATCAATCTCATCGTGGTAGGGACCACTGTTGGGAATGCCCGTGCATACCGTACCGGAATTATTAGGCTGTTTTGTGACCTCATCAATTTTTACGGACATGGATGGATGATGCTTCTCGATAAAAGCCAGCAGTTTCTCCAACACAAAATCATGCCCCTCGGACGAAAAGTGTAAGCCATCCCATAAGTACTTTCCAAATCCACAATTGTCCCCACCTTCCTTCACCATTAGATCAAACATATTCAAACATGGGACATCCAATTGGGAGGCGACTGTTTTACAGGCATCGGCATACTTTTCAGCATTGTCCAAGGTTCGTTCCAATGTACCAGTAGCCTTGTCTCCGTAACGTTGCTTTTGGTACTCGAATCGCTGCTCGTGATGGACGGGAGGAGGTGTGATCATGACCAAACCTGCTGTTGGATAGGTCTCCTTCGCCGAAATGACCAGTCGTTTCAGATTGTTGGAATATTCGTCGATACTGAGTTGATTTGTCATTCATGATATGATATGCATATAATAGAATAGAATAGAATACAAGACATAGTATCAAGGGGTCAATCAGATAGATAAAAGGAACAATGAAAGGCAACATGAGTATCAGAATAAGATGACGGGTGCGACATTCAAACACTAAACGAAACAAGTTCAGCAAATCGACTAGCCAAAGAAGTCTCATGGCTTGAGACCATGCATGGCCCGTCCCTCAGGCATAATCGAACGTAGCCATCAAAAGCATACTGTAGCACTTACGGAACGTGGTGATGCGGATTGTGCTTGGCCAGTGAAGCATCGTTGGCACCAAACCAAATGGTAATTAGCTTGACCGTCCCCGGTTCTTCCCAGATCCCACTATCCTTGGCATATTGCAAGAACCACCGCGTATTGTACCCACTCATTCCACGATTCAAGATATCAGCTCTTCGTTGGTAACGTTGTGCGAGACCGGATCCCCATCCTTCAAAGGAAGTTTGGGTAAGGGAGTCTCCCAGCAGCAATAGTTTCGGTCTTTCTGAAGCTTTTGGCATATTTGTGTTCGATATAGTTTCCGTTGCTTGCTTTCGAAGTCTAGAGATACTTTACTTCGAAGATAGATTGTGCGTAAATATGAAACAACTTGGATACCGTACAACAGGCGAGGTCAATAACAGTTTCCAGGGAGACGTTCGTGGTATCGCACTCGTCACTCCCCATATAATAAAAAATAACTCCCAACTTTTTTTTGCAGTTTCTCATGCAAGTGGGTGAAAATGAGGTGTCAGTGGACCTGTTCGACTCGTTTTGGTCGCAGCAGAATTGACTCGCAAGACTACAAAATAATAAAACCGCGTTTCTGATTCATTTTGATTGGTTCGGAAAATTTTAAAAGAGTAGTTGAGATTTATGTAAAACGAAAAGCCTACGACGCAAACGCAACCTTCACAATAAGATAATACAAGATTGAACCCCAAGGTGCTGTTGACAAAAAAGGAACCAAATTTTGTTGAGTGCATCATCTTTATTGTATTACGATTGAAAACTGACGCCCGACAACAGTGGCTTTCAACTTATGGAGGATCCTCCTGACGACAAAGTATCAGGCGACGGCTTTGGAAGCCTGCGTTCCACTTCTCTTCTGTCCCAGTTACCTCCGCAAAGGCGACATCAACTGCAAGGCGACCAGATGTCTCCTCTTCGGAACTCCTTCGGTGACATGAATCCAGGTGGTACAAGGACCTTGGGATCCACGTCTTTATCACTCTCAATACCATCGCCGTCGCAATGGAATCAACAATCACGAGGACTGCAAGAAAAAACCTCTGCAGCATCTTTCATTCAATCTTCCAGTACTAATGTACTTTTGGGAGTTGCTTCAGCTCCAAAACCACGGCCACGACAAACAATCGAGCAGATTCGAGCTGCATTCAAAGGAGCACCAAGAGAGAATAAGAAATTTCGTTCTGCTTTAGACGAGTTTTTCGCAGAACCACCAAGCGGAAGACAGACGATGGCAGACATCAGAGCTGATGTTGTGCGCAGACAGCACGAAGAAAGAGAGCGTCAAATAAACAAAGTCCGGCAAGAAGTGAAGAACAGCATGCCAGCTTTAGATAATAGTTCATCACTTCAATCCGACACCAGCATCCCAACAGAGAATATCTCTCTCGTATCTCATACCCACGGAAGGCAGCGCCGATCGGAAAGGAAGATTACGCGTAAGGAGCTTAAGAAAGCCATCAAACATGGGCAGAAAGAAGCTGCCAACCCAGGGCGGGATGGTTCCACGCGCTGGCGATACACCTACAACGGGGTTGTCTTTGTCACGGACGAAACCTCACGGCACGAAGTGACTTCTTGGCGCATAGATGTAAATGATGAGGATGAAGATGACTATGCACCTCCTGAGGTGCAATTGGCTGGCTCAGAATGCCATGCCGTACTCATCATTGATCATAGCGGTTCAATGCGAAATTCGGATGTGATTGGATACGACAGCCGCGCCCATGCGGTGTACGAGTGCCTAAAGCGAGACTTTGTCCGCGAACAACTCAAGTCAGGAGTGGTTAAGGATGTCGTTGTAACAGTGATATCAATGAGCAATGCTGCAACCGTCCTTCTCCACAAAAGACCGCTGAACGGGTCCTTGATTGGTGATCTGGAACGCTTGTCCAAACGGCGACCAAGATCACATGGCAACTACATTCCTGCGTTAGACAAAGCTTTGGAAGTCATGAAAGCTGATGCGGAAAATACCTCCAGCCTTTTGTTACTCTTGTTTTCCGATGGAGCTCCGAGTGATCATCAAAGCAGACAATGCGATCACGGCATAGATGTTTTCCAGATCAATAAAGAAATTTATCCCGAGATGCATCATGACTCCAAAATCCAGGCTAACAAATGCAAGAATAAGATCACGAGAGAGGTGAGGGAAGAGTGCTGCCAACGGGTCAAGGCGATTGGTCAAGTCTTTGGTCGAGACAAGGTGATTTTTCGAACGCTTGCGTTCGGTCCTCCGAAAGAGAACTTTTGGCTGTTGGAGAAAATGGCAAATGTACTTCCTCGTGGGGACTTCCAGAAGCTAGGATTGGATGCTTCGAGTCTCAAGACATCCTTCTCTTCCTTGAGCACCTCCCTTTCAACTCTTCGATCCGAAGGTTCGGGACTCCGAACCGAAGGTTCGAGACTTCGAACCGAAGGGGGGGATCGGACGTTGACTCCAAGGTTAGACAAGGTAGTGGACAGAAACCAACAGGTGGATGTCACGAGCACAGAAATCTCTGGGCAAGATGGATGGTGGATATATGCCTTCGATGATTTTATCGGCAAGTACGAGTTCAAGGGTAACAAGACCTCTCATGGTCTACAGAAAGTCAACTTGAAGGATGGAGTCAACGGAATCGCTTTCTTGCAGCACCCTTTCGCAGAAGGAGCAGAGCGTTTTGTATATCGCTGTTCTGAAATTGTTGCACAAACTCACCACTACAATTCTGCCGCCTCAAAAGAGAATCTGGCTGGGCGATGCGGATTGCGTCTTGTTGCCAAGGAAGCGAAGGACATGGAAAACCACCACCAAGGTCGCAAGTTTCATGAAACTTTTGCTCGGATTCAATCAGAGGCAGCTGAGCTTGCACAAGCGTTTACACTTCTTCTACCTCACGCTAGACCAGAATGGAACGTCACCTTCATCAAAACACACATTTATGGGTGTTATGACCGCAACTACAAGTACGGCCAAGCTTGGATCCTGGTCGAACCTGAACTAGATGGGAAGTTCACCAAATGGAACAATAATGGTGGCGAAATTAGAGGCCGGCCTAGTGCCCCGGGGAAACTTCCACCTATGAGTGACATGGGCTTCTTGGAAGAAGAGGACTCTGATGAGGATGATGATGAGATTGGTGCAATCCAGAATGATGATATTCCACAAGCCTTTTCTCATTTTTCTTATGAACATTCGAGAGGAAGACAACTTGTGTGTGATTTACAAGGTGTCTGGAATGCGGATGATGGCTTCATGTTAACAGACCCGGTAATTCATCATGTGAGCTTGGAAGGGAAAAGACATACGAATGGGGCAACTGATCATAGCAAGCGAGGAGTGAAGAAATTCTTCGAGACGCACGTGTGCAACTCTCTTTGCAAAAGAATGGGACTCGCGAAAAGGACACCGGACATATTGATATCAGGTTTGGAGAATTGAAGCAGACCATACATCTTCACTTGAGCAATGACATATTCGAACCTTTGCGGAATCACAATCACATTTGATTCGACTCGTAGGACTATACGTGTACTGATTTCTTCGTCAATACCACACAAAAATATATTTTATAGAATCAAAACAGCTATTAAAATATAGCGGTGGTCAAAGTATGCGATATTTGTGCTGAGCAATACCTTGGAGTATCTTGCCAAGTCGTCGTCAAGCTGCCATCCGCAGCGCTAACAAGCAAGAATGCAGCTTCTGAGTACTGTCTACTTTCGGCAAGATTATGGCCTTATCAAAAAGGACGATGTTGGCAAGATCGTTCGAGTACAAGATTCACAAGGGCTCTATTCTGTTATGTTGACGAAAAATCATCAGGTCTATCAAGTTCATCCTCTATATCTCACGACGACAAAGCCAATGCCGAAAAACAATGTTTTTCAGTCTCGTGAGAAGCCCTCTTATTCCGGTATAAATGGTAGCCACAGAACAAGACTCTCCTCAGCCAACACACCTTCTTCGACACCTAGATCAGGGTCTTCCACTTCTTTTCCGAGCGGAAGACAGACAATGGAAAACATCAGAGCTGATGTCCTGCGTAGACAGCAAGACCGGCAACTAAAACAGTTGGCGAAATTAAGTCAAGCTTTAGGCATGGTATCATTACAATCCGACACCAGCATACTAACGGACAACATCCCACTCGTATCTCATACCCATGGAAGAAAGCGACGAACGGAACGGAATATCCAACGCAAGGAACTTCAGGCGGCTATCAAATATGGACAGAAAGAAACTGCCAATCCAGGACGGGATGGTTCCACACGCTGGCGGTACACTTACAATGGGGTTGTATTTGTCACAGACGAAACCTCACGGCACGAAGTGACTTCGTGGCGCATAGATGGACACGACGAAGAAGAAGATGTTGTGGCACCTGCAGAGGTGCAATTGGCGGGATCCAAGTGCCACGCCGTTCTAATTGTGGATCACAGTGGCTCGATGCGAACTTCAGACGTTCCAGGATACGAAAGCCGAGCGCATGCTGTGTACGAATGCTTGAAACGGGACTTTGTCAAGGAGCAGCTCAAGTCGGGGGCGGCCACTGACGTCGTTGTGACTGTGATTTCCATGAGCGACGCTGCAACTGTACTGCTACACAAGAAGCCTTTAAACGAATCATTGATTAATGATTTACAACGATTGTCAAAACGACGACCTAAATCTCATGGCAACTATATTCCAGCTTTGGACAAGGCGTTAGAAGTGATGCGAGCTGATGCCGAAAATGCATCAAGCCTTCTTTTACTTTTTTTCTCAGATGGTGCACCTAGTGACCAGACAAACATGAAATGTGTACATGGTGTCAATATCTTTGATATCAACCGCAAGATTGATCCAAAAATGGGACATAAATCGAAGAGCCAGGCTTGGAAATGCGTACATGGGATGGCCAGTAATGTGGAAAAACAGTGTTGCGAGCGGGTCAAGTCCATTGGCAAAATATTTGGTCCCGATAAGGTCATCTTTCGTACTCTTGCGTTTGGGCCGCAAACGGAGAACTTTGCATTGCTGGAGAAAATGGCGAAGGAATTGCCTCGGGGTGAATTTCAAAAGCTAGGCTTGAATGCTGCAAACTTGAAGACGTCTTTCTCTTCATTGAGTAGCTCACTTTCGACGCTGAGAACGGAAGGTGGGCATAGGGTCTTGACTCGTAGGTCAGACAAAGTTGTTGACAAAAACCAAAAAGTTGATAACACGGGACTTTTAATTGATGGCACAGATGGCTGGTGGATCTATGCCCACCAAGATTTCATTGGCAAGTTTGAGTTCAAGGATGATACTGCTACTTCAAAAAAGTTTCGACGTGTCAACCTTGTCGGAGGAGCCAATGGAATTGCCTTTTTGCAGCAGCCATTTGCAGAGGGTGCCGAACGGTTCGTTTATCGTTGTACTGAGATTGAATCGAGTGCATATTCATACGTCGACGCTGCATCCAGCGATAACATAGCAGGGCGTTGTGGACTACGTTTGGTCGCCAAGGAAGCCAAGGATCTGGAAAACCACCACCAAGGTCGCAAGTTCCACGAAACATTTGCTCGCATTCAAGCCGACGCGGGCAAACTGGCCCAGTCATTCACAAGGCGGTTGCCTCGTGACAGGCCTGAATGGAATCTTAATTTCATCAAGACGCATATCTATGGTTGTAAAGATGACTCGTATCAAAATGGCGATGCATGGATTCTTGTCGAACCCGAACTCGATGGCAAGTTCACCAAGTGGAACAATAATGCTGGAGAAATCAGGGGTCAAACGAGTAAGCAAGGAACCCCCTCGGGCATGGGGGGCATGGGGTTCTTGGAAGAGCTAGAAGAATCCGACGAGGAGGGTGATGGGACAGTCCCCATCCAAGTAGACGACATGCCGCAAGCTTTCTCTCACTTTTCGTATGAAGCTTCGAACGGGAAGCAATTGGTTTGCGATCTGCAGGGTGTTTGGAATGCCGATGACGGCTTTGTTCTGACCGATCCAGTCATTCATTATGTCTGCTCGAGGGGTCGGAAACATACGAATGGTGCCACCGATAAAGGTGAAATAGGAGTGAAGAAATTTTTCGAAACGCACGTGTGCAACTCTCTTTGCAAACGAATGGGTCTCCCGAAAAGGACAGCAGTGAGTCTTATTCGACAGTAAAGTGGCTTGGTACCTGATACCTTTGGGCTAGGTTAGATCCAAAATTTAAAATTGACGGTCCAATCGGAATATTATCGTTGGCGGTACATGTACGCATCCAATAAATTGAAGTAAAGTATTAATACCAATATTGCACAGTATTATGATGAGTTTGTATCAACGTCACTGCATGCATGACTTGTAGGGACTGATTTAGCCTAGCCGTGAATTCATCGAAGGTTGAAGACGTCACTGTAACGCATCACAACGAAAATCATTGGCGCGTTATCATGCTGGGAGCTGCAAACGCGCTAAAACACGTCAAGACCGCTAGAGTCGCCCTCAAGAACGATGAGAAACGCGTTAAAAATTGTTATCCCCCACCCCTCTGACATCGTGTTCATTCCGAAATAATTTCGAAGCGTAATAATATTGTTTGCATCATATTGATGCGGATTGATTCAATGGTTCAGTTTTCTCTCGTGTTTCTCAACTTTCTGATGACTCTGATACATAACATAACCAGTAAGCCTCAATGAGACTCCAAAATACCGTCTACTTTCGGGACAATTACGGCAGCAACATTGAAAAGGGTGATGCTGGCAAAGTCGTTGCATTGCAAGATTCGGAAGGACTGTATTCTGTCATATTGACGAAGGATCGTCAAGTCTATAAAGTTCATCCCAAATGTATTTCGATACTTAAGCCAATGGGGACAAGTGTATTCAAGTCGTTTGAGCAGCCTTTTCGCGAGCTGAACGAAAGGAGTCCCACAGCTGTCAGAAAATCTGTAAGATCTAGCTCATCACAGCTGAAGGTGGAGCGACGACCTGCACCAACATTAACTTCCGATACGACCCCAGCACCGAAAGAATTGGGCTCACCAGAGCGCATATATCCTCCTTTCGAAGCTATACGAGCACCCACGGCTGAATCGCGTCCAAGACGAAGCATGGAAGATATCAGGGCTGAGATAGTGAAAAGACGTCAAGAACAGAGAGAGATGATGAGACAAAAGTATGGCTCTCAGGTTTCAACTACAAAGAAGGAATCAGAAGAGCCGACTATATCAGACATCAGTGTCAAAACTGCGGATATCTCGCTGGTGTCACATCCCCATGGAAAACTCCGACGAGCTGAGCGTAATATTCAATGAACTGAACTTCAGGGGCCATCAAGCATGGCCACAAAGAAGTTGCTAACCCAGGCCGTGATGGATCCAAACGCTGGCGATACACTCATAAGGGAGTTGAATTCATCACCGACGAAACCTCGAGGCACGAGATCACCTCTTGGCGTGTCAGTGGTGAAGAAGATGCCATCATTGGACTGGCCGAGATTCAGCTGGCTGGCTCCAGGTGCCATGTTGTTCTCATTGTGGATCATAGTGGATCTATGCGAACCTCGGATGTGCCTGGATATGATACTCGAGCACATGCGGTGTACGAATGCTTGAAACGAGACTTCGTTGAAAAACAACTCAAGTCAGGAGCTCTCAATGGTGTGATCGTGACGCTGATATCGATGAGCAATACTGCCACTGTCCAGATTCATAAGAAAACACTCGACGACTCGTTGATTCACGACTTGCAAAGACTATCCAAACGACAACCAAAGTTGCATGGAAACTACATTTCAGCGCTAGATAAGGCGCTGGAAATAACGAAAGCTGATACCGAAAACATGTCGAGTCTTCTGTTCCTTTTCTTTTCGGATGGGGCACCGAGTGATCACCAAATCATGAAGTGTGCTCATGGTATTAATGTCTTCAGCAAAATAAACCAAAGAAATGACCGCAAAATGGAACACACATCAAGAAATCAAGCTTGGAAATGCTTGCATGAGATCACGAACAGGGTGGAAACAGAATGCTGCGAGCGGGTTAAATCCATTGGCCAAGTCTTTGGCCCAGACCAGGTGATATTCCGAACTCTGGCGTTTGGGCCAGAAAAATTTTTTTTCTTTGCTAGAGAAGATGGCAAATGTATTGCCTCGGGGAGAGTTTAAAAAGCCTAGGTTGGACGCGTCTTGCTTGATGACACCTTTTTCGGCGCTTAGCAGCTCACTATCGACGCTTCGAACCGAAGGCGGGCATCTAGCGTTGACACGTAGGCCCGACAAAGTGGTGGATGCAAACCAAAAAATAGATCACACTACTTCGGAAATATTTGGAAGAGATGGATGTTGGATGTACGCCGATATTGATATCATTGGAAAATATGAATTCAAGGCCAACGATCCACCGTCGCGACAGCTACAGCGTGTCCACTGGAAAGAAGATGCCAATGGAATTGCCTTCTTACAACATCCCTTTGCAGAAGGAGAGGAACGATTCGTCTATCGATGTGCGGAAATTAAAACATCCAAGAACGATTACACGTCGGCAGCATCCAGAGATAATACTGCAGAACGTCGTGGGTTGCGACTCGTTGCTAAGGAAGCAAAGGACTTGGAAAAACATCATCAAGGTCGAAAGTTTCATCAAACCTTTGCTCGTATTCAAACAGCTGTGGGAAAAGTGGCAACATCTTTCACAAAGCGTTTACCTCACGCTAGACCAGAGTCGAACATAAACTTTCTCGACACCAACATCTACGGTTGCTATGACAGAAGCTACCGACGAGGCCAGGCCTGGATTCTAGTTGAACCAGAACTTGATGGAAAGTTTACCAAGTGGAACGATAACGCAGGAAATATCAAAACCCATACCAGTAACCAAGGCACTGAGTTCTTAGATGACTTTGAAGAATCGGACGAGGAAGACGAAGAAACGGCCCCAATCCAAGTTGAGAATATTCCACAAGCTTTCTCGCATTTTTCGTATGAACATTCGAAAGGAAAGCAGCTGATTTGTGATTTACAGGGAGTATGGAATGCAGATGATGGCTTTGTGCTGACAGATCCAGTCATCCATTATGTCAGTTCAAAAGGTCGCAAGCATATCAATGGGGCAACGGATAAGGGTGAAGCAGGAATGAAGAAATTTTTCCAGACGCACGTTTGCAGTTCTCTTTGCAAGCGAATGAGTCTTCCAGGGCGAACATCAGATACTCTGATGCCAGCTATGAGCGAGCTAAGTTAAAGAAGGCAGCTCATCATTCAGATCAAGATCCGGCTATGTTGGTTGTTACAGAGCATTGACGCATTACAGCTTTGACGATTGTTGAAGAATTTCGGTGAAGAATGTCAAGACAACGAATGAAGTGCATACGATTAGTGCTATTAAAAGGCTCCGTCCATTTCAATGTCTTTGATGGCGAAGATTCCATAGACGCAATCATTCCGGTCGAGGATCCTTCAACGAGGCACAGACATCTTCTGCTTCATGCGCCGAGATGTCAGACTCGGCCAAATGACATACACGTTCTCTTGAAGCATGCACAATTCTTGCCATTTCATTCCAAGTTCATCAAAACGGATGTACCATCGCGGCATAGTTATTGCCAGTTTTGAAATCGCCAGTGATTCCGACAGCGATTCCGAAAGAATCTTCGGTTGCACCAATGATCTTGACACTGACAAACTCCTTCAAAAGATCTTCATCTCAATCTTCTGAGGCACTGTCGAGATCAATAGTGTACTTCTTTCGGCGTGGATTCATTGTGACAGGGAATCCAGCAAGATCTGTGAGGTCTCCTTTTTGCTTGAAGTTACTCCAGTATTGAAGCTTGCTATCACCATGAGCTTTCATGATATATTTATACTCGTTTTTAATTTCCACACGAAATACGAGGCGTGTGTCGTGCTCGAGAAGATATTATACTCATTCGTGTAGACAAACCGAAACTGCATGCATCCTTTGACATAGATAGTTTCGACGTACTGTAGTCCTATTTTAAAATTTGTATTATCGTTAGAAAACGTAAATCACTTTTTCACACTCCAAATGCTCACAAAATCAAAGCAGAGGCTTTATTTTGTCACGAGAGCTACTCCAAAGGAGAAATTCGGTAGCGGAATTTTCTAAATCAAAATATTTTTCGTCCAGTCACACTTGGATTGTGTCTACCGACAAAATGTCTTGCTGACAGTCCCGCTTGCAGAACGAATAACTAAAATAAAAGCATTCTGATCTTTTGCTGACTCGTTCGACTAAACGATCGTCATCACCTCATTTTATCATGTCATCATCATGGCATTTATTGCACGCAGCAGCGCATACAGTATCATCGATAGCCCACCGACATCATCGGTGAGCTGCGATATGAATATGGAAATTGATTCAACGATGTCATTCAAAGAGTCAAAATCCATCCCGACACCAGCCTGTCTAAAGAAATTGTTGGAAAACGAAGCTGCCAAGCAAGCCATGTTTGATCTTGGTGTTGAATTGGTGTGCAATACATCAGACAAAGTGTATGTCATTTCACAAGATGATTACTTTGGGTATGAAAGCGGTGGTACTTATGCAGAGTTGTACAACTTTTGCTGGGAAGGGTCTGGTGGCGGCTTTCACATTTGGAATCTTGGAACAGGGAACCATCCAGTTGTGTTTCTTGGAAGTGAAGGGGAACGTGCCAAATTGGGTGCCACGGTAGAAGACTTTTTGCAAGTGGTATGTTCTCTTCAACCTTGTATAATGGATGTGATTTTCGGACTGCCTCTTGCTGGGGGTATAGAAGATGAAACGGACATGAACAAGGCATTGGCAACTGATATGGATGTGAAGGAGACGATTCGGTTTGTGGAACGAACTCAAAGGCAGAGCAACGAGGACAATGAAGATTCTCAGCTGGAAGCTGCCAAAATTGTACTGGGTACCATTGGTCGTCCGTTCTTATCCATACGAGAAGCAATGGAAAAGGTTGTTACTGCCCACCTGTCAGAACCTAGATTCAACCCACAACCGACAGATGATTAGTAGAGGGCGCAATACCCTTAAACCATTCAAACTACATTCTTACACCTTAGTTTGATTGTGATGCCAAATGTCTTTATCTTGCTTGTCGTCGTTGTTCACGAACATGGAATGAAACGTAAACTACAACAGATTTTTAATGTGTATAGTATCTGATGATCGTCAAAAATAGTATTCAAAACTATTGTCTTAGTCTTGCCCCGTTTCTCCTTGGGTATTGCCAATCCCTTCCGCTTTCAAATTCGTGTGGTCCAACAACTAAAGGGACTTTCCTCAAAAAGCAAAAAGAATTACTTGGGGAGATCAAGCACATTTTTCCTAGTCCTTGTAGGATTCTCACTGTCCTTATAGTATGGGCACATCCGGTTGCCTACATACTCTTTGCATCAAGAGAGGAAGATCATGTAGACTTTCAAACGGATCCGGTATCTCTATACCTTGGGCCACTGCTTGTGTAGCTTCTGCAACTCGACAACGCTCATGGCCAATGTATGTGGGCCTATGGGGTCGAGCTTCTAGAAGTGGGTTTCAAAGGGGTAAGCTTGCACGGTTTCTGTAATCACCACATCGGTGATTCTGCTGAGATTTGAAAACAGCTTCAGACGGAGAAGAATGATCATCTCTGTATTTTCCTCTGAAATGGTTGAGCTTTCTTCGGTTTCAACCATATGTAGTCATGGCCAATAGGCGTAAGGCTGGGTGTCGCCCTCCACTAGTGATCGATGACTTTGTTTGGACGACGATAATTTCTGAAATCTCGTGGGAGGCCAAACCACGTACTCGGCCAACCCCACTACCAAATGCTTGCTGATACTGCCATGGTGCTGACTATCATAGGAGTTGAATCGGTTGTCTCCTTCGACCCACATGCTGTAGGGTGCCACACATGTTGTGGCAACTCGCATGCTTTGGAAACTACTACTTGTTCCATTACTAGTTCTTCTCTTTTTCATTTCATCGTCCATACGATAGCTGAGCTTTCCTGGCTTTTCATCTCTAGAGAAGGGGACCATGACCTGTAGTTCCAGTGGGAAAAGAAAGAGATGAGTCAGCAAAAATGAATGCATACAAAGTAGTCTTAGCATATTCAATAAGGGTAACATACCACTTGACCACCCAATCCAACCACTCTCTTGACACAAAGTTTTCGTTCATTCATATGAAAAAAATACTGAGGATCCTTGTAGACGACAATATCCCCAGAGAGCGCTAGCGGTGGTTTGATTTGAAGCGACGGCGAGGTGGCACAATGCAGTCGTTCATAGTCCTTCAATGTCCGGCGTTCCACTATCCGTTCCGGTGGTTCCGAGTCTTCTTCATCCAGATCCTCGCCCTCTTTTTCCAAGACATACTTTTTAAAGTTATACTTGACGAATTTTGTTAGCTGCGACCACCAAGGATTGTCTGATTTGCGAACGAGAAGCAAATCTCCATGCCTCAAGGTGGGCTCCATGGAAGACCCATTCACTCTCACAAACGAGTAGAATGAATCATGAACATAGAAAGCAAGAGGAACAGCTACTATTGTGGATCGTATAGGTATGTATGTCACCGCCTGTCGAAAGCGGGCAAACATACTAAAGGTCCTTGCAGACTGCAGATATGTGCGTGAGGATGATGATTGCAAAATCAAGAGGAGGATATAGTGGATATATAGTTGATGAAAGGTTGCGTTCATGCGATGATCACATGCATGGCAGTACGGTAGATGAGTCATGTTTGTCGAATAAAATCAGACGTCAGACGTCAGTTAGTCAGTTAGTCAGTAGCAGTCGAAAGCATTACTTTTGAAGCAATGGTTTTCTTTGAACCCGCGCATACCCGTTCAACGGTATTTTTTTGAAAATTATTTTTTGCAATCACACAGGACTGATGCGCATCAACAGACACAGGAAACCAGAAACATACATAGTCAAAGGAACACACACCCGGTTCCATCGATACAAACAATGACATCGCGTAATCACAATGACGACCACATGAATCTTTCGCCCTCTTCGAATGAAATTTATTTGCCGGATGATCCTTCAACGCTCGGAGGGTCTTGGGAGATTCATGGACAAGGCGCCGTCGATGATGATGGTTCCAGAAGCCGCCATCAGGAAGACGAGACGCACTATTTCTTCAAAGATGATACCCACGAGGAGTAAGTACCATGTGATTGGCACTCTTTTATTGATCGGCTGTCCACACGTCAACTCATATAATTCATTGGAAAGGATTCCGACGGACAGTAGTGACTCGCAAGTCCATGACCATCACGACGACCATAGAACATCTACCTTTTTGGTTCCCGCCGACATTCATCCCAATATGGAGCAGTGTGACGAGGACATTGCTCAGTTGCGTCTTTTGGCTGGCCGACTCAATTCCGAGTGGGGAAGTCAGGAGTACATGACACCAGCACTATCCCGAAGAATTCGCGACTTTCAGTTTGCCCAAGAAAAGAGACGAAAAAAGTATGGTGATGAGCGACCTTGGGGAATTCTTGGTCTATACGAACATCTCTCTGCAATTCGAATTGACGTAGAATGGGCGGAAGATGCTGCTTGGAGACGAGCCAATGGCCAACCGTACGTGGCAACGTCACACTATCTTTGTGCGATGCTTTCTTTCCAAAACTCATCTTCATTCCTTTCCCTTTAGCTATTTGAGTTGGGCTGATTTTGATACAAGCAAAAGAAACGGCGTCAATCGTCCCTTCTTTACCTACTTTATGTTATTCATCTGCACAGTTTTGTTGATTGCATCCATTGCGATGAACGGATGGGTTGTGGAGCCCTTGGAGGTGAATCCAATGATTGGGCCAAGTGCACAAAATGTAAGCTTCAGAGCCTTTTGAATAATTGAGGAAAGCCACCATCACTGTCGACTAACCTTACACAGCTGATCCGAATGGGAGCAAAAGACTCCTACTTGATTGTAAACGATAACGAAGCGTGGCGATTGCTTTCGTCGACTGTGCTCCATGCCGGTCTCGTGCATTACTTTATTAATATTCTTGCACTGTGGTTTGTTGGTAAAGCTATTGAAACGAGCCATGGTATGGTGGCAGCTGCTATCTTGTTTGTCATTCCTGCCATTGGAGGCACGATTTTGAGCGCAATCTTTCTACCAGAATATATTACCGTCGGCGCCAGTGGCGGGATCTTTGGTCTGATCGGAGCCTGCCTTTCGGATATCATCATGAATTGGAAGCTTCTCTTTTCGGATTTCATTACGGAAAATGGCAAGCAGCACAAGCACGCGATGGTTATTGTCTTTTTGTTGCTCGATATTGCCCTCAATATGGTACTCGGATGCACTCCCTATGTGGACAATTGGTCACACTGTACGTTGGATTTGATGTCTCTCCCATAATTTCTTTACGATTGCATCTTCTCACCGTCCCCGTCCCTGAATTCTTGTTACAACAGTGGGTGGTATGGGGATTGGCCTTCTCTGCGGTCTAAGTACAATGGAGAGGCTCCCAAGTGACTTTTTCGGAATGGAGGAGAGCTTTTGGTCCAAAGCCAAGCAAATTGTGTTTCGATTCCTAGGTTTGATCGTTAGTGTCATTGGCAGTGAGTATACGAGCAAATTGAATCAGTCAAAGACAAAGCTTGAACTAACGTTGGTTCTTTGCTGCTTAAAGTTATTGTCTCCGCTACTATTCTGCTACGTGGTGACGGCGAAACAACCCCATGCCCCAGCTGTACATGGCTATCTTGCGTTCCTTTCCCTCCTACTTCCAACCAAAAGTGGTGGTACTGTGACGATTGCGGAAGAGTTACAGCCGAAATTATCCAAAACCCTACGCTCCACCTTCAACTTGATTGTCCAGGTGGAACAAATGTCGCGATTGGACTAGATGCTGACCAACCACTTGATCGGAAAGAGTTGGAAGAGCAACTGCCTTCCTATTGTCGCGAGTTTTGTCCAAGTCTAGATGCCCGATAATCTGACGGCGACGTTGAACGATCAACATATTTCTGTGAGCAATCAATGGAGAGGCTATATGATAAGCCCTATTAATTTTATAACTAGCGTGTTTTACCAACTGCCAGTCAAATACTGTGTGTTCCGCAGATATGATAATGGGCTTTATCCAGCTTTTAAAAAAGTGCGACATCGGTGGCGATCTTTGAACTTGTTTCAGCTCTGTTTGATCTTTGTTTGGCCAGGGAGGCGATTTTAGGGCACAAGACACAAGACTGCTGCGCGCAGTTACTTGTCTCGAAGCGACGAGGAGCACCAGCCTTCTTCTCTCGGTTTCTTCGTCTCGCATGGGCAACAGCGCTGGCAACGATCGTTGCAATCGTTGCAGTCATTGCGATTGTTGCTTCGGCAAACAAATCTCTTTCCCCTTTGGATAAAAGTCCATCTATTCCTTTTCGATATGGTTTAGCTTTCAGACATGATCATGAAAGTGCCATGAGCTTTGTGAACAATTGGCGTCATGCAAAAGGATGGTCGTCGGGTTCATCAAAACGTGAAAATTGTAGTCGTGAGGGATCGTTAGAAAATTGTGGCATAAGTTGCGGGGCGCCAGGCTCGTCCGTTGAACCAGTTCTTGCGGTGTGATGAAAATGGACATAGCCGCAAACATACTTCCAAACGCTGATTCATTCTGTTCAAGAAATACCAATGGTCAAGCAAATGGTTCCACAATAGCCAGTGAAGAGAACCTTACTCTGAGTTCTCCTTTGACTTCTCCTTAGACAATGCTTCCTTCAGCCGAGCTGCCTTGGCGTATGCGCCCCATAATTCATAGCACACGATTGCCCTCTGATAACTTTCCATTTGGTCTGCCATCCCAAAGTCCCTTCGCACCAACGCCTCTCGCTCAGATGCGATAGCCACTACATCTAAGAAACCATGAGAGCAGGCTTCTTCTCGAGCTCGAGTATATTTTGCGACAGCTTGTGCCGGCTTCTGGCGGTACGCCAGCATCTCTCCTTCTATCAAAAGGATCTTGTGTATGTAGTTTTCTGGTGCCGATGCAGCGCTCTTCTTTAGATACGACAGGCAGCTGTGGACTTGACGGAGCAGAAGCAATTTTCTAATTGGCGAGAAGTTTCCTCGTCTGAGCAGGGCCATACAAATGTATGCATCGTACGAAACTTGGAATGGACCAGCAAGGGACCTTCCAAATACCACTCTTGCGTTGCGGCTTCGTTTGGCCATTTCAAACGCAAGATCCAAATCCCCACAGTGATAAGCTGTCACCATCTTATGCATATGAACTCCACACAGATAGACTCCAACTTCAAGATTTGCAGTTTGCAGCACCTGCTCCAGTTTATCAGATCCGTTTTCTTCCGCCATTAGACAACCACCGGTGACTGAAGGGTCGCTAGCCCTGTCCATAAGTATCAACAATGCCTCGTATGACACGTGGCAGACTTCGTACCATAATCTTTGGTTCCGAGCTTTCATCAGCTCCAAGGCCGATTTCATCTTTGGTTCCAAGTCAATCAATGAATATCCTGCAATCCAGGAAAAGAGTATGCGCATGGACAGTCCAAATATAGCCATTTCAAAATCCCCACAGTCAAATCCAATTTGGTGTGCTTGTTCTAGTTTTTCCAATACTGGTCCAATAGGTTCCTTGGAGGGGACAATCATTGCATAATGCCATACATAGACTCGAGGAATCCATTCATTCCTAACTGCATTATACCTCCCAAGGAACATTAGTGCGAGTTGCCCAAGCCGGTATCCCGTGTCAATGTCTCCAATGGTAGCCATAATAACACCCACCCCGGCACAAGCCATTGAAGATACAGCCGAAGCACCATGATTCAAAGTTAGATTCAAAAGCTTAAAGGTCACCAGCGGAAATAACTTTGGCATTGCAATAAAAGAGGAAGTAAGCAAAAGATTCAAGACCCCCATGGCTGATAACTTGGTTTGATCCGTCATGTCCTGCAAACCGGCAATGGAAGAATCGGATCGCTTTTTCAATGTTCGTTTCATCTTGGAGAGCTCCATGACAATGTGGCGAGTCCCAGCATTTTTCGGAATAGGTTCTCCAAGTTGCTCCAAGGTATCCAATCCAAGCTCAATGACATCCTTTACTCGAAGCCTCACTTCGTAGGAATACATCTGTAGCATCACGCAATTGATTTTATCAGGAAATGACCGGGCATTCTCCATGACAATACTGATGGCTTTGTCGGTGCCCGCAAAATCACCCAAACGAAATGTAGCTTGGGCAATACTGTTGTACAACTCCAACGTCATATCGTACTCGTCCCGCCAGCTCTGTCTCAAGTCTAGTTGGGCAACCCCACGCTCCAAAAAATTCAACGACGTTTTATAGTCACTGGAGGATATCGCCTTTTTGGCAGCCAACAAACACAGTGATGCCAATCGCGTTTGTTCCCGATCACTGGTTATGCACTCCATTCCAAGGCACATTTGGTCCACCACCACAAAAATATAGTCCTCCAACTCGTCTCGGGTGAACGTTTCGCTTAGAAAATGCCCCAACGACATGTGCAACCGAGGTAGCTCGCTTTTTGGTACCAAATTGTAAGCTGCCTCCTTGACTAGATCATGACAAAACCGATAGGTGGACGAATGCGGCTCTTTCAGAATGATGCCTTTGAGCACACTTTGTTCAATGGCGTCCTCGAGATTGACCTGCGACACGGGTCCCACCGCGTCGCACAGGTGACTCTTTTCTTCGACGCCCACCTTGAGCGTGTCCCCAAAAATCTGAAACAGCAAGTCTTCGTCCAGTTCCGTCCCCAAACAGGCGGCGTACAGCAAAAATGTTTGACATCCTTCTGGCAATTTTTGAATGCGGGCAATGATCAGGTGGAGTATCGTATCCGCCTGCTCAAACTTGGCCGCCCATATTTCATCGTCCCACAACCACATGCGAGTGGTGGGGTCCTTTTTGAGCACATTTTCGACATAGAGGGCCTTCAAATATTCGACCGTGAAGAAGACATTGCCTTTGGTCTTGCTATAAATGATATTGGTGACTCCAAAGCAGTCGGATTCTGGAGATTTTAGGACAGAGGCAATCATCGCGTTGGTAGCTTGAATTGACAAGCAACCGACATCAATGGTGTTTATCGATACATTCTGTTCGTCTTCTAGTCGTCGTAATATCACCGACAAGTCGTGTCCATAGGAAACCTCATTGGATCGGCAGGTTCCTACTACTGCCAAAGCGTGATTATCATGATCACTGACGACTGCTTCCAATAATTCTAACGAACCAGAATCCGCCCACTGCAGATCGTCCATGACCAAAACTAGCGGATGACTACTGGAACAAGCAGCCTTTAAGAATTTGACCAAGATTCCTTTGAGACGGTCTTGGGCATTGGCACTCTTCAGGGTAAATAAGGATCCTTCGTCCGGTCGTCCCACCAATTCCAATACGGCTGGCACCAACAGGGTCAAGACTCCAATGTCGTTTCCCACTTGCAATGAGACTTGTGAAGCAATTTCGTCCACCAAGGCATTGTCTTGTTTCAGAACTAGTCGGATAAATTCCGTCATGGCCGCCACCAAAGGAGCAAAGGGTTGGGATTGTTTTAATTGATCAAACTTTCCCATGACAAAGTACCCCCCTTGTTCTTGGACCGGGTGTTTGAGTTTGCGTGCCAGTACCGTCTTTCCAGTTCCGGGCAAACCAGCAATGAGTATCATTTCCGGCTTGGAATTGGGTGCAAGTCGTCTTTGCAAGGCTTGTTTGATGTTTTCAATTTGCTGGGATCGGTCAAAGAGACTGCCCTCTCGCAAGAATTGAAAGTTGAGAGCATGGTTTTCGCGGAGTAAAGTTGCCTTGGATCGTTTGCTGGACAAATCATCGGAACCGTCGCTCCTCTGACTGAAGGATATGGTGATGTTGTCCATCCTTCATTGCGATCGAGCTAGCTTTATATTACCGGTAGGACTATGTATTATAATAATATACAGTATTATAATACAGTTGTGCGTATTGATACCGGTACCGTATAGATATATTGGTGTTGATATTGTTGATATCTGGACCCTCCGCAACTCGTCCGTCCTTCGTCGTTTTAAGGGGGATTTTGCGTATTGAATTTACGGGGAGCGGATACATGATTCTTTAGGGGGAGTTGTTTAAAAGGGGGCATTACGGTTTTCCGAAAAATATTTTGTCGTGTTTCAAATTGATTTGTCGTGTTTCATTCGAGTTTGTCGTCTTTCGAATTGGTTTGTCGTCTTTCGAAATTTCTTGTCGTCTTTCGAAAAATCTTGTCGTCTTTCGAAAAATCTTGTCGTCTTTCGAAAAATCTTGTCGTCTTTCGAAATTTCTTGTCGTCTTTCGAAAAATCTTGTCGTCTTTCGAAATTTCTTGTCGTCTTTCGAAATTTCTTGTCGTCTTTCAAAAAATCTTGTCGTCTTTCGAAAAATCTTGTCGTCTTTGTTTCAGCTTGAAGTTGTCGGATGGAAATACATATGCAGCATTCTCGCCTATCTCTCATGATCTTATCATCGGACGAAGATCCGCCCATGAACCACATCCTCACTCCATCAGAGATGACGAATATCACGGCCTTTCTCCATTGGGGATACGTGTGGAAGGGAATCAAATGTGCGAAGGGGAAAGGCGAATGTCTTCCACTTCAAGCACCATTTTGGAGTCTCTCCTTGCCGTGCAGTTTGGATCTAGACCGACCTGCAACTAAGCAACATTGCAGACACCAAGATCAACGAAGGAGACGAAGATCTTAAGTACTTCTTAATGGGGCTTTACTGTCTTCGAAAAGTAGTTTTTTGGTCAACGATCAAAACATGGGAAACGATCAAAAAGATTCAAGACGTGATTTTGTAAGGGAAGAAACTAGTCAGAAAGGTATGAGTTGGGTGCTGTCGACGGATGGTAGTCACCGTTGGATCGATCAATGAGCCTTCTCATTCGGACTGCAGTCAAGATCCCCGATACTACCTTCACAGATACAATAATAAGCCACGGGTTTGGAATTTCGGTAGTGGACAATCGGCAATTGTGGATGCGTGGTCCCATTCCATTCAAGAGCAGTTTTCACCACTCTACATCTAAAGACAATAAACAAGAGTTCTAGACCAGCAAAAGACCAGCGTATTATACATATATCCTACCATCCCTGCTACTTCACTACAACATGTGATACAAATCTCAACAGATAGATATAAAATGTTCTTTGAAAAGCATTTCTTTCAAAATTCTGCTCGATCATGCATTTCCTTTGACATGTCATCTAAACTGATTGTGACACTCGTCGAACCAGTTGAGGCGCCAGTAGCCCGATCATAGTTGGAGACAACCGTATCTGGGTTGTAGTAGAACTCAAACTTGAGAACGGGAAGCTTGGCAATAAGAATATTGCGAGAAGTCGGATCATGGAGCTTGATAATAATCCAAATCCTGTTTATTGTTGGATTCGAGTTTAGTAACAATTGTCGTCACATCTCCAAATGGAATCCTTTGTGCCTTTCAATGATGCCACTTGATATTAGGCTCCTTCCCGCCTGGAGCCAATGTTTCACCGGGTCCTCCAAAAAAGGCATGTTGTCGCCTTCCTTCATGACCTTGACGTAGCGATAGTTCTCGCACATGAGCGTATTTTCCTGGTTTTTCTGCCGTCCGTCGCTTCTACTTTGGACCATGAACAGGTTTAGACGGGCGTGATGAATTTTGTTGTCGTCGTCTTTTGAATTGATTTGTCGTCTTTCGAAATTGATTTGTCGTCTTTCGAATTGATTTGTCGTGTTTCATTCGAGTTTGTCGTGTTTCATTCAAGTTTGTCGTGTTTCAAATTGATTTGTCGTGTTTCATTCGAGTTTGTCGTCTTTCGAATTGGTTTGTCGTCTTTCAAATTCTGTTGTCGCGTTTCGGAATCTGTTGTCGTGTTTCGAACTGGTTTGTCGTGTTTCGATTCGACCCAAAAGTAGAACTTGGGGCCCCTAAATTTGACTGCAAAACATAATGGGGGAAGACTAGAGAAAAGTGCTTCCCCCCGTTTAAATTGGACGACAGACAGACGAGTTGCTGAGGGTCCTGTGGTGCTGTGTCAACAACACATATTTTATATCATTGGCGGTGCTCGCGGTCCCAACTGTCGCAATAAGCGCACCAAATATGTTCCCGTTTGCGAAAGACGATGTTGAAGTTGGTATTTTGATGCGCGCGTTTTCGATTTTCTCGTTTCTGTGGGAGTCGAGTCGAGTCGAGTCGAAGGGATCAACTGCAATTTAGGTCGACTGGGTCCAAAACGTCAGGCTTTTTCTTTCGATTTCGAGAAGCCTCTTTTTGGAGCATACGGTAGCAGGAGAGGCCTCATAGTGACCGCCATCCTCAGCACCATCAACTTCAGCATTCGCGAACCTTGTGAACGTTCTCATTGCATTTCATTGCCATTCGACACCATCTCTTTTAATTCGTACAGCATCACAGTCGACGGGACGGATCGACTGACTCATAATCTATCAATCCTCAATAAAGTGAGGTTCCAAGTAAAGCAAGCAACAAGCACAGCCATACCGGTACAATCAACAGGCTCTGAATTTTCCTGTCATTCAAATATTACTGAAACACACTTTGGCATTGCAACATTACTTCAGTCGCTTCCAAGTTTCCCTGCACCTTTCAGATTACAAAATCCAATCATTCATCAGAGCAAATGTCGAATTCTATCTTGACCGAGGGTGTGAAGGAATCATCCTCATCCTCATCCTCACCCTCTACTAATAATCATGATGAAAACATGTCCACCACCACGACCACAAAACGGCCAAGACAAGAACGCCTTTCCCCAGCAGCAATCGCGGCGGCCAATTCCAGCCATTTGACAGGCCGACGAGGAGATATTCGTATGCACAAGGCCGTGGCAGCAAGAATGGCCGATCCTTCCATTTCCCTTTATGATGCTTTGGTCATTGGTGGTTTTGATTACCCTTCGGATGATTCGGCAACCACAGTGGATGAGGACAAGGTCACCTTGGGACAGCGCAAAAATCAGCTCAGTCGACGACTGCGATTGGCCAAACGACAAAAGAAACATGGAGAAAAGAAGGGAAGTAAGACTATGGATCATGGTGGGGATCATGATTCATGTTCGACTCCTCCCCCAAAGAATCCGACTATCTGTGCCCATTCAAAACATGAACACAATCACCAGCCATCCACACCAACACTACTAGCAGAACAAGAAGCTGCCTGTTCGCAACAACAACAACATCATCATCATCATCATCATCACCATGATGATGGTGCTGCCATTATTGAGACCACCAATACAGATGCAACAGCGATTGCGTCTCTCCTGGAATCCGCGCAGTCCGTTGGTCTCACATTGCAACAGCTGGCGGAAACGATTGCTTCCAATCGAACAACTTTAAGCAGCCTTGTCATGGCGCGAGATCAGCAATCGCAGTGCTGTGATGACAAATCATCTTCGATTTCCACGACTCGTCAAAAACAAAAAAAGGTCGCTCTACGATTGCACCAAATTGAATCCAAGGCATTGTACGACAAGTGTCTGGTGCTTGCCGACGCTGATCTGGACGACGACTATGCTCCTTTGTCAAAGCAACATTTGCAGTTTTGTTTCCAGGCCTGGCAAACCGAAGGCAAACGACTCGGTGGCCTAATGGAAAAGCATCATCCCGATTGGATTCAACAATTGCATTCTGACGGAAATAAAGTCGTGGCTACAGGAAACAAACGAACACGATCCACCATGACGACTAACTCCTTTGACCACCCCCACAACAAAAAGAAGCATCATCAAGGTCATCACAATCACAACCACAATCACAACAAAAAACCGTGTCACAACCAAACTGGTTTGCACATTCACCGACTTGATGGTCAATGTGGTCACAAACCCATTATTCATCATCCCAAAGATGGAGTACCACACATTGACTTTATTGTGGGAGACATGGTCGAATGTTATCATGGAGTGGATCCCATCAAACGAAACAAGGCACCATTCACGGCTGCAGTTCCTCCATCGGAACGAGTCATCAAGTGGCAATCCAAATATACCTGTGGGGAAATGGATTGCAGTGGCGAATGTCCCAGCACTGGTACTCCTGGTGTTGTTGCTGGTGTTGATCCACATGTCGTCGTTGTTACCAATCCACCTGTACCACCGCCACCCATAATGGGTGTACAGGACACTAGTACTACTGTCGTGATTGCCCCCAATGATCAATATTTGGCCAACCTACAACCACCGCCGCCTCCTCCACCACCACCAGCAGCACCGCCGGCTTTGGAACCAAAGTCAATCCCCATTGCCAAAATCCGAGAAAATGATCCGGAATGGAATTTTGAACCGGATGAAAGTATGGATGATTTGCTAAATGGATTGCTCATGCACAATGAATTGGTGTATTGAGGATTATTTTTAAAAAAATATTAATTCATTCTTATTGTTTAGTAAATGATTTTGTAGTGATTGCTAGCTTAGGGACAGGAAGCCAGTCACTACTAATCTGGAATGAACCGCAATATCACAAGCCATAGAATGAATGCAACAAGTGCCATGGGATGAGTGAATCAATTATTGTAAAATTCTAAACGCCCTGCCATAACTTGGAAGCATTCTTGTTTTACCTACGATTTTTGTTTGGGACCATGCCTATACAGTAACGGACATATGAGCAAAATACCTACATTACCCCGGTACAGTATTATTGTTCAACAATATACCCAGTTCCTCTTTCTCCGGGTTCCTTGCACATCACCATTCGACCAACGATGCGAGATGAGATATATATGCGTTGATTTTAACAGAAAACTCATCGGAACGCTACCGGTATACTATATTACTGCATGACAATGGCATCCTCTGGCCCCGTATCTTTCATCTACCAAGGCGAAGATGAAGACAGTGATGTACCAGCAACTGTGAATGATGTGGAGGTGGCGTCTCATGTCACTAGCATTCACTCCGCAGCCTTCCACAACTATATTTCATTGACAATAGTTCGTTTGCCACTGGGCCTAAAGGTGATTGAGGAGAATGCTTTCAACAACTGCCAAGCTCTCAAGACAATTTCAATTCCTTCGTCAGTGGGAATCATTCAATCAGGCGCCTTTTGTGATTGTAAATCTTTGGAGACTGCGGGTCTTCCAGAAGGTTTGACGGCGATTCCTCATGCTTGCTTTATGCGTTGTGTCTCCTTGGTCAAGGTCAATATTCCATCTACCGTGGTGGAGATTGGAGTCAATGCCTTTTGGGATTGTCAAGCGCTACGCTACGTGGAACTTCCGATGGGGCTGGAAACCATTGAATCGGGAGCTTTTGGGCACTGTTGGGGTTTGTCTCGGGTACTTGTGCCATCCTCGGTCATATACATTGGTTTGATGGCCTTTACGGGCTGTGGTAGCCTTGAGACAGTAGAGATATCTATTGAATCTAATGCGCTCCAATCGATTCGGCGAAATGCGTTTCAAAATTGCTATTCTCTCATCTGTGTGGCTCTTCCCAAATCCTGTGATGTGAACCCATCGGCATTCCTCCACTGCGAAGCGTTGGTGAATGCTTTTGAAAGGCATGGCTACGCTCTGAATGGCTGCCTGAGTAATCGATTTGATGGTCTGCCGGCTCATAAGTTCGTTTATCAGCAGGCTCATAATATTTCCACGTTCGACAGTGACGATGTCAGCGATCTGAAAGACAACAGAACGATCTATCCGACAGACACCAAAGACGTCTTTGGCTTGACACCATTTCACATCTTGGCACTGTCGTCAAGACCTAACGTTGAGACATTTCAGTTTCTTCTGAAACAGGCATCATTTCTTATCGACCAGCTTTGGCATTTTGATGTGAAAGGAAAGACTGCATTGAGATATGCAATCGGGAGCTACGCACCAGGGGCTATGGTATTCGTTAATGCTGTGCTTCACGCCATGATAGATGGACGGGTAGTTTGTCTAAGTTTCGAGCCTTGGAGATTGAAGATTGCCCAGAAACTGAACAGACTCACCGAGGAAGATGTTCCTGAAGAAAGGGAAGATAAGATTCATGGCTTGTTTGCTTTGATTCACTTGTATGAGCGAAAGGAGACGTTATCGCTACTGGACCAAGCTGTTTGGAAGCACAGAATGCGGCAATCCAACAAGGAATTGGCTGCTGGGGAAAGAGAGGAGAATGCGATACGACCCAAAATGGATCTGGACGTCTCGCCCATCAATGACATCAGAGTGCGCGTCATTGATCGTCAGGCTTGCTATCTGCACTCTGGTGCGGAAACGATTCTCGACAACACTCTTCCATATCTTGCACCAATTACAAAAACTATAGCATTTTGAATTTTAAAATACACTCTAGCGTAAGCTCTGTGATGCAAGGATGACCATCGCCAAGCACCTCTTGGCGAATATGGATTGGTTTCTTGTATGCCTCGATGGCACCGTATTTGATGCCTTGTCGGCCATTGCATTTGTAAGATGTTCATAGACCTCTGCTGTTTGGAGGCGAATTCCACCTACCGTTTGATTTTGCTCCATTGGCACTATAGGGGTGAATACGCCTCCGTGGGTGGCGCACCTCCGAAGTTACATAGGTTGTTAAGGCTTTTGGCTTTATTGTGGAGCGCTTCCACGAATATGTTTGTCGAGCTACGTCGTCAGCTGGGCCATCATCGTTTCTCTCACTCACTTCCGATTCTCCAAGAGTCGTTTCAGCAAAGATCTATGCGCTTCCATGCGCACCTTCGTGTCAGGATGATCATCCCCAAGCTGTTTTCGACGAATCTTGAGGGCTTGTGCACTGGCAGCAATACCATCTTGCAGCAAACCTTGTTCCACTTTCACAGCCGAAATATTCTCGTAAACTTCTGCCGTATAGAGGTGAGCATCCCCAAATATTTCCTTGTGGGCACCCAGCGCCTCTTGGAAGAGTTGCATTGCCGTTTCCGAATTGCCTTGCAAATTCATTTTGACTCCCTGTTGGTTCAGCGCTTTCGCATTTTTCCCACGCTTTATCACTTCAAGCTGAGCAACAAATTCTTTCGTGTCGGGATGGTCATTGCCAAGCGCTTTACGACGAATCTCTAGAGCCTTGGTTATGGCATTGAAGCCATCTTCCAGCATGTCTTGATGCAAGTATACTTGTGAAAGAGTTTCGTACTTTTCTGCTAATGTTGGGTGCATTTCGCCTAGCTCTTCCTTTATGATCACTATCGATTTCTTCAGCACCTCCGCGGAACCTTCAAATTTTCCTTGCTGTGACAGCAGTGCCACTTTGTTGTCGAGAGCTCCTGCCAATACTAATGGCCTGTCGAAGTCTCCCAGTTCTCGTAGCCGATAACAAATTTCGATGCTTTTATCAAGCATCTGAATGGCATCGTCCATTCTATTTTTATTTTCCAGCAGCTTTGCAATGCCCATGTATATAAGTGGAACTTCAGAGTGGTCTTCCCCGTGCATTTCTAGTACTTTCGAAAGTAGGAGCTTTTGGACCTTGATTGCTTCTGAAAGTTTGCCTTGCATTTGCAACGAAATCACTAGTGGCTGGCTGGCTTCCACAAAGTCAGACGATTTTGGTTGCATATCGCCCATGATATCCAGAGCTTTCCGGTACATTTCTTCGGCTTCTTCGAAGTTTTCCAGTTGCAGACAGAGTCTGCCCATGTCCTTGTACGTATTTGCTGAATCATGTGTGTCTCCCAATTTCTTACTCTGAATCGCAAGAGATCTTTTCATTGTCTCCAAGGCTTCACTATAGTTCCCTTCCTTCTCCAGCAAATTTCCAATGTATTTGAGTGTCACGGCCACAGAAATATCGTCTTCACCCAACTCTTTCGTTTGTAGTTCCAACAATCTCTGAAAAATCTCCCTTGACTTTTGATAATCTTCTTTATCACGATGGAAATTTCCCTGTTCCGAGAGTTCGTCAATCAACGCATGTATGCTGCCCTGCATTGTTTTGCTATGTGTCTCTGCGTAGGCTGTTTCCTTTTTCAAGATGAAATGATGATCCGAGGTAATATTATTATTACGGCCCCCGCAATTATTATGACAATCTAACTTAGATAGCCTACTGCCGTCCTCCGTGTGTGTGTTCGTAGTAGTTTGTCTTGGTGTGTAGCTGGAACACCCGGCAGAATGATGATATCGGACAAACTTTTTCCTGACAAGAAGTCCGGAGACGTAGAATCCTACCACGAAAAGCTCCAAGGCCAAAGTGGCAAGTTGGGGGCAAATCCGGGGGAATAAAGTCGAGAAAAATACAAGTCGAAAAAACAAGAAAGTAAGAGCAACAACAGTGACAAAGAAAAGAGCATGTATATTATTGGCCATGTATTACTACCACAGTGAAAATACTTTCCACCCGTCATAGGCTGAGTAGTCTGTCTAATTCTGGCATGAACCCTGCCCTGAGCATCCTCACGAGCCCTCAAGTACAACGTCTGCATTTGGCTTGCGGCATCATGCTCCTGCTCCCTTGCTCGCGCCGCTCCTGGAGCAAATATATGTCTCAATTCCCTTGCAAATTCAGCACCATCGCTAGGATCATTGTTTGCTCTTCGATTTTTGGACTTCGCTGGACTTTCATTGGTTCTTGACTCTTCATCAGTACTTCTTGTTCGGCGCATTGTTGTTGTTGATGCCACTGGAGGACCTCCTCCTCTCCAGATCGACCATTGCCACTCTTGCTATTCTTTTCGCCCTCTGATCCCCTCAGTATTGCCCTCGTTTGCCCATTCGCTGTCACTTCTGCCTCATGTGAAGAGGATCTCCAAGCGCTTGATTGACCGACCTCCACCTGACTGCAACCTCGACTTGCTCTCCCTTCTTGTCCCCTTTATGTGCTGCCTTGAATGTCCGATTGGTCCCAGGTGACTCCTACGCTCCCCCTACTGCCACGATCTCCATCACTCTCTTGATCGCAGATCTCTAACTGATTGATCTCCCCTGCTCTCGCTACTGCTTGCTTCGCAATGGCCTTTTGATTTCGGGGCCCTCTTGGACCTCGCTCTTCTCTGTTGGTTTGACCGTCCTCATTGCTGTGAACTCCTCATTGGCGCCACTTCCATCTTTGGCTTAGGCATAGAATTGCTAGTGTTTGCTATGCTCTAGCGGAGTGGTTTGAGCCATTTTACGACCCTTGAATGCCAGAAAGTGATCTGGACCATAACGTACCCCTTTGATAGAACGGTTCTGTTGTCTACTAGGTGTGCCAAGAAGCTTGATTTGATGCCAAAAAGATTGCTGATTGTTGTTCTGTCTGATTTGGTGGAAAGCCATCGCTAAGCTATTAGATTGTTGCATGCCAATGAAGCCAAGCACCGGTTTCTTGCGATCGCAAAGAATGCATGGGCAAAAACGGTGTCGAATATCCACTACTAATTGCAACCAACACTTCGCATACATACAACATCTGGCCAAAAATCCAAAGGGTATTCTCGAACAAGTCCCTGTATCATCTGAAGATATTGTGGAGGCTGTCGCCACCTTGACTGGCACGAAACCCCAACTGCCCAATATCACAAGTCTGAACATGACGAACTGGATGCTAAACATGATGGCGAAGTTGGCCCATTTTTTTAATTGCTGCTGCTTGGCATCTCTTATTTTGGTTTTCCGACGAGGCACCCACGTTGCTCGGCAGGAGACCACATATTTCATTTGCAATTCCCACCCCAATCCTAAGCAAAACGGTGGAACATGGGAGAAATCGAACGAGCGCTACAATATGGACACACAAGAGTGTTCACACAAGTTCAATCATGGGGCTGTGAAATATGAGGTCGCGATGTCCCTTCTTGAGCCGCAGTGTGCTTGGATCAGTGGGCCGCATAAGGGAGGGAAACACGATCTTACGATCTTTCAAGAAGGAGGTCTGAAGCAAAAGCTGAAGCGGTGGAAACAGGCAATTGTTGATAGGGGTTATACAACCAGCAAAGAAGACGAAAAATACATCCTTTGTATCCCAAGAGAAACCGATTCTGTGACGCTCAATGAATACAAGGGAAGAGCTAGACTTTGACACGAAAGCTTCAATGGTAGGTTGAAAAAGTATATGATTCTTGACGCAACCTACAGACATGATCAAAAGCATCATGGAAATGTTTTTAGAGCTGTTGCAGTAACGGTGCAGTACCAAATGAACAATGGCGCTCCCATCTTTGAAGCTCCAAGGCTTCATCAAAACTTCCTTCCGTCCCCAGAACACTTCCGATGCAATTGAGTATCTCGGCCACAGCAGGATCATCTTCACCTGACTGTTTCGTTTGTATCTTCAACGCTCTGTTCAATATTTTTCCCTTGCCTTTTGAGGGTTTCCCTGCTGTTGATAGGCACGTGATTCATCCAAGAGTTCGTCAATCGAGTCTTGTTCATTGCCCTTCATTTCTTTTCGGTTCTAGCTAGAGACTAAGTGTCATTATCCAGCCAAATTGAAAATAAACTTTGTCCTTCCAAGATTGGCGGGAAGTACTTCGTCAGTTTCGTTTTTTGAGTCGTCTTAAAAGCTAATACAGTACGGTACTGTAGATCGTCCAAAAAGGCGGCCGTTACTACTTACCCATACCCCATACCTACAGTATAGTACTGTACAGTATAGTACAGTACAGCAATAGCGAGAGAATAGATTTCCCACTAGGTCCATCTTCTGCCGTCTTGATGCATGGTATTTTAAAATACTTATAGTGTACATACTTCAACTTTTTCAATGGGTGTCTTCTTGTTCGGAGGGTTCTTGAGGCAATGAATGAATACATCAGTCCTAAATCATCAATCAATAAAATGCAAATATACAGCATAATGTTGTTTACAATAATATTAAAAAGTCGGCAATGTTGGTTCTGGTTCCATGGCATCCCGCTATTCTAGGGTACAGTCTTGCCATGGAACGAATCGATTGATTCTGGTGTTTTTGTGTCGTGTTGTTGTTGTTGTTGTTGTTTTTTGGTTGCGAGTGCCACTTTTGATTTTACAAATCTCGTTTTTCGTCTTGGCCCCAATTTTATGGCATTCTCAAATCTCCCAAACCAGCATGCTTCTTGGCCACAGCGTCATACTTGCCACCCATGCAGGAAAGAATATCCTTCCACAAATCCTTGGTATCATCTTCCTTGGTAGTGGGTGCTCCGGCATATCGGAGCAAAAAGTCGGACGAGACGGAAGCAATGTACCAGACATCCTTTTTGATTTCCCGATCCAATTGTCCTGGAATCCAAGCAGCGTGGCCTTTGATGAAGAGAGCATTGCGTGGATCAAATCTATTTATTCGAACCTCATTCATGAGTTCTTCCGAACCACCAATAAAGACACCCGGTGCCAATTTCTTGGAACCTTCGACGTGTCCAAAGCCATGCAAGACGGCAAATTCATCTTGGAGGACGGGTCCACCGTACGAGACGGGGGCTGGTTTAAAGGCAAGTCTTAGGGAAAGATCCAGAGTGGCATTTTCTTGATTGGTAACGACCTTGTTCAAGTTTCCTTGCATTGGTCTGAAGAAGAAGAAGAATTGAAGGAACAGAAAGAAAAGAATGTAGTGTGTCAGAATAAGTGTTGTTGTACATTATACAAACACACACTAACACACACACATGCATGCATGCATCTTGCCATAGCTTACCGATTGATTACGACACCAGTCGTTCCAGTCTTTTCGTGATGGTCCACAATGAGGACGACGGTTTGATGAAAGACGCCCCCCAACTTTTCATTGGCAATCAAGACACACCCGGGTTCAATGTGAGTAATGTCATGAGCCCATCGATGTTTGTTGACAGCCACAGGAGCCGACTTCATGTGAATCGGCAATTCGGCGGCCGAGACGAACGGATCTTGGAGGGAACTGGTGGTAGTCGTGTCTTGGTGTTCCACAGTCGGGAGGGGAACGGCGCCACCCACATTGTCACCCGTCATGAGGTTCTCTTCTGACGACAAGACACGCTTCTTAGCAGCCTTTTCTGACGACGAATGAAAGATGGATGAAATGGCTCCGGCAAAGAGTTCGCCAAGTTGTCCTTGCTTGTCCAAGGATGATTCGTCATTGTGCGCGTTTGATTTCTTATTTTGAAGGAGCTTGGCTTCCTTCTTGTTTTCTTGTAGTACATTATTCTTGTTGTTGCTGTTGTTGTTGTTGCTGTTGTTGCCACTGCTTTGCTCCAGCATCATCTTTTCTTGGGCGACAAGCTTGGCGCGAAAGAGACGCCAATCGTCGCCCATGCTTTCTTCCAACATGCGTTCGGTATGAGCACGTCCGGAATTCTTGCTGTAGAGGCTTGTACTAGTAGTAGTAGTAGTAGTACTAGTAGTAGAGCTTGTGGTGGAGGATGGTGTCATCATAAAGGCATCTGTGCTAGTTGCCATCATGAGAATGGCCACTGCGGCAAATCGGACAGTCATGGTGTTTGTCATTTTGTCAAAAGCAAAGGAGAAGAAGATTTGATTTATGATTTTTGAATGTGTTCTGTGGAATCAACGCCGAATTCTTGTCGAATTGGGCAAACTGTGTGAGTGAGAGGGAGTGAGTGAGTCTGTTATTGTTGGTGTGATTGTGTCCTTGCAAAAAGCAGCTGTGGCTTCTTGTTGGAGATTATATGCTGTTTGATGTTTGCTGCTTGCTTCTTGAGTTTGCTTCCACACAGTCTTTTTCTGCAGCAGAACAAAGACGAAGAAGGGGCGGTGTCGTCGTCGGTGATGGCTTGGATTCCTTTTTCCGAAGCCAGTTGGTCCAAACCAGGCGGGTTTTTTCCAATTCTGTTGGGGGAGGGTTTGCTCTTCTCCGTTCGTGTGAATTGTAGTACCAATTCTACACAATCTCTACAGAACCAATCCTTGCGAACATTCGCATCAAATGTACCTCCTGGCAGGACTACCCCATCATTGGAGATTTTTTAAATCCGAACGATGCGGCAGTACGATCCAAGGGGTTTATTCGGTATCTTTCGTGTCCTCGTAGAGCTTGGTACATTCCTACACAAAACACAGTTTATGCGAACTCTGAGAGTTCCGATATAAAAAAGAAAATCTGCCCATGGTGAAGTTGGACAAGCCTCGGACACAAATTGGCTGGTCCAGAACGTCACTCTGGTTTTTTTCGCCTCCTTGAACATCATGCGAAGATGGCATAATGCCGATGGAAGCAATGCTAAAAAGTATTTTGATTTGAATGAATCAGAACAGTTGAAAAATGGCGACGTCACAAACACCAAAAAATTGTTTTGAAAAACGAAATAGAAGTCAACGTACCGGTACCGGTAGAGATCATAGGTCCAACTGTATACTGGCAAACTCCGTTGGTATCCGACCAGTAGTACTGCCTAGTATGATGTGTAATAAGTACGGTAGCATTATATGGTGAAATTATAGTTTCTTTTTGGCAATTTATCCTACACAGTCTAGCTATAGTACGGAAGCACAATTGATTTTTCTTACAACATAGCTGGCTTGTTTCCCAGGCAGATTGTAGTACCAGATTATATTATTGCCATTTACAAATTAGTCTAGCAACCAAAGCTTTGGTGGCTACTATATAGACTAGCTCATTTGATGCATCATCCACATTTGGTTTGAACTCCACCAATCGATCATTCATTCATTCATTCATTCGTCATCATTATCTTTCTTGAGATGCTCCAAGGGATCATGACCACTTTTATCCGTCTCCTCGATTTTCGGAACGCAATTTGGCAGCGTGATGGGCTCCACGAAGCGACTTTCGTATTCCGCGTAGGCTGGTGGTTTGGACCCTTCGAATTCAGCAACTCGCTTTAGGTGTTTTTTTTGACGCACATGTTTGCTAAACTGAGAAATATCAATGTCATGAGCTATAGTGCAGACCCTGCACTTGATCCACCGATTGACTGAGGTGCACCTGACATTGTCACAATGAAATATCGCCAAGTACTTCCTCCTTCCGTCACGAACAATGTCTTTGGTCTGGAATCCACATTTTTGACACGCAAAATAGATATCTTTCGTGCGCATAATAAAGTCATCTTTCGTCAATAATGGCGGTCCACGATCGTCTTCTGACATGTTTCGTCGTTTCCACCAACAAACAAGTAATATGAGAACGCAAGAAAATGGCTCCAAGAAAATGAGCGTACAAGTAGTCGTCCTAGTGTATACTGGCCTGTGTGTGAGGAGGGCACTAGTGTATATTTTATGCTGCATATACTATCGTATTCATTGACAACATCTATCCTCCGCAGCGAAACACGTGGGAGCGTTTTACAATACACACACACATCATGGGAGCGTTTTACAATACACACACACATCTCTTCGCTAACTGCCGCCGGAAGCGTGATGCACCATGTGTGCACATGGGTATGCATGTGCTGTGAAACATTTTGTCGTTTTTGTGCGCTTCTTGAAAGCTGCAACTCACCCGTTTCTCTATTACTCCAGAAGTCGTATCGGGCGACGGTCAAAACACCGATTAACAATCACAGGGACAGGCGCCTGTGCTAATGGCCGCCACATCATCCTCCAAATTCGCATCTTGGTCATCGTCTCCACATCATCTTGACATCTCAGGCCTCGAGCCCCACCACGCGACACAATTATACTCTACCACAGCAGCACCAGCAGCAGCACCAGCAGTAGCAGCAATCAAATAGACAGCAGCAAACCTTTCGTAGTCATCACAAGCTACACGATCAGTAGTTTCGCTTTCATTCAGCAATCCCACCAAGAAACATACATCATTCACTTTTCTGAACTACTATACAATCTATTATCAGCCATGATGATGACAACAACTCAACAACAACAGAAACAAAGACGACAAATGCCTATCATCAGCAGTCGTTCCATAATACCAACAATCTTGCTATTGACAATGGTCGCCTCCAGTACCCATGCCTTTGTTGGTACTACTACTAGTAGTGCACCGACAACAACAACAACAAGAATGAACAAGAATCATGCTCCTTTTCCCTCCTCTCGGATTGTTGCATTGTCGTCCTTGTCCACGACTAGCAGGAGTAGCAGCGTTGAAACTGAGGATACTGCTGGCAACGACAATAACGATAATGATAGTGACTCTGGTGGTGCTGCCAAGCAACTCTTGGACAAGGCGGCTCAATTGCGTGCCGAGATTGCCGCCATGGAAGGCAAAACGGTCGAACAAGTGACCCAAGAAGCCAAACAAAAAAAGCAAGATCAGCAAGATCGTTTGAAGCAACAAGAGGAAGAAAATGCAGTTCGAATCAAAGAACGTCAAGCTAGTAGTAGTAGCGCTTCCAGCAAAAGCGATCAAGGCCGTTCCTTCGTGCCCTTGCCCAATACGGTGGACGACATGATTCGACAAGCGTCTCGAGCCGTCGAACGTGCCTATCAAGATGGCAAGACCCGCCAGACGGTTCGATTTCATTTGGTGCCCTTTGAAGAGGATGATCCCAACGAACGGTTGCAAGATGTCAGTAACAATTACAACGTCTTGGAAGAGAATCAATGGCCCGGAGGTGCCCAACAAATGTACCGAGAAGCTGGCAAACCAATGACGTCGGCCTTGCTACGAGAACTTCGCATCCTACCCAAAAAGGCTGCAATGGATGACAAGGAAGATGACGCTCCTGCTTCTCCTCAATGGAGCGCCCCCAAAATTGTCCAACAAGACATTTGGGACTTTGACGGATCCGCCTTGCACACGGCAGAATCCAGTGCCGGACCTTCGGGTGACATTCAAGCCTTGGTCTTTGCCAATACCGATGTGAAATACATTCGAGACATTGACGAAATTTCAAAAAACATTGGCCCGGATCGATTGTTCCTCTTGGTGAATCCCTTTTGGAGGAATTTGGATTCCTGGAGTTTCAATTTGTTGGCCCCCAAGGCCAAGGACAAGGCACAACAGGTTATTTTCACTGACGACGACAATGGAAACTATAGCGAAACATATGTCAACATGATCTTTCAAGTGCGAGGCGAAAAGTGTATCGCCATCAAGGCGTATCCCTACGATTGGCAAATATTTGCCATGCGAGAAGATGACTACTATCCCAACTCGGAATATTCCATTCGACTGGGTTCTTGCAAGGACGAGCCCACTTCTTCTTTGGTAACCAAGTTGTTGAACGAACGACCCGAATTCAAGGAAACCAAAACGATGCGACAGTTCAGGAAACTTTAGGGCGGACAGGTCAGCTACTATCAGCATGATACGACGTGATTGTTGCAGTTTGCTATTATTTTTAACAAATATAACTTACATATGATATAGAAACAAAGACAAACCATGATGGTGCACCTCTCCTCCAAGTACTGTAGGATAGGTTGGTGTTGGTTTGGTGCCTATCTGCTTGCTATTTGGCACCGGGTCATCGTATCTTCATATTAGAGAAACAGATGGAAGAATATGCACACCAGAACCCGGATTTGTCTTTTCTTCTCAGAATATCTCTCATCGCTGAATAGTTCGTCATTCGTCATTCGTCACATCTCATCATATCACTCAACAGTCACTGAAATTGCTTGACAAGGGCACCAAATACCCACCGTTTCTTTTTAAAAGAAAGCACAGCACAGCACAGCACCGCATTGATTCATTCATTCAACATTACAGCAGAATTTTACAGTGACAATTGAAACGGAACTGAAACTGACCTAATTAAAATAGATAAGCAACAGCCCACGAATTTTTAATACAAATCAAGATGGTTTCCATGTTGGAAGGATGCTCAGAAGGCTGTGGGATTGCCGCGGCTCTCATTGCTGTCTTTACGTGGGGGACCTTTGGGGTTCCTCTCAAATGCAACGTCAATGTGGAAGTGAATTTCTTTGTCATGCAATCCTACAAGACGCTGGTGTGCTTTTGCACTTCCTGGTTGGTCATTTTTCTGGGCGAGCCGATTCGATGGACGCCCTGGGGAATCGTGTCGGGTCTCTTTTGGGTACCAGGTGCCTCGTGTGGTATCTATGCGATTCGGAATGCTGGAGTCGCAGTGGCAGTGGGGACCTGGTCCTCCATTCAAGTCATTACGAGTTGCATTTTTGGAATTTTGATTTTTCAAGAGTCCGTCAAGGATACGAGTCAAACCATCATGGCCATTATGACGCTCATGGTAGGGTTGGTAGGAATGAGTCGCTATTCGGACTCCTCCGTAGTAGCAGCAGCTACTAAAGAGGAAACAACGGTGCCGGAATATGCGCCAGTCTTGTCCACGGACAGTGAAGAAGGAGTGGGGGTTCCATCCTATTCCCCAGCTCCTCGCAAAATCAAACGCACCATTAGTGATGGCATAACGGAACAACGCAAAGTGATTCCTTTTGAACTGGAACTACAGGATGATATTTCCCAGCCCTTGATTGATACTTCGATGGACCATCAGTATGCTGATAATTATGACGATGCCAAGGATGGCAAGGAGAAAATGGTACGAATCTTTAACGGCCGCATCGTACTAACCCAACGACAAATGGGACTTTTGGCAGCCATTGTGAATGGCGCCTGGGGTGGTTTGAATTTGATTCCACTGCACTATGCCCAGCGAGACAGCGGCATGAGTGGAGCCTCCTATCTGATTAGTTATGCCACTGGCTCGTTGATCGTCTGTGTTTCCATTTGGATTGGTATGTTTTTGTATCATTTCATGAACAACCAACAAAATGTTCAAGAAGCTCTGGATCAATTACCGGCTTTTCATGTACGAGAATTGGGAATACCCGGTGTTATGGCGGGTTTGTTGTACTCAATTGGCAACTTTTGTTCCATTCTGGCAGTGGCCTATCTGGGACAAGGTGTCGGGTTTTCCTTTTGTCAGGGCCAACTATTGGTCAGTGGACTCTGGGGTGTCTTTTACTTTGGTGAAATTCAGGGCCGGGAAACCATTATCAAATGGTTTGGGAGTGCTGTGGTCACTGTCACTGGCATCATTTGGTTGAGTGCGATGCATGAAAATGCGCCAGCACATTAAAATACTGAAAAGGTGGGGTCTTCTTCTCGATCTGCCTGACTTGCTGGCTGATACTAGGGTGTTATGCAGTGTGCTGCTTTGTCTACGAGTTCTTGCTGGCACAACCAACGGGGTGCGAACTACAATATGTTTTCGACCTGCAATAATGATGGATCTAGCAAGGAGGGGGTTCCTTCTTTTTCTTTGTGACATCATCATGATTCCATAAACCCAGCTCTGCTCAGATGGTAGCACCTGCCATACCATACTAGCACTTATTACAATCAGATCAGATCAGACCAGATCAGGAAACAAACCTGCCGAATCGCTTGCCTGAATCAATCAATCAATCAATCATCCTTTCGGACTCGAAAGCTGCTGCCAGAGAGGATCATCAAATTTGAAATTCGATGATTGATTGATTGATTGATTCAAAGCCGAGTTTCCTTCCAAGCCTATGATATGTCATGCATGATGACAGTCACATTTTGTGAATTTTTGTTTGAATACTATTCTAGTTATTCGTTATTAAAATTGGTGCTGATTACCGTTATCGTACTGTACAATGCCGGCCAATGCAGTTGGGGTTCGCACCAGTACCTGGTACTGTACTACTCCGATCTGTTGGCCCAGCGGTTTGAAAATCATATCCCGCGGGACAGCGCGGTCCGTCCTTTGATTTTTTTTGAAATAAATCGCAAGCGAGCGAGCCTCAAGTTCAATTTTTGTCCAGTTCCAAAAAATACAAAAAAATTGTGAATTTTGCATTCTCGTCAGACAGTGGACACATAACGACGATAGAGCGTATAGGTGAATCATCGTCACCATCATCATCATCATCCTACTGTATTGAACCCGTGGATCAAGACGGCGTTTAAGCCAACAAAGCAACGTTGCTCTTGTTATCCAGCATATAAAAAGATCTCTTCTATTTGATCTTTTAAAAAAAGCAATCGTCATCATTTCGACACGCAAAGTGCATTCGCCGACACGACCTTCCAGATCACAGCCACAACAACGACCTTCTCCTTCCCGTAGTAATTGCAACATGTCGTTTTTCATCCCCAAATGTCCAATCCTTGTGGTCTGTGCGGTCGTCATGTGTTTCATGAGCAAATTGGATCCGAACGATTATTTCTTGCCCACCATTCTCTTCAAGGAGAAACATAGTAATAATAGTGGTGGTGGTGGTGGTGACTCCTCATCTGCTGTGGTGGACGATGATAACATTGACAAGCATTTTGTCAGTGATAATAACAAGAATCTGAGGATCGGAGTCCAAGAGAATAACAACAAGAAGGACGGAACTGCAACGAAATTGGATAAGTTTGCCAATGCAGGCAAAGACAAAGCAGCAGGATCCAAAACTGTGAAAGAGCAAGATAAAAAGTCAGACGACGCTGCCAATGTATCGTCGTCTCGAAAGAATGCTGAAGTCGAGGTTGTCGTGGCCAAGAGTGTCTCCAAGGAAACGGCGAATGCGCCCAGCAACAAGGCCAACAATGGCACTTCCAGCGGCGGTGCAGCTGAGAAACCAAAGGAAGGTGGCGACTCGAAACCAATTCCACCGTCCCAGCTACGCAAGAAAATACCGGAACGTACTGACAAGCCCTTGTTCATTCTACACATTGGTCCTCCCAAGACTGGCACGACTACCTTGCAATGTGAACTTGGGGAAAAGTTCCAAGAGTTGAAGGAGGAAAACTTTTACTATCTAGGAACCTACTATGCTCCACTGTGTGGATTGCCCAAGGACCATTTCATTGATGGATTTTTCGATGCTACTCGACCAGTGTTGCTGCACTGCTTCGCTGACCATGCCAACCAAGATTGTGCAGAGGACAAGCACAATGCGTGGAAACAGTTTGAAGACGTTGTACTGTCACATAAGGATCACAATGTCATTATGTCGGATGAAATGTTCCACCATCACTTTTTGGAGGATGATGTCAAGCGACTAGCCAAGATTCTGAATCCCCATTGGGACGTGCGAATCATGTACACCTACCGTCACTTTCATTCCAGTCTACCAAGTATGTATCACCAATTGAACGATCCATATGCGACGCAACCGGGAATGGCCTATTCTCATGAAAAGACAATCTGGCCAGAAGATGGCGGATACAAGATTCTGTCCTTCCGTGAGAGCAACCACTTTAAAATCGACGATGAAATGGACCGATTCAATTTTTGGGCCGAATCATTCAAATGGGTGACAGTATTCAACATGCACAACACCAAAGGAAAGGACTATCTTCCAGCCTTTTTATGTACCATGATTCCAGAATCCAAGGCACTCTGCCAAGAAGCAAAGAAGACGGACGCATCCAAGCACAAGGACAATGATTCCTCGTCCAAAATTCTCCATTACGATATGCTGGCTGTGGAAGCACGGGAAGAAGGTTTATTGGAGAATACCAAAAAGACTCGAGAAGAAGTTCGCGATGCCGTCCAAGAATTCTGCAAATCGAAGGATTGGGAGTTTACACACTTTCCTTTGGACTGCTTGTCTGAGGAGGAATTGGATTCCTTCTTGCAACAGTCCCTCAAGCAAGCTGCCATTTTACATCCCTATTTTGCCAATCCTCGGCCAGACAGTGCCCCCAGTATTGAATCGGAAATCCGATCGGGATTCCAAGACTATCGCACCAAGAAGAAGTTCTGTTCCGTCAACACCAAGAAAACCCTGGAATTGCATCCATGGAGACAGTTTTTCCTCAATTTAGAATAAAGTTACATAGTTAATTGTTTTACATGACAAGCAAAATTTTGTGCTATATACTTGTCGATTGGCTGTGGGTATCCGTATGGTTTCGTTGAATAGTATAGGCAAGGCCTTCACTCAAGAGTTTCTCGACCGGGTCTTGTTCATTATTTTCGTTGCAGGAATACGTGTCTATGAAATATGGTAATCTTTCGTCTTCAAGACGATTGTAATGACCATGCAAGATGCATTCAATGCATCTACTCCTAGCTAGTAGCAATAATATGCATATTGATGGTGGAGTATTCAAAGCCGTATTGCGAACACGGATAATAGATCATGTGTGATAATAATCAAGACATAGGACTATGTTTGTTTGTTTTCAAAATAATAAAGAACGCTTGCCACGATTATTGCTATTCGACAAATGGAGGGAGGAGAAAGGACATAACTATGTTCGATCTACCGTATTTTCCAATAATGTAGTAAGAGACAATACAGTACTTAACTGGTCCACAAAGTATCGGTCACAAAATACCAAGAAAGTTCTGAGAGGAAGTTTGAGATCCCATGATGAGCCAGTCCGAGAACTCTGGCTGCTTTTGTACAATACTGCGACCATCAAGCTGGCAATGACAACATCGTCCTGTGCAAGTCGTAGTTTCATACGATGACTTATCATCAGTTCGCTACAGTACCAAAGATCCACGCGGGCAATGCGCTCGTCGATTGGTGGTACTTCGATACTGACGAGGAAGCCACCGTTAGCTCCGATTCTCCAGGCAGGAGGCGTTTCAGCAAAGATCTATGCGCGTCCATACGAATTTTCGTGGCAGCATGATCGTCTCCATTGCTTCTTCGAAGAATCTTGAGGGCTTCTACACTCGCAGCAATATCATCTTCAAGCAGAACGATTCTCGTAAACCGTTATCACACCGGGATGATCGGCATACTGTAGGTTTCGTTGTAGACATCCACCGCCTCTTGGAAGAATTGTATCGCTTTTTCCGAATCGCCTTGCGCCTTCATTGCCAGCCCCTGTTCGTTCAGTACTTTCGCATTTTTGCCGCGCTTGAAAATGTATCGTGGGCCGTCACAATAGCTCCGATTCTCCAGGAGGCGTTTCAGCAAAGATCTATGCGCGTCCATACGAATTTTCGTGGCATCATGATCGTCTCCACGGCTTCTTCGAAGAATCTTGAGGGCTTCTGCACTCGCCGCAATACCATCTTCAAGCAAACCCTGTTCAACTTTGACAGCCGAAAGATTCTCGTAGACCGTTATCGCACTGGGATGATCAGCAAAGGTTTTCATGTAGATATCCAACGCCTCTTGGAAGAATTGTATCGCTTTGTCCGAATCGCCTTGCGCCTTCATTGTCAGTCCCTGTTCGTTCAGTGCTTTCGCAACCTTGTCGCGCTTTAGCACTTCAACAGTTACCAAGAGCTGCAGTGTGCTGGGATGATCATCGCCAAGCAAATTTCGACGAATCTCCAAAGTCTTTGTGATAGCATTGATGCAAGAATCCATCATTTCTTGTTCCAAGTATGCTTTAGAAAGAGTTTCGTAGGCATCTGCTGTTGACAAATTCATTTCACCTAGCGTTTCCTTGTATATCACTACCACGTTGTTAAGTATCTCTATGGCACCTTCGAAGTCACCTTGTTTTTGCAATAGTCGTGCTTTGGTGTCGAGCGATAGTCCCAATATAGTTCTGTCGAAGTCTTCCATTCCTTGTAGTCGAGAGCAAGTTTCGATGCTTTTCTCAAGCATCTGAAGAGCATCGTCCAGTCTATTTTGATCTTCCAACAGATTTGCAATACCAATATATATCGTAGCAACTTGGAAGTGGTCTTCCCCATGCATTTGCAGTAGTTTCGAAAGTACATCTTTTTGGATCTTGATTGCTTCTGACAACTTGCCTTGAATTTGCAATGACACCATTAGTGGTTGGCTGACATGCATCAGATCAGCTGAGTCTGGTGGCAAGTCGTCCATGATATCCAGAGCTTTCCTGTACATTCCTTCGGCTTTTTCGAAGTTCTTTTCTTCAAAAAAGACATCGCCAATGTCCTTGAACGTTTTTACTGTGTCAGCATGCGTTTCTCCCAATTTCATCAACTGTATCGCAAGGGCTCATTCGAGTGTCTCCAAGGCTAGATCAAATTTCTCTTCCTTCTTCAGCATATTTCCAATGTGGTTGAGTGTCAAGGCCACAGACGGGTCATCTGCACCTAACTCTTTCAGTTGATTCTCCAACACGCTCCTCAAAATCTTCTCTGCCTTTACATGGTTCCTTCTATCAAAATAGGAAATCGATTTTTCCAAGATCTGCATGGTGAAATCTTGTTTGTTTCTCACCATGTTTTTCGTTTCTAGGATACACACTACTTTACGGATCTCTATATATTCAGTCTACTACTGTATATTAATATTTTATGCTTTCTTCTATTGTTTCAAGATGAAAATGGGACATCGATCATAGGTACGTGTACACGTTGTACCTGATATAGTGTACAAGTATGAGGCGCGCATCATGCATGTAGCTAAATAATTATTTTGAAAAAAAGGAATCCAAGTACTTCTTCAGCTTCTATCCTGTCCAGTGCCACATTAACATACCGTACAGGACTGGTACCAGTGGTACTGATACGTCTACATACAACTCTTCGTCCATAACGCGCAACTTATATATGACGAAATAAACCATTTGCAGATCTGCAATGCGATATGGCTTTTTTCATGAAAGAGAACTCATCAATGAGTTTTTTAAAAAAATCGTTTTATGGCAGTAAACATTCAAAGTTTACCCCAGTCTGTGATAAGGGAAGCGAATAATATATATCAAGGAATTGTTCCAAAGAAGCCACCCCTAGCCCCGATTCTCCAAGAGACGTTGTAACAAGGACCTATGCGCGTCCATACGCCGTTTTGTGTCAATGTGATCGTCCCCAAGTGTTCGTCGACGAAACTTGAGGGCTGTTGCACTCGCAGTAATGGCATCTTCCAGCAGACCCTGCTTCACTTTCGCGTCCGAAAACATCTCAAAGGCTGCTGCCATATCAACGTAGAGAGCCGAAATATTGTCAGAGGCAGTGTCCACATTGGGATGAGGAGGAATGATTTCTTCGTAGATACCCATTGCCTCGCGAAAGAGTCGCATCGCCTTTTCCGAATCGCCTTTTGCCTTCTTCATTGCCACGCGTCCCTGTTTGTGCAGTGCTTTCGCCTTCTTCTCGCGCTTTAACACTTGAAGGGTAGTCATATGCTCCTGAATAAGAGGATGACCATTGGCACCATACAACGTTTTGCGAATTTGGATGGCTTTCGCGTACGCCTTGATGGCATCATCTGTCATGTCTTGACCGACATATGCTAGTGCCAGATCTTCATAGGTCAGTGCTGTTGGAAGGTCATTTCCATTTATTTCCTTTAGTATCACTAGCAACTTGGTCAACAGCTCCGTGGCACCGTCCAAGTTTCCTTGCAATTGAAGGCATTTTGACTTGCAGAGGAGTGCTCCTGCCATTGCTGTCTTGTCAAAGCCTCTCCGCCCTTGGAGTCGTGAACAAATTTCAATGCTTTTATCAGCCATCTGAATGGCATCGTCCAACCTATTTTGTTTCGTCAACAGCCCGGCAATGCCTTGGTATGCTTTTACCACGGCGGGGTGGTCCTCCCCGTGCATTTGTAGCAACGTCGCAAGCAAGACCTTTTGCATCTTTTTGGCTTGCGCAAATTTTCCGTGCCCTTGCAGCAGTCCCGATAAAACATGGTAGAGATCCGTGACTTCCGCATGATCCCCTGGCAGAATTTCGAGCTTGATATCGAGCGCTTTTCGAAACATTTCTTCGGCTTTTTCGCCGTCACCTTGTTCCACAGAGAGTTCACCAATGCGCTTGTAGGTATTTGCGGTATCGATATGATTTTCACCCAATCGCTTCGACTGTATCTCAAGAACTCGTTCGAGCGTCTTCAAGGCTTCAGTTAAATTTCCTTGCCTCTTCAGAACCATGACAATGCATTCGAGTGAATTGACCACAGAAAGATGATCTTCACCCAACTCCTTCGTTTGTATCTCCAAGAGTTCCTCCATCATCTCCCTTGCTCCTTGATAGTTTCGTTGTTGAACTTGGACACGGAAGACTTCCACAAGTTCATCCATTTTGTTTTCGTTGTTGGAAATAATACAACTCACTACTGGTATATACTATGTACTATATATACTATAGTCCTATATATATATACAGTACTTTTGTAATATGTTGTGTCTTCGATAGCAGTCTGCTTTTTTGTGCATCATGATGAAAATGGGGATGATTCATTGTGCAAGATGCGTTGTACCTCTATTAACAATAATTTATTCATATTGACGGAGTGCTCATCAAGACCCAACATGCATTACGAGTATAATAATATACAGTATGCGTTCATCGATCATCTTATAAAACCAGCTCTCCTTGGGGGAGGGGAAATCGGTATACTCCGTCTTCAAGGCAAAATATCATACCTGGTAGGGAGCATGGCGGGCAGTACATAGGTGTCAGGTGCTGCCCGATATATATATTATCTGAATAAAGGATAAAAAAACTACCAGCGCATGCGCCAGGATCGACATTCGACATGCATTTAAAAAATAGCACACTGCAAAAAAGCAATTAACGTAGAACCATTAAGGGCGATGTGATCATATACCGTTGGTTAGGTCAGCAGCATAACAGAATGGACTTGGATTGCTTTCTTCCTAGCAGCAGCTCTACCTTTCGGGCAACCAGATGCATATGCATGGATCCCATTACTTATGCATGCATATATGTGGGGAACAGCAGAGTAAAAGAGTCAGGACACTTGCGTCTATTACTGCACAATCGATCAAGCAAACGGTTCCAGTGGGAAACGCTGACATACGTAACAGGATTGAAACCAGCCAAAAGCATAAAGGCCTTCTTCAGTGGCTTTACTACAAATCGCTTGAACTGGAAAAAGGACGTTTGGAACCAAACCAAATCATTTCTGCAATTTGTACAACAACAACAAAAATAGTAGTACTACATAACTCACCAGTACATATAGATAGCTGTTCTCCTACGTTTGCTTCTACTTGCCAAAGCTAAACAGCCGTGCACGCCAAATGCCAGCAAAACCAGCAAAACCAGCAATAAATTTAAGGGACTCTTCAGACAGCCTCAATGGATACTGTTGTGTGGAATCAAATATTAATCCACAACAGAATGTAACAGCATGGGTCTTTGTCCCATCGTTTGCCTGTGGTACAAACACGACTAGGTCTTGTTCTCTAAGAAGACTGATGCATTGCAACAATCCATCCAGCCTGTCAAATTTCCTTGACTCTAAAAGAGACAAACAGGTCACTCCTTTAACCGACGTCTGCACCCAACGGGAAAGCTTTTTGAATTGAACAGTGGCATTGTGCTCGCTCAACTCATGGGACCATCGATAAAGAGAATATGCCTCTTCATGAAAGTTCAGATGATGCAAAGCATTTGCAAGCGAAAACCCCAAGCAACAATTACTAGCGCCTTGAACGAACCGTAAAATCTTGACCCTTGCACCATTCTTGTCCAATTTACATAGGCAAGAGTCTGGAGCAGTGTCAAAATTGCTGTCTCCAAGTGGCACAATAAATGAAGGCTGATTCAGATTGCTGTCTGCACATCTTTTTCCAAATGCAAGGCACTTCGCAACAAACCCACTTCCAAGATAGTAGGCCACGTAAGCAACTGTAATTTTTGCAACAGCTGTTTCTTGTGGTCCGCAATAGATGGTAAAGCTTGATTTTGCTTTGTTTGTGGTAATGGGCTCATATCTGATCTTTCGAATTTCGTCATGGCTATATTGATTTTGCTTTGGTGCTTTGATTTTGTACTTTGACACAAACTCCAGGGTGCCTTGATCAACATTGCGATACTGTTTGTTTAGCTCTTTCTGGTAATCTTGTGTAGCCTTGTTGACACGAGAAATAATTTTTGAATTGTTCTCGTTTGGTTTTTTGGCTTGTAACAGTAGCTCCGACTGCATCAGACGCTCTTCAAAAATTTCCATATGTTGATTAGGCTGTTCACGGTCACAAATGGTGTTGAGCTCTTCATTCTTGATTCGCTGCTTTTGTTCTGCAGAGAGTCCAATGTTGTTCACTCTCTTCCTCTTATTCTCCTTAGGTTTCCAAAAATGATGCAAATCTTCAGCAAGACGAACTTTCTTACTTGTATTCTTAGCTTTCTTGTCTTTGAAAAAGTCAATTGCTGCTCCCTTCCCTGACTTTTCGATTGCTTTTATTCTATGCAAAATCTTGCCAAGCCCCTCAACACCTTTCTTGCCCCCAACTGCTTTCAACTCTTTGTTTCCTGTCCAGTATATCCAATCAAGCTCTTCACCGAGGATCTGAATGTCAAAGTCCACATGGTGCTTGTCAAATGATTCTGCGTTCTCTTGTATTCCTTGATAATAC